TATCAATACAACACCCCCAACCTGCTCTCTTATTCTGTGATAACCAAGCTGTTTTACACATTGCTGCAAATTCGATTTACCATGAGCGAACCAAGCATATAGAAATTGACTACCATCTCATTCGCGAAAAATTGCAAGCCGGTATTGTTCACACTCTTCATGTCTCTTCTTCTCATCAGATTGGCAATATCTTCACCAATCTGTTGGGCTCCGGTCAGTTTAATTTTCTCATCCGCAAGCTGGGTGTGCACAACATCCACACTCCACCTTAAAGGGGAGTCTTGCCATATAGCTAGCTCAATTCATGGGTCAACTTAGGATTAATATGGCTGATTTTATTTGATTTTATTTTCCTTCTTTATGCCTCGTGATTGTAGCCTTGATTGTAGCCATTCTCTTGTTTATGTGCACCATCATGTATAGTCATTATACAAATAATGAAATGAATATACAGTATCTTCCACAAACTATCTCCATCTCTTCTAATATTTGACAGGTTTTTGCATTATTGGAAATCTTGACGCCGGTAACCCTAATCCTTTTTGTCTTTCGAACTCACTTCAATCATATTTATCATGTCTTTGCTAATCAAAGAGTTTTGGTGACAAAGGATATTACTATTCAAACTCACTAGCTTTGACTGCAGCTAATTTTGATGTTATAGGTGAAATTTTATTACTTTTGAAATTAATTTCACTATGGTAATTGTAATTATTCATTGTTGAAATGAAAGGTTGTTGGACACCTAAGTTTCCTGGAAACGATGATGAAATTTGGTGTCAACCAAGCAATTTCCTTGTCTTGTCCTTACATAGCCGGAATTGTCAGTCTTCTTCACCCCAGTTGGAGTCCTGCTGCCATCAAATCCGCAATTATGATTCATGACTACCGGTAATACTTCAATAATCAGTTGTCTTAATAAAATTGTTCTTACTAATACTACATATTAGTTAGTACTTGGAGCACATTTGTGTTAAAACTTGTTCGGTGTGGGATTATTCTGTGTTCAGCTAGAACAAGAGATAACACTACCATCCAATGCTCAATGCATCCAAAAATGGATCATTTACTAAGTCAACACTATTCAATTATGGTGCTGGACATATACGGTCAAACCTTGCTGCATATCCCGGCTTGTTCTATGACTTAAAAGTTAAGGATTACAAAGACTTTCTTTGGGACAATTGATTATGTTATTCAACTTAATTGTCATTCTCCGTGCTGAAGCCCTTTCTATGGCTCTTCAACGAGTTCAACAAGCGAAGATTCTAACAGGAGTGCGGATTTGTCGCACTGCGCCGTCTATTTCTCATTTATTTTTTGCTGATGATTCTAATGTTTTTTGTCAGGCGTCTATTACAGAAATAGAATATTTAAAGAGAATTCTTCAGGCATATTAGATGGCATCGGGACAAAAGGTGAATTTTGCTAAATATACTATTTTCTTTTCTAAAAATGCGCCTATGCAATTGCGGCGTATATTAAGTCATATGTTGGGCTTGATAGAGAATAGGTTTCAGACTAAATATTTAGGGATGGTGGCGATAATTGGTCATTCTAAATTTGATGTCTTTCAGTTTTTGCTTCATCGAATAAAGGAGCATCTTGCGTCCTGGAGACAACATACTCTCTCGGATAGAGGTAAAAAGGTTCTAATTAAGGCAGTGTTGAATGTTTTTCCTACTTATATTATGTCTGTTTTTAGATTACCGCGTACGTTGTGTTTGGAGCTAATGAAACATATGCGGGCATTGTGGTGGAGGAAGCATGGTAAGCTCAAATCAGTGCATTAGGCTTCATGGAATTTACTTTGCCAGAGTAAGAAGGATGGTGGTTTAGGGTTTCAAGATCTTGAAGCTATTAATTTGGCTTTGCTGGCGAAGCAGGCGTGGCACTTCCAAGTCTCTAAAACTGGGATGACATTTCAGTTGTTTAAAGAAAAATATTTTCCCTCCTGGTCTTTTCTTGAAGCGCTTCTGGGATCAAATCCATCTTGGGCCTGGCGTAGTATTTGGTGGTCTCAGGAGTTGCTTAGGAGAGGATTACGATGGGTGGTGGGTGATAGGTTGTCTATCCATATTTGGAAGGATAAATGGATTCCAGGTATTTCCATGCCATTGGGATTATGAAAGTATGCGGATGTTATTGATTTATTGGATGGTAATTCCAGATTGGATGGTAATTCCATAGAGTGGAAAATGGATGTTTTGAGGCAGTTGTTTAATGCTTCTGAGCTTCATCATATCTCGCAAATTGTTTTAAGACAGGGAGCATTTTTGGATACCCAAATTTGGGAAGTAGAGCCTTCAGGTAAGTTTAGTGTTAAATCTGCCTACAACTTAGCTGTGTTGCTCTCTCAATCTTCGAATTAGCGTGACTTACAGAGGGCAGATAGCCAATTGAGTTCTTGTAAACGATAGAGTGATTTGTGGACCCTTAATTTTCCTTCCAAAATTAAACATTTCCTTTGGAAATGTTGCTACGGGATTCTCCCAACATGATTTGCTCTTGCTCGTCGAGATTGTTTGGTAAATCCGATTTGTCAGCGATGTGGGTTGATGTGGAGGATGTTAACCATATTTTTTTCCATTGTTCTTTTTCATTTCAGGTGTGGAAGTTATCCCTCCTTCGTTGGGATTTTCTTGCAAACCCCACTTTCTCTTTTCTTGAATGGTGGGATGGTCTTCAGGGTAGCTTAGTGTTTTCCATAGAGGATAAATCTATTATGGTGAGTATGGCTTCTTTTTGTTTGTTGGCGATTTGGAAGGCTCGGAATAAATTTATTTTTGAACAGATCGAATGGAATCCTGCATTGATTGCAAACTTGGCTTTAACTCGATTTTGGGAACTTGTTTCTTTACAAAGGAAATGTTAACTGATCATTCATTCTTCGCAGCGGTCTGATGCTCCCTCGCGTTGAATTCATCTAGTGCATGGTGTTGTTAAATGCAATGTTGATGCCTCTTTCTCAAAGCTCACTCAACAGGGAGGTGGAGGTGCAATGTTTAGGGACTCCTCCGGTGCAGTTCTTCAAGCCGTAGTTTTTCAGCCTTTTGCGTCCTCATCTGTGCTTCAGTCGAAGTCTTTTTGTTGCTGTGTAATTTTTTGGGCCAAAGAATTTAAGTTTCCGGTGGTATGTTTTGAATCGGATTGTAGAGGAGTGGTGGAGGCTATTGAAGGAGTTATTCCTACAGATGCTTCAATTGTTCCTCTTGTTACTGAGATAAGACAAGAACTGAAATCTCTATCTGGGTTTTCCATTTCGCATGTTCGACGACAAAGAAATCAAGTGGCGAATGCTCTAGCCAAGCTTTCACAGCATAGGATGCCTAGGGATTGGGTGCTTCACTCTTTCCCATTGCCTATCTTTAAGCTTTTGGAGTTTGATATTGTAGCTGATATTGCTTAATTTTGTTGCTTTCTTATGGGTTGGTGTTGCCAGGGAAAAAAAAAAGGATTGGTACATAAGAGGGGAAGATATTTGTGAGTGGGTGGGTTTCTTTGTATTTGATCAAAGCTGTTTATAATTGTATATAGTTGTAATTTGGCCGTGTGGAAATAATTGCCTGAACTCAACAAGCTCCATTGCCTCTTAAAAAGGAATCATATGCCATTTCCCTCTCTTCCCTTGGCATTCATATATTTGGTTTCACCATTTAGTGTAAAGGAAAAAATCATTCTATGAAATATGGTTCTAATTTGAGTCTAGCAATTTTAAATAAAATTATGACAAGAGTAACAACTCACTGCAATGTATTCAAATTATTCTATGTATCGAGCCATCAAAATGAATAAGAGTTCTGGTCAAATTTTTGTAAATACGGTAGTCCATGTATTTTTATTCCGTAGTAAAATGTGACATTTTTGTTTAATAATTGAAGGTCAAGTAAATTTAAATTTCAACAAAATGTGTAAAATAAAGTTGAAAATTTACTAAGCATAAAATGAAATAATGGAGGACAAGACTTCTTTGGGATGAGAGTCAAAATGTATCTAATTGTACATTAATCGAACGGGTGTGTATGTATATATATATATATATATAGTTTATATAGTTTGATTATTTACATTTTTATTTATTTTATCATTGCGAAAGCACAAAGGTCAAGTCATTAATAACAGTACAGAGGCAAAAGTCAAGCTAGATAAAGGCATACAAATCTTGTAGTAAAGAAATAAAAAATGAAGAACAAACTCTAAATTTGTTAAGAACAAGAGTCAAATCTCAAAAACGGAAACTACCATGGGAGAAGAGTAGCAACAGGAGAGAACCAAAGGCCTAGCCATCATCAAGGCAATTGCTCCAAAGTTATATCCATAAGACACCTCCAACAGGAGAAAAACCACCCAAACCTGCACAAGATCAAATCAAGGGAAAAAATCACATCAAGTCCGGGACAACCAAAATCAACATAAATCAGAAATCTAGCCGGAGATAAAACAACAAATCCACCCATACTATTCAGAAACAAGCCAAATATGAGTAAATCTAGCTGAACAAAAGCAAAAAGGCATAAATAAAAAATAAAAATAAAATAAAAAAATACTCATAGAGTGAACTTATTGACCGACGCTGAATTTATTGTTAAAGAGAAAAGGTATCATCTATCGATTCTGATTATTTGCATTTCATTTTTGTATCATTGCACTTCACTTGATTTTAGTAAATAAAAAATTGATAATAGATAGTAAATGAGGTTGAATTTTAAAAAAAATTATGGAGTGTGAAGAATAATTGTATGATTCTATTTTGTATTTTTTATTTTAAAGAAGAACAACAAGTATTAAAAATATAAATTAAAAAGGAAAAAGAAAGAGAAAATTGATGGGACGAATAAATCACTGGAGCAAAGTCTGCGAGTTAGAGGGTGCCAGTACTAATGATTGCAATCAGAATTTTTTAAAAAGAAAGTCAATAAAAACTAAAAAGGGTCCAAGTTTTGGACGGTCATGATTTATGGCAATAGTCATCCTATATCTCCGGCACTACCTAATCCTAACCAAACTTGGAAACCTCTAAAATCCACAGAAAGAGAGACGGTAGATTAAAGGGGCAAGATTTCCCTTCTCTTTTGTCATCCTCTTGCGAATCGGAAAGCCGCCGAGTCACCACCGATCCGCTACTTCTCTTCCGGCGTGTGATGGAGGGAGTTGGGGCCCGACTCGGCCGTTCCTCAACTCGATATGGACCAACCACCGTGTTCAACGGTCGGGTCAGGAAGTGGAAGAAGAAATGGATCCACGTATCCCCATCATCCAATGCTTCGTCCAACCATCACCACTCTCAAACTAACAACCGTACTACTAACGGTACTAACGTCTCTCATCTATTGCTCTATAAGTGGACCCCAATTACGCAAAGCCAGAACAACCATAACAACAACAATAATGGCGACAAGATCTCCGCACAAGACGACGTCGCCGCCACCACTGCCACGGAAGACCCGCCTCGCCGTAAATTCAAATACATTCCGGTATATATCTGTCAGTAGACATCTCAGATCTATTTAATCCTCAATTGTCTCTTTTCTATTTATATATTTTGTGTATTATGATGTGTTGTATGAATGTGTTACTTTCTTGGGTTATTGTGGATTCTTTGTTTAGGGTTTTACTTTTCCAATTGAAAAATCGGGACTTGCGTTCTTGAATGGTTTGAATTACGGGCAGAGAAACTGGAAGTTTTGTGGATTTTGATGTGAGAAATTGACGACCTTTAATCGTTTTTAAAATGCCAATTTGATATTTACTTGTGTGATAGATTGTACATATAAAGAAATTATGGCTTTGAACCCTTAAAGTGTTGAAATTGACACCGTTTCAAATTCTTGAGCAAGACTCTTGTTTTTGTATTCCATGATATTGACTTTGAAAAGTTGTAAAACCCAACCTTTTCATGCTCACTTACCAAAAAAAGAAAAAAACTTTTGGTACTCTTCTCTAGTTTGTTTTCTTAGAAATTGAAGTTAAAGGCTTGGAAGGTATGAGTTACTGACAGACACCAAATGAGGAGGTTCACATCTGTTGTACAATGAGCTGGTGGAGGATTAACATGTTCAAGTGTACACCTGGCCGAATTTTTGTTTGATCCATTGATTATTTTTCAATATGACTCATGATGTGCAGAATTTATTCCTCTGTAATCGTGAGTTTTCTTGTCGTTTGTGGTGGTTTTCTTCCACTTTCTTACATCTTATTATATTTCTAAAGAGAATAGTGTAACATAGCCAGTTACTACAATCAGGAAAAGTACTCTTGTCATGACATTAGACCATGCATTGACCTTGGTTTCAATGAATACACTATATTTAATAAAAGAAGCTACACAACTGATTTGTTTTTCCACTCATCTCCCCTTTATATTAACTCATTTTTAACTGAGTAGATAAATTAATATTAGGAAAATGTTGGAATATAAGATGAGGTGGTGGCAGTAGTTGTGAATCAGTTGTGGTGGCCTAAGGAGAAGTAGTAGTTTTGATTTGAATTTTTATTTTGGATGTGCCCAAAAGAAAAGTTGAATTGTGTTTTACTATTGAATTATATATAATCGTGCATAGAAGGCTATGACTAATGTCATTGATGGAAATTAATTATTGTTTTTACATCTTATAATTGTTAAAAGAAAAAGATGGTATGGGTAAAGTAGGTAGGTAATTAGTGAAGCCTTTTCGGGACTCATGCTGCATTTAAGATATGCATATGCACTTACTTATCAAAAAAAAAAAAAAAAAAAGGATATGCATATGCACTTGGAATGCTGTTCTGGGAAGTGAAAGCCGACTCTTGATTTATTAATTTTTAGATTCAGTCAACTCCTTGCATAAATGCTGGACTGACATACACACCCATGCAAGTGTCCATATCACATGGGCGTGGTAAGCGACTACTTGGTTTCTAGAACCTGTTACAATGCCATTTCAGTAAATTTTTAAAATATTTTTGGGGTTCGCTATGTGAATCCTGTTTTGCATTTTAGAATTTATGTGCATAATGATGTGCTTGACAGAGGTAAATTCTTCTTACAGTGCACTGCTATTCCCCTGTACCAATAGAGTACATCCCAAGTGTCCATATCACATGGGCGTGGTAAGTGACTACTTGGTTTCTAGAACCTGTTACAATGCCATTTCAGTAAATTTTTAAAATATTTTTGGGGTTTGCTATGTGAATCCTGTTTTGCATTTTAGAATTTATGTGCGTAATGATGTGCTTGACAGAGGTAAATTCTTCTTACAGTGCACTGCTATTCCCCTGTACCAATAGAGTATATCCCAATTCTGTACTAGTGGGGGTGATACGTTTACTTTGTTAGCATTGATATAGGTTCTGATGGGTAGGGCTATTGCTTGGTTCAATGATAAAAGCTTGGTCTGACAAGAAGGGGCAAAATAATGTGGAAGCTCGGATTTGTCTCCAATTTTCCCCTCCTAGCACTTCGTCTAGGTAATCGCCTTTATTAAATATATACACACACACACACACACATATATATATAATTTGATTCCAATGATTTAGGTTGTAGATTTTAGTGGTAGAGAGAAATGAAAATGTAAACTAGGATTGGACTTGGGAAGAGCACATCCAGGATGGATTCATCATCTTTTAGGGTTTTTTAACATGTCATGCTATTATTGCGCATGCTCTAAATTTGGAAACACATTTCTGGTGCTTGCTTTTATTTCTTAAATCGGAACTACTTGCGAGTTTGTAGCAAACCTGTTTTACGTGTTTTATCAAATTATGATGGCAAAGTTGAAACTTGTAAATGCACTTTGCTTGAGGACAACACTGAACGGTATTTTTTGCTATGCCCTTTTTCACTTTACCAAGTAGCAGTTTGTTTTAAGGACCACCATTGGAATAGTAAAGGTTTATTCTATTATCTTTGTTCATGCTTCTGGAAAGTGGTTAGTGTAGATCTTTGCTATTAGATGATTTTTTCTGATTGATTGAAATACAGATTGCTGTTCTGGAAGAACAAAAAAGTGAGGCTGCAGAGAAGGTTGACGAACCAAGTGATACTGAGCCAAATGCAGTGGAGAAGGTTGACGAACCAACTTCCAAGAGTGATGGTTTTGATGGAAAACCTGACATAAATGATGTGCCCATGGAAGAAACTCAGGTGACTAGTTACATTTTTCTTATGCTTGTTTCTTTTGCATTGTTTTTGGTTTGAGTTCATGGTGGAGTCTTTTTTTTTTTTTCAAAGGAAATTGCTGTTCCTTATCAGTGCTTGTACAGAACCTATATGAGCTGTGATGATAAAGGGCGTTCTTGTGGTAATGAGGTTATGACTGTCAATTTGTTTTGGAAATAAAAGTGAGCTGATTTGCTGCATCATAAAGTAGAACCCTCACACCACAGAATGCCACCGGGGAACAAAATGAAATGGTGGAATTTCCACTGTTGTGCCCTCCGCTTTCAATTCTCTGCTGATTATTATGAGCTGAGTCGCTGTTTTACTTTTGGTGCATCTGCTGAAGTTTTTAGAAAATTTTGACTTGTACTTTTGTGTCAGGCTCCGGGCGATAATCCATTAGCACGGCAGGATCTGAACAAAAGCACTTTGGATTTAAGTTTGGGTTTAGCTCACGACTGTGACAATGATTCGAAAACAGATCAAACTAAAGATGGCCAGTTGGGAAAAGTGAATTCAAGTAGTGCTGGCACATGACGTGTTTAAGGAAATCTTGGTTTAAGAGGAGATAAATAGCATATCAATTTGTTCCTGATTGAAAGATTTAGCTTTCTCCTTCGGCTTTTTATGATTCTACAAGCTGCCTTGAGTAAGCAAAACTAAAGTGATTCATTTAAGTTCAGTCCTCATTTGCTGCTCCCTCAGCTTAGTTGACTGCAATTTGTAGCGATTCAGTGTACCGACTCAACTGAGATAGATAATCAATATTTTTTTTTTTTTTTTTACAATTGAATGATTTGAATTTGTTTATGAATATTATTGTTATATATATATATATATAACTATACTGTGTTGGACAGACCAGAAATACAGAGTGAAATGGCTTGATGAACTAATATTTAGTTATATTATTACACTTAGCTTTACGTCATGTGAATTTATTTGACTATCATTGCTCTATTAATCTTTTCTTAGGGTTCCTTAATTCCTGTTATCTTCATCATTTGCCCATATATAGGGATGGCAACGGGGCGGGTTTGGAGCGGGTTTCCCTAAATCCCGCCCCGCCCCTTTTAATTTTTGTCAAGTCCATGTCCGCCCCGAGACCCGCGCCGGGTTGAATTTTCATATCCAACCCCGTCCCGTTAGGAAATACTGTGCCCCCGTGCCCGCCCCACTAACAAATTTTTTTCTCCCACTTTTTGGAACTTAAACTCCTGCTATTTAAATGTGCAAAGCCTAGGAATGACACAACATAAATAAAATTATGTATTCTAACAAAAATAAAAAAAATAACATGCATATAACATAATTCAAAGAAAATAATAAACAAAAATAAAAATTTAATACAACCAAATCACAAGAAGTTCTAAGCTCCAACTTCCACCATAATCAAAATAAAAGTAAATTTAATACCAAGTTTACATCCCAAATTAAGATTGTAAGAGATGGGTTGGGTAAGTCGCTAAAATAACTTATTAATATATATATATATATATATATATATATATTAAATATAGTTATATGCGGGACGGGGCGGGGCCCCTAGGATATGTATATTGAACCCTTACCCGTCCCGTGACCCTCGACGGGTACAAAATTTGTATCCTTGTCCGCCCCAACGGTATAATAAGTGTTCCCATATCCGTTATTAACGGGGCGGAACGGGGCGGGGCGGTAAAAATTGACATCCCTACCCATATACATGTTTGCAGACATGTTCTGTCAAGTCTAGTAATAATACTTCCAGAAATAGGAATGTGTATGCTTTAAAAAGTGTACAAGCAGAGATGGACGATTCCCATAAATAAACAAGAGAATTTGTAATTGATGAGGTTCAAGGCATCCAAATTTGTAGTTTGTGAACTTATAATTCAAATTTTCAGAACTTTATGTTGGTTCTACTTTTAATTGTTCACGAGGATAAATTGGATATGCAACTAGCAGTGGCGTAAATTAAAAATTGCATGAAAAATCATTCTGCTTTATATTCCTAATCATTCATGCCGTGAAACATGTATCTGAGTTTATCAATCAATAGGTTCTTCAACAGAAAGGAAATTGATTAATGAATTACTATAAAAAATTGATATACTAATTGGATGCCATCGGTGATCAATCCCTTTAATAAGGATATCTATCCATTCATTAACTTGCAGCGGCACCATTTGCCACTGCCAAGTTGGTAGCAGCCTGCATAGAATTGCATAGACCTTACAGATTTACACGTGAAATTATCACACTTTTTATTACCTTAATGCCAGATCTGGTTCTATAATTAAAAATCGTAAAGGCCATTACGAATAATGACAAGAAGTTATTAACAAAGGGATTTCAACATCACAGTAGTTGGAGAATTGATCAAACATGCCGCTGCACAGTACTATTGATGTCATTTAACACCACCATAACATCAGAGCCACAGCTACAAATTCCAACATAATTGAAAACAATGCAGAACCTGCTTGAGGGCAGGCACTGATCATAGAACCAATCATTCAAAGGCAAGAAGGGAAAATGAGCCATCATCATACAACACAAAGAAAGAAATTTTCGTCGTCATTCCTTGGCAACAGCAACAGCAACAGCAGCTTCTTCCTCGTTAAAGTAATCGTGCCTGGAAATATTGAAAGGGAAATATAAGGACATCGTTTTATAAAACACAATCGCATATCACACATCCACACAAACACATAATCACACATGAGCGCACACATGTGTAAATTGCATGTCCAGCATTAGTTGACAATACAATAACGACTGGAGAGAGGATCATGCAAGTACTTTACTCAGCTATAGACCCCTCAACCGCCATTACAGGGACCATCTTGCAATTGAAGTAATATCGTTTACTGTTGCTATACTGATAAAACCTTTCTTCAGTGTTTTTCCCTTTCCATATAATCAAAACTCACCACTGACTGAAAGGATTAGAATGGAGATAATTTTCTCCTTTCCCTACTAGCATACAGATTCTATAATTATTACCACAATCCAACAACCAATAATGCAACATGAAATCCAAATCAACATACCGAATTTTTCTTGTAAGTTGGTAGATGCCTGTCCCAGCCATTGCAACATTTACGCTAAAAAGGTTCCAGTTCTTCTGCAGTCCAGAATCAAAGATAAATAAAGAACTCAAATCGATTAAAAAAAACTCATCAGAATGAAGCTAAATCAATAAACAGAGGTGACACTTCCCTCTTAGACTCTGTTCAGTTCGCAAACTTAGTGACAGAAGAAAAAGAAAGGAAAGGGAAAAAGAAAAGAAAGGGAAAAAGAAAAGGAAAAGCAGTTTCCTCATATTTTTCGCATAAGTAAAAAAATCTTAGTTATAGGAGGAACAAGGAAAAACATTGGAAAATGATATGAAGATTATAAACTTCCCCTTTACCCCGCTTTACCCTTACTCATATATTATTTCCCATCATGCTTCTATGGTAACCAAACAAGCCGCGTGAAAAGTGTTGCGTAAAGTAAACAAAAAATAATGAGATCAGAAAATAAAGTTCTAAAATATAATTGTAAAAAAATATAAGGGAAGGAAAAGGAATGTAAAATTAAGGGTAAATTACACAGACACCCCCTGAGGTTAGGTCATTTTTCAGGTAGATGAAGATTTTGATTTTAACTTTCACTTACACCCCAATTTACTTTTTGGTCTCAAACATATGCGAGTTTACCTTTTTACCCTCAAATTTTTAATACAAAATATTTTTAATCTTAAATGACATAAACACCCCATCTACAATTTGACTCTGTTCAGTTCGCAAACTTAGTGACAGAAGAAAAAGAAAGGAAAGGGAAAAAGAAAAGAAAGGGAAAAAGAAAAGGAAAAGCAGTTTCCTCATATTTTTCGCATAAGTAAAAAAATCTTAGTTATAGGAGGAACAAGGAAAAACATTGGAAAATGATATGAAGATTATAAACTTCCCCTTTACCCCGCTTTACCCTTACTCATATATTATTTCCCATCATGCTTCTATGGTAACCAAACAAGCCGCGTGAAAAGTGTTGCGTAAAGTAAACAAAAAATAATGAGATCAGAAAATAAAGTTCTAAAATATAATTGTAAAAAAATATAAGGGAAGGAAAAGGAATGTAAAATTAAGGGTAAATTACACAGACACCCCCTGAGGTTAGGTCATTTTTCAGGTAGATGAAGATTTTGATTTTAACTTTCACTTACACCCCAATTTACTTTTTGGTCTCAAACATATGCGAGTTTACCTTTTTACCCTCAAATTTTTAATACAAAATATTTTTAATCTTAAATGACATAAACACCCCATCTACAATTTTGTGTCTGCGGTCTCTCTCACCCACCCCTTCGACCACCACCACAATTCTCACCCTCCATCACCCCCACCCATCACTGCCGCCCCTACCCAACACCTCCATCATCACCACCCATCACCCAACACCTACACTGACCCCACCCAACACCTCTATCACTACCAACCAACACCTCCACCTCCCCCACCCAAAAATTGTATAGATCTGTTCCTGCAAACAAACCCAATTGGCCAGATTTTCCATCCGGCTGCGGTCTCTCACACCCACCATCGCCCCCACCCAACACCTCCATCACCCAACACCTCCACCGTCCCACCCATCACCACCGCCCCCACCCAACACCTCCACCGTCCCACCCATCACCACCGCCCCCACCCAACACCTCCATCATCACCACCCATCACCCAACACCTCCACCGACCCCACCCAACACCTCCATCACTACCAACCAACACCTCCACCGCCCCCACCCAAAAATTGTATAGATCTGTTCCTACAAACAAACCCAATTGGCCAGATTTTCCATCCGGCTGCGGTCTCTCTCACCCACCATCGCCCCCACCCAACACCTCTATCACTACCAACCAACACCTCTACCACCCCCACCCAAAAATTGTATAGATTTGTTCCTGCAAACAAACCCAACTGGCCAAATTTTCCATCCAGCTGCGGTCTCTCTCACTCACCATCGCCCCACCCAACACCTCATTCACCACCACCCATCACCAACACCACCACCGCCCCACCCATCACCACCGCCTCCACCCAACACCTCTATCACTACCAACCAACACCTCCACCGCCCCCACCCAAAAATTGTATAGATCTCCTCCTCCTACTGAGACCTCGCCTCAACAAAGACTGGGTTCATGGGCGATCGGTGTTGTAGTGTGAACTTTGGATCGAGTCGATTCTCCTAATGAAACCTTACCGCCGTCGCCACTGTGAACCACCTTGCTTTTTCCACCGCCGTTCCGAGCTCGCCCGGCCACCGCCACCTCCAATCCACAACCCAAACCCCCATCATCGATCTGGCTGACCCTTATTTGGCTCCCCTGTTTGGTTGTTCTGTATGTGTGTGTGTGTATATCTATATACATATATGTGTGTAATTGTGAGTGTATATATCTATACATATATATAGATATATGTGTATAATTTATATATGTTTGGCTATTTTCTATATCTATATAGATATATATGTGTGTAATTTTGAGGAGTTGGGTTTTGTGTGGTCGAACCGCGAATTCTGTGATTGGGGATGATGATGGTATGAGGAAGAGGAAGGTGTATGTTGGGAGTAGTTTGGTCATAAAAATAGTCAACGGAAGGTCAAATGATAGCATAGTCATTTAACACCTCAAAGGTACTACGGTCCTACCAAAAATTGACATTTGGGGTGTAAGTGAAATGTTAAACCACTAATTCAAATGTAAGTGAAATCTAAAACCAAAACGTTAATCTAGCTGAAAAATGACCTAACCTCAGGAGGTCTGAGTGTAATACACCCTAAAATTAAATATTTCTCCACCTCTTCATATTTTATTTCCCATTTTGTTCTCCATTATAACCATATAAGGTTTAAAATTTTCCTTACGTTACATTATATTTTTCCTCACTCATTATCATCATTCTTGCCTTAACCCCATATGAATGAAATTGGCCACATAAATTCTCTTTTTCCATTCTTTTCTATTACAAGTCATCTCTCCTATAAGAAATTTTTTTTAAAAAAAATAATAATTTCATCCCATGTTAATTTCAGTCGCCTTATCTATCTCCTACCTTCATCTTCTTACCATACATCTATAGGTCTTCTTTGTTTATCTCCATACCAAGTCAAATTTCTCTTATTTTATCATTAATAGACACCACTCCTAAGTCCTAATTTTACACTCAGATTTTGACTTTTTGATTAGTAACCCTATGTTTTCTAGGCACTCCTATCAAGTATCAACCATCTTAACATTCTCATTTTCGTTACATGAATTCATTGCTCTTATTTCTTTTCTAAAACCCGCGTCGCTTCATACGATCTCTCAATGGAAATGACGAATCAACAGATACATCAAAATGATCTTTTTCTCTTTGAACATTCTACACCATATAAAATAACTGGCCTAAGCACTTCTATAAAATTTTCCTTTTAACTTATTTGCTATTCTTTTATTGTATAAAACACAGACTAGTTTATCCCTATTTTGTCTGTCAATCTGGTTATACTAATTATATAAACATATAGCTCACCACCTTTTGTATTATTGACCCTAAATATAAAAAATGGTCAATTTGAATAATCCCTTGGTTTTGAAGTATGATCATTATATTATCAATATCTGACTCCTTACAAAATATCCATTCTATATATTCATGTTAAGTCCTACTAATTTTTAAACCTATTGACTATAATTGCCTTTTTAATTTTCTTGCTAAATTTTCTTTGGAGTGTTCAATAGTACCATGTCATCGACAAATAAAATGTCTCATTGCAAGTCTAATGTGATTTTATCTAAAAAATTTGTAATAAATATGCACTTAGAACTGACCCTTGGTGCAGTTCCACTATAACAGAAAAATCACTAGTCTCCTTACAAACAGTGTGAAATCTAATTTCTTTGTTTACATACATATTTTGAATACTCTTCATCATTTCTCTAGGAATCTGTTTTCCTTGTAAATCCCACCAAATTATATCTCTATATTCTTTTTTCTCACTAATTATGCCAATTAAACAAAACTTGAAAATTTTTATTGGATCATTAGTTACTGTTTCACATGTATGGATTTGATAATCAACTTGACCATCTTGTTTTCCCATTTTCCAAGATTTTAAACCCAAATTTGAAGGCTTATTATCATGTTTCATGGAAGCCTCTACCTTAAAGCTAGACATTTGGCAACTTATACCATTTTATATATTTGATCCTGAAATTCTTCCATGCAGACCAGTTGAGAGCTTCAGATGTCAAAACCATGGCACTTTCTTAGTTTTTATTCCCTCCCTTAGCGGGCAAGGTAAAATCATGATTATATAGGGAAGAGTATTAAATAAAAATTACTTGTAATCTGTAAAAACCTAGCAACTGTAGAACAGATATGAAGATAAAATAAAACAACAATCAGAATAGAGAGTGACACTTTCTCCTAAGAAGCATGGAAATATACACGGACACGCACATATACACGGACACGCACACAGGACACGACACAAACCATCAAGTCTTTGAACGCAAGTTGCGCCCGAAGCCATCTGGCCAAGGGCACGTCTACCTGGGCGTCTCATATCGTGTCACCCCCTGCACACCCCATGGCCACAAGTTACGCATGTGATGGGGGCGGACAATGGCCCCCCATGCACTGCCAGTTCGCGGTCGGCCCAAAAAACAAGTCGCCGGCAACTGGCGTCACAACAATTGGTGGTTGAGAAAGAAAAAAAAACTCTTGAGCGTCAGATACGCCGTCACATCAAATTCTAAAAAGTAAGACACGGACACGGCTAATATAAAAATTTCATTTAAATATCTATTGATTAAGACAATTATAGAACTTTAATACTTTTTTATTTTATATACTAAAGTTAAATAAGATAGAAGGTGAAGGTATTTGAATATCAAAAATAATATATTCTATTATATATGATATTACTATTCTATCCTGTCATTGTAGTTATGTTTTTGTTCATATTACATACTATGAGATGTTTTAAATGTCAATTTTTTAAAGAAAAAGAGGATGGCCGCATTTAGGGCTAGCCTTGAGAGGCCTAATATTTTCTATGGCCCGAGGCAAATGTGAGGCCCAAAATTTTGAGAGGCCCTAATAATACAAATTTTTGGGCCCTAAGCCCAGGGCCGGTCCTGGACACATTGATATATGTTCATAATTTTATTTCTAGGACTACCATTTGTTTGTTTTATATAAGACAAAGTGAGGGATATGTTCCGAGTGTCTAGAATGTGACAACTAAGTGTCCAAGATGTGAGTCAAGTGTCCAATATGTGTCGACCAAGTGTACGAAATATTAAAAAAATATTTTTATATTACAAACACGGTCATAAAGTGTCGAAGACGTGTCAAGGAGTGTCCATGAAGTGACAGTGTCTGAAATGGTGTCCGACAAGGACACAACACCTCATAGAACTGTCCATGCTTCTCAGCTTGTCTCCATGAAGAAGGATATTCTTGCACTCTTAAGGCCAAAATGCTCGGGATTGGAGAGAACTTTTTTCTCTTTTTCTTTACAAAAGAAATAAGCTGCAGAATTAAGAGCGGAAAATGATATATGATAAGTATATAGAATGATCCCTGACTACCAACAGCAACAAGTTCCTCAGCAACATGTTCACGTTGCAGCTGTCTTGATTGATGTAGAACAGAGGGAAATGAATTTAGTTTGGCTATTATTCCCCCTCTTGAAGCTGACACTGTGTTTGAGATTCCTAACCATTGGATACGCAAACCTTCTAAAAAAATGAAGCGAGGACTAAAAAAAATTATTAAATGCGTAGAGCAGAAGAAAGAAATATCATCTGTCAGTTGATGAGAAGTGATATTACTGGGAAGTTTGGATGTGTTATGAAATATCATCTTTCTTAGTTGGCTAGGCAGATTTAATATTGGTGGAGAGTCTTGGGAATCAATATAATTGAGGTAGACAGCAAAAGGGAGCTCAGAACTTGTTATAAAAAGGATCTATCATCTACCACTTGATGAAATGTGAAATTGCTAGGAAGTTTTAATTTATTTCCTATTGATACTTAGATTAGACAAAGTCAAGTACGAGGATTAAAATTTCTGGAGATTCTAGGGATTCAAGTTAGTGAACTAGAAAGCATAAGGTAACCCAGAGCCCTGGTAGCAATGAGTTGTTGAATTCAATAAGAAGTTAAGCACGACTATGTATTCAATCGTTAAAGTAGACATCCCAAGGATATACTAAACATGACAACAACAAAAGAGGTTCTTATCGGTGCAGCTGAAAAATGTCCTAAAGATATGAAGTAAGCAAGATATTTATCAATGGTCTTTGCAAAAACCAATACTTATGATTTAAATTCCCACCAGAACAGCTTTCACTGGTTAATTTGAGTTGATTGACCAAAGGAAAAATTCAACCGAACGGTGCAGTGTGCTTGACAAGGTAGTAGGGAAATCAACAAAATATCCAGCCCATTTAATTACTAAGCCTGTGCTTTCATATATAAATCTTTTGCTCACTATAAAAAATAAAAAGCATATATTGATCACATAAATGAAAAGCATATATTGAAGCATATATTGATCACAAAGATGAAAAGCCAAAGTTATATTTTCTTCATGTGTTTACCCTACTCTCCCTGCTACCTATCATCTATGTTATGTTACATGGATTCTTCGAAAGTAGGTGAAGTACCCATGTTGGACACACGATACTCGGACATGGGTGCGGATATGTGTCTGGTATGTTACATAACTTACATGTACTCTTCAAAATTAAGTGAAGTACTTGTGTTGGACACACAACACTTACACATGGATATGGAATATGTACCAGAAATTTTTGGTTGAACATGCACCTAAAAAACACATCCATTTCAATTTTATTATAGTTTTTCTTCAAAACAAGTGAAATGCCTTTATTAAACACCATGTTACACAAAGAAACTATTTCTTTAAAATTTAAAACATTAAGTCATACGAATATTTAGCGGTGTCAATGTGTCCTATTTGGAAATTTGACACATCCGACGCGTGGATGCATACCCGTATCCAACATACGTAGCCTAGTCCAAGTAACATAGTGTGCCTAACACTTTTGGTTGGACATGCACCTAAAAACACATCCAATAATTTATTTTGAATTATATTATTGCTGCAAAATGAGTGAACTTATATTGACACTATGTTACATAAGGATATTATTTTACTCTAGAAAATAAAATAAAAATATTAAATAATGTGTCATTTTGTTTGGGAATTTGACATATCTGATGCATGGATACATACCCATACCCGACACGCGTACCCGAGTCCTAGTAACATAGCCTATCATGATCTGAGGAACCTATGATTTACTAAAAGGTGAACTTCTATTACAGGATATGAAACACACTAATTTGGAAGAAGGAAAAAAAAAAGTATCTGAATAAAACTGATTTCACAGCTCCAAACAAGTAAGATTTATGTTCAGTTCATGTTCCTGTTCGCTAGCAACTTTGTACATTAGCAAATGATTCAGCAAAAGAATAGAAAATGAGAGAGAGAGAGAGAGAGAGAGAGAGAGAGAGAGGAGGAGGGGGGGGGGGGGATATGATGAGGCAAATAATTAGAGTTTTATATTATGATTTTAGGAGCTTAGAAATGTAGGTTGTACCAAAATAGGAAAGGGACACATATAAAAGGGTAAGCTATTGTACATTAACCTAAACCATAGCACTTGGAGACCAATTATCTCATAGAATTAGATTCTCAATCTTCAATTGCGAAAAAGTAAAGCTAAGCTTCTAATTCATGAACTTATGGTTATAGTGCAGCACATCAACCACATGAAGTGTGCAAACAGTCCAAGGATATGGTATAAAAAGATTGTATAGCTGATAAATCATTCATGTCTAATGTACACCTATATAATCTAAAGATAATACTTCAAACTTGAAAAAACATAAAATAAAAAGATGCCAAAAGGTGGAAATAACGAAAAAAGAAAAAAGAAGCATGTCATAGAAAAAAAACTACAAGCAGCTCAACTATAATGTAGTAGATATTAAATTCAAGTCTAACAAAAAAAAAAGGATCTAAACCCACCAGTTCGAAAAAATTACTCTCTTCAAACGTGGCCATATTTCATTAACAATAAAACTTACCGGAGTGATTACAGTGCTGTAGCGTGACCAGATAACTCCAGTGGCTGTGACCGCTGTATTACAGAAACAAGAAAGATATAAATATTTTTATTACTAAATATAAGATGATAAACGAATTGCATGCCAAAAAAGTAGAAGAAAGATGAACATAAACTCAATTGTAAAACAAATAAAATATTATTTGTATGGGAACATGTACGTTGTGGGTGCATGTGTGTGTGAGCAAGGGAGAGAGTCATACACATAGACATACATGATAAAAGATATATGTGAATGAATAAATGTACAAAATCACCAAATAGAACATACCTATTTGTTGGGGGTATGAAAGTTTCTCTGGTGGTTTAGCGAAGTCAGCAACATTGGCTATGCTGATGCCCCACTTAAAAGTTGGAGCCCAAAAGTGAACTACATAGAACAAGTATTTTGCGCATAAGTTAAACCGAAATAGGTAACATAAATACCAACTGTTTATATTAAAATATAAAACACATTGAACAAAGAAAAGAAAGATAGCACCACATTCTTAAGCTATACATTTCTATATGAATTCTTAATAGAGGATTATGCTCAGTGGTTAGAAAGAGGTTTTTAGAAGTTGAAGAGATCTCAATACCCTAGGTTGAATTCATTATATAGTCTGCCATTGTTGGTAGGGTTGGATGCAGTAATACTAAAATAAATAAACAATTAATTTCAACCTCAACCCAATTCGAGAAATCCTTATCCCAATGCGGTAAACTGAATTTAATATATAATCATTTTAAACCTCAATCCATTTGAGAAAGCCTTATCCCAACTATTTGGAATCTAGTACAGGAACCCTTTTTCATCATTTGCATCTAAAATCCCAATTCACAGATTGCACGCTACCATGTATTTCTTATAACATATACAAAATTAATTCTTTCTGTCTGCACATTTCACTTGTAATGGCCAAAAATCAATAACTTTTTTCCATTAAATATTTTCCATGAGTTCTCATGAATCCAATCATCCATAATTTTTCACTTAACCATTTGTTTATTATTTTACAAAGTTGATTCAAGACAAAAAAAAAAAAAAAAAAAAAAGCTACACTCAAATAAACCTATTCCCTAAATTATATCCCTCATCATCTTCAATCAAAAAATAAATAAATAAATTTGTCTTCGATTTAGTCTATCCCGATCATTAAGAAGACCTTCGAATCTGTAAGTGAGAGGCCACGACCTAAAAGCACAAGATCTAATATCGAAGATGGAAATCATTCAGATGTTATTTATTATAAACGGAAACGTTAAAAGCAGTGAATCAATCTACCAAAATAAATGATTCAGGTGTGAAAGAATTACACTCAGACTTACTTGTTTTAGGTCCTGCTGGGTGGTTCCAGATGGCTTGAAGCTTCGAAGTCGCCATGAAATCTCTCTCCCTCACACACAGCGTGCTAAAATGGGCCGCTTATTTAAAAAATGTTTCACGGTCTTGTGTTTTTTTATTACTAATGATAACAATAATCAATTCTTACGGTGAGTCTCGGACCCGCATATTTTATGGCCCAATTAGGAAATGCCTCGTCCTCAATCGTCGAAATGGGACCACCTTCATTAGTCAACTACTACTAAATCCTCATACTTATAAACGACGTCGTACTCAACCCAGAGTAACAATCGCTAATATCGATCTTCTCTGCCTCGTGAACTCTCTAATCAACTCTATGGATTCACAGAGCCCGAACACTTCTCTGCAACGACTCCAAAATGTTGAGAAGGTACTTAATATCTTCTCTTTTTTTCTTCTTTTTATAATTAAATATTTCAAAAATAATTATTTATTTATGTTTTATATTATTTTGGGGTTGTACCAGAGGATCGTTAGGGTTTTGGAACTGGCCGGAGGAGTAATGGATGAACTGTCAAACCCTAGCGGTCCCAGGAAGGAACTGGTTAACAACCAATGCGGAGAGTTCATGCAGTTGATCAAGGTCGGTTTTTGATCTATTTATCATCCACATATATATACTTCTGTGTGTGCGTATATATATATATATATGTATTTCTGTTTGTTACACAGAAGTACAAATTTTCAAACTGTATGCGTGTTTGTCATGGCGAAGGCAGTCGGTGGAAGTCCACTTGCAACTCTAAATCACCTTTCTGAACATATGCATATACAAATTAAAGCCAGGCCTTTCAAACATGATATAGAAAATATTGGGACTTGAGCCCTAACTACCTCCCCTAAGAGAGTAGCAGCGGATACCACCGCAGAAGAATTGGAAATTTTTAATTGATTCATGAAAAATTATTATGTGAGAGTTATTTGGGAAAATATTGGGGATTTTCCAATTTGCATTGTTTGAGAGAAGAATTTGGTACATGTTGTATAAATTAGAATATAATGTTGTCGTTTCAGATAGTATTTGGAGTTGGAAGGAATTTCTGAAGAAAGAAGATTAAGGAATTATTTGTTACTCACCATGACAGGGAATAGTTCAGAAACTATTGAACTACACAAGTTAATTTTGGGAGTAGTTGATTAAAGTAAAACTGGAACAAATTGGAAAATTGGGGAATAATTCCTGGTGTGATAGTGTTTGGGTGAGTGAATGCTGAATTAGTGCATGTTTAGATAGCACTACAATTCTAGTTTATAATTTGGACTTTGGAGTTTGGGTTAGAATCTCCTGGTTAAATTGGAGAACTAATAGCAACGGATTTTATATTCTATTTGTAATATAGGACATTCAAGTGACGCTGCGGGAAGAAATCAAAAGTGCATGTGAGTACCGTCCTTTTGAGAAGTGTGACTACATTTCAAGAATATCTAATGAGATCTGTTGCAAGAAACTGGAATACGTCATCGGGCAGTTGGATGGAATGAAACAAACAATTGATGAATATCATGATGCAGTTTGAAGGCTTTCCTGGCTGGTCAGAGTTGTTAAATTAATTTCTCCATTGGATCCTCTGTTCACGAGATTGACAGTACAATAGTTTTCATAATCATTTGTTGTGTCAATTCTGCAGGGTTAGAAGAGCGGGAAACAAATTGAATTCTCTAAGAATATGTAGATGTTACCTTCAATTTTATCTTATTTTGCCAAAGACATATATGTATCATATAATGTTTGTAGACTATTCTGCTTTATAGGATGAAACTGGTATATGCTTAAGAGTTATATCTTTTCAACTTCAAACACTGAAATGACTGATTGAGTCTGTTTTTGCTCATTATTAGAGATTTATATCATCTATCATCTTCTGATTTAACCTAGTTCCATATTGTATACTATCCTCTGAAATATGATTGCCCATATTTTATTTTATTTTATTTTTTTCATTTGATGCAATCTTATCCTGGAATTAATTGTTGAGGTTCTTTTCTCTTTCTAGTACAATTTTCTCAAGATCTACTGAGAATCTGAGATGCATATTCTTTAATGTGCTTGCCAAGCACGTGTAGACCTCTAGGGCACATGCTAGAGAGACTGGACATGGAATATATTTATCAGCAGATCTCTATTCTTTATAGTTGTTTTGTTAACACTGAGGTGGTTCCATGACACTGGCAAATTTCTGAGCTCCTCCATAAGAAAATATGTAAATATGATAACACCTCAATTAATCTGAACTCTTTCTGCCGATTTCGAGTGACGGGTATATCCATTATAACTGCTGACTTATGTAAAGTAACCGTTGAGGATCTACATTGAGAATGGTTGCTGGTTTATCTGGGCTGCTTGTCTGTCTGACCGTCTTCTTTTGTTGCTGGAAAGACAAAAAAAAAAAGAGTTAGGAATTTGAATTCTAACAGGCAAATATTCCCTTATGATGTGTGTAAAGATCAGTGAGGAGCCACTGCTTTTTAATTGTTAGCTGATGTGAAGTCCTGTCAGTTTGACAGCAGTCAATGCAAAATTGTCAGTTTGACAGCAGTCAATGCAAAATAATATCAAAAGTTAAGAATGTGTCTCCCAGCATCTATTGTAGATGTGACCAATTTTAGCCTTATATCATCTCATAGTAATGAAAGTTTGGTATCTATACAATCTATTGTAGATGCGACCAATTTTAGTCTTATATCTAATATCAATGAAAGTTTGGTATCCATGCTGAATTGCCATATGCTGGGGTCATAAGACTTTTGTGTCTTATATTTTTATTCATACAAGCCCTATGGGACAAGTCTTAAGTTATTAGATGAGAGTAGCACTTAATCGATATATACCCATTTATTTTTACTTCTCCATTTGAATTTGAGTTGGGGCAAGTCTAACTCGTAACAATATATTTCTCGATTAGAGTCAATGGCAAGTTTCTCATTCATACACGAAGTCATATTTCTCAGGATAGGCCAAATAACATTTTCTTCCTATAACGTAGGAAGAATTTGCACGCAGCCACGCAGTCCTCCATTACCTGATCATGACCGGTCATTTGGCCATGTCTGGATTCCTTACGGGCGGTTCTCTCATGGTGGATGAGGAGCGCTAGAGAGAGGAGGTCACTAGACCTAGGTTTATCTAGGCGCAAAGTCATAAAAGTCATCAGATACTTGTTTATCTAGGTTACAATAGTTGAGGGTATTTTGGAGCACAAATAACGGCTCCCTTTCTTTATTTGCAACTGAATCTAGAACCGTAGGGTATTTATGTTTAAATTCATAAATTCATTTTGTGTTGTACAAAAAAACGAACCCCATTAGGGGGATTGGGAGCAATCCCAAAAGCAGACCCTAATATTAATGCCTGGGGATATTGTAGGTGACTAAGATAGCCACCAGTTGGTCGTGTTTTTAGCCCAATCACGCGTGAGTTGTGTGACAAGTGAATCAAAATTATGTCATTCATTTGCATCACAGATATCAACTTTCCAACTAAAAGCCCACCATCATCACCATCATATTAGGAAAGCAAAATATATAGAAATTAAATTTCTTAGTAGTCATATAATAAGTCAAAAAAACATTAAAGCAAACATAAAAACACAAACTTGCGACTTATTCTTCTCCCTAAAACTAGTCTTTCCTTTAGTGGAAAGACTGGGTAACTTTAGCACCACAAACAGTCATGAGTAAAGTCCTAAGCGTCCATGCGGATGATGCAGCGCAGACTCTCCCCTTTCAGCATGTATTCGAATGCTTTGTTGATCTCTGAAAATGGGACCTCGTGAGTGATAAATTTCTCCACTTCCAGCTCCTGCAACATTAGGACAACGTACGTATGTCAGACCAAAATACAGTTATATGAAGAGCCCATCAACACGTTTTTGCTAACAACAATTCACAAGTAGCTTACCTTGTTCATGTATTTTTCAACAACAGCTGGGAGGTCAGAACGTGGCTTGTAGTTTCCGAAGAAAGTTCCCTTAATAGTCCTCTCATTCAGCAGATTCACGGGATGAGTTTTGAATTCATCATCTTTGTTGGGCACCCCAACCAATACAGCAACACCCCAACCCTGACAATTAAGCAACATTAATTCAGGTGTCAGATTATGGATGGATCAATGTGTGTTACAGATTATAAATTTAATCAGCATTTTGGAAGTGTTTTAGTTACATCATGAACACATTCAAATGCAGAGGTCATGGCATGGACGTTTCCAGTACATTCTATGCTCCGGTCCACTCCACCATTAGTCATCTCAGCAATCATCTGCTGAACAGGCTTGTCGTGATCCTTTGGGTTCACGAAGTCCGTAACACCAAATTTCTTGGCTGTTGCAAAAAATTAACACAAGAATCATCAAATAATAAATCGAAAACAACTTCATATAAGTTTTTACATAAATCTTTTTAACTCACCATATTCGAATCTGCTAGCATTCAAATCAACACCAATGATCCTTGAAGCCCCAGAAACTCGAGCACCTTCAGCAGCCTGGGAATTTTTACAAAGAATGGGAAGAAGGAATTGTAACAATTTCATAATCATGACAATGAAGCAATCAAATTAAAAACAACAAATTTTACTCACTGCAAGGCCTACTGCTCCCAATCCGAAAACAGCAACAGTTGAACCCTTTGCTGGTTTGGCAACATTCACAGTCGCACCAAATCCTTCAAGCACAAAACAGAACCAACCAATGAAAATTAGAGTTCAGTTATCAAATTATGATCATATCATTACAAAGGAATGGGATTTTCTTTTCCAAACCTGTGGATATTCCACAACTGAGAACGCAAACTTTGTCAAGTGGTGCTTCAGGGTTGATCTTGGCAACACAGCCCTCATGGACAACAGTGTACTCGCTAAATGTGGAGGTACCGAGAAAGTGATATATAGGCTGTCCGTCAATGGAGAACCTAGTTTTGCCATCACTGAGCATGACACCCCTTTCAGTATTAATCCTGAGGAGGTCACACATGTTGCTCACGTCGGATTTGCAGTGAGCACACTCCTTGCACTCACCAGTGAACACAGGGAGGACATGGTCCCCGGGCTGGAGTTCTGTCACGCCCTCACCTACACTCTCTACAATCCTGGTCACCACAAAAAATAAATAAATAAATAAATAAAATCCAATCCAACAAATGAATAAATATGAAATATGTGTTCGCATATACACTCTTTTCAAAAAGAAAATATATATATATATATATTAAAATAGAAGTACACATACCCTCCTGCTTCGTGACCTAATATGCGAGGAAACAAGGGTGTTTGTCCCTGCAATATAAACAACACATTTCAATTCAACTACAGATTTTGTCATGACTAGTGCAAATTAGATACTGAAAATCAGATTCGTGTATAAATTTCCATTAGTAATAGAAAAAAGAAAATACCTTGGCTTCCCAGAAGTAGACATCAGTGTGACAGAGGGAGGTGAAGAGGATCCTCAAACGAACTTCCATTTTCTGGGGAGGTGCAACCTCCACTTCTTCGATCACCAGTGGCTTCCCTGCTTCCCATGCCACCGCAGCTACAAAACATACACGCATTTAATCACACAAAAACTAATAAATCAACCCATATATATCAAATTTTCATCAACCTATATAAACTTTTTAAAAAATAGATAAACAAACAGAAGATGTCTGATATCCCAATTTGAAATTTATGGATCTCTCTATATTATATAGACAAAATACAAGATGATTTGCCCCCTCCTTAGCCCATACTTCTAGCAGCAGCTGGGCACATTATGACCTCGGTTCACTTTCAGAAGTTAGGGCACATCGTGAAGACTATGACACTCAAAGAACGTACAAACATGCAGGTGAGACTATTTGCCATGTAACCTTAGGGGATGAATTACCTTTACGTGGGTAGGTGCGCAGACTATGTAATGAAAGAAAAGGAGTCAAAATTAAAGGGGAAAAATCATTAAAACAATCAAAAAATAAATAAATCCTGTTTTAGTTCTGATCAAAAATCAAAATATTCAAATCCACTTTAGAGTTTAGAGTGTCACGGAAAAAACAAAAATAAAAAACAATTTTGATTAAGCAATTAAGCAATCAAAAAAACCCCAAATACACACACACACACACATATATCCCAATAAATCTGTTTCTGTGTTCCATTAAAAAAACAATCATCCAATAATCTAAACTCTAAATAAATCAAACCCAAAAACATAAAAGGTGACTATACTAATTACTCAAGTTTTCACTAAACAAACAAAAGAGTTGAAATGAAACATAAAACAAACTATAACACAAAAAAAGTGAATAAAACTCAGATCAGAAACAAATGACAAACAAACAAACCAAACAAAAAAGGAGAAAAGAAGGATCAGATTGATGAATGTTAATAATAGCAGCAAATTACCTTTGCAACGAATGACTTGACCTGCTGTGCTAGACATTCTCTTCTATGTGTGTATGTGACAAGGAATGAATGAAGAATTGATTGATATATTTTTGTGAAGAAAAAGGTGCTATTTATAATGTGAGACAGAACGACGCATTGTCAAATTACCATATATTAGCGCGTATACTAAAAAAAGAAAATCTTTCACTTTAATATAAATATATAGACCGAAAAAGAAAGAAAAAATATAAATATATAGAAGGTTCTATTTTTTATTTTTATTTTTATTTTTTGAGTAAGTACTGTAATAAATATGGACGGTTTTCAACTTGGTCCACAAGTAAAAATGTTTGTCCTTTGATTTACACGTTTTTAAGGATTTGAACTTGATCCACAAGTAAACTCTTTAATGTCTCGGTCTTGATTTCGAAGAAAATATAGTGATTTTAAAATATTACTATTATTTTTTAAGGCTTAAGAATCCGTTTAGGGTTGCTCTTGGAATTTAAAAAAAAAAATGATTTTATAAGTTGAGTAGTTGGTTTAAAAAAAAAAAAAATTTGAGTCATTAAAAAATTACAGTAATTAAAAATCATATTTGATTTTTAGTCACACATTATAATAAGTTATTTTCACAATTAAATTATTTTTTAATTTATTTAATAACAATATTTGTTTAAACACTTTTATTGTTGATTTTATAATAATATTTTTTAATAGGATGTTACCGTATTTGATAATAACAACTTTATTAGGAAGGGTTGTAATTGTCATTATAAAAATAAAGAAAAAATTAATTTTTAGCTACCAAAGTGGAACAAAATTACCTTTTTAGTGACTTCAAAGTCAATAGTCACCAAATCTATTACGTACTTAAATGCTATTAAGTGGCCATTTAATAATTAATTACAAAAATATCCTTCTTATAATAAACTATTTTATAATTGAACAAATTTACCCTCTAGTTCTTTTTTCTCATTGGTTTCTTTTTTTGTCAATTCGAATACTCCATTGATTAGGGCTTTAGGGTTCCCAACTAGACTCTTTGGAGGGTTGTGTTCATGAGCCAATCAGATTAGATTAACAACTGACCTTATAACTATATGTGTGGATCCCTCTTCCATTAATTAAAGTTTCATATACACACAATTATATATATATATATAGTGATCATATATAACATTCCCATTTCTTAAAGCAGGTAATTCTATTCATCACGTGTAGGGCCGTTTGATTTTTTGTTGTTTGATGATCAGTGGTTTCATTCCACACAGAGAGGGCGAGGAGTAAGGGTGGGAGTTGCATTAGCAGGGAAGATAGGGTCTTTGATTTTTGTTGATTTGTTCCCGGGCTGGTTGAGAGAGACGCTGTATTTTTTAAGGAGAGAAAGGGGAAGGAAAGGAGGGAATTGGGGGGGGGGGGGGGGGGGGAGGATTTTAGGGTCACGTTGTCCTCATAAATTATTTCATTAGAATAATTAAATTTTATGACAAAAATATTCTTGAAAGGTCACTTTTTAATATTTAAGTTTTAATTTTAGTGACTATTTATTTTATTTTTTTATTTTAAAATTACTTTATAATAATTATATTTTGGTGAATATTCAATTTTTTTTTTTTTTGGACTTTAAAATCACTTTATAGTAATTATATTTAGGTTTGATCAATAAAATATAATTTTTTTCAAAAATGAAAAAGACCCAAACGGACTCTTAGTTTGGTAAGGTGAAAATAACAAAAAGGAATTTAAATTTTTTTTAGAACTTTTAACAGTTTGGATTCAACGGTAGGAAAAGAAATTTTATTTGACCAAAAAAACACACGATGATTTTTTTACCTTTTTTTTACTCTCTATTGTCAATTTTCATCTTAAACAAAGAGACTTTTGTAAAAATAAAAAATAAATAAATAATATGTCGAGTGGTTCGAATGGCCTCATGGGCCCAACTGGGTTTAGGATGGACTAGGCCCATTTGGGTAGGACCAATACAAGTAGACACCATCCAAAAGGTACACATATTTGGAATTTTACGATACCACTGGGGTACATTCGGTCTTTTCAATCTATGCCCCCAATTGGCCGAGAATTGGGAAGCACGGGGGCACCAATCGCCATGGACGGTGAGTCATGAATTCCATATGGTTGGCGAAGCCAATTGCAGTCCTTACAGTCACCTTAGTTACAACCTTTCTGTTCTTACTGTTCTCACAGCCATACCCATCATCGTCTCGAAAGTCAGAGGAAATGGCACGAAGCTTTGTCCTATGGCTTCATGGGTTGGGTGACTCCGGCCCTGCCAACGAACCCATCAAGACCCTCTTCACTTCTCCTCAGTTTAGAAACACAGTCTGGTCTTTCCCTTCTGCCCCTCTAAGCCCTGTCACCTGCAATTGTAAGTTCTGCACATATATGTATGTATCTATGTCTTCTATTTATAGGTATTGTTTTTGTTTGCGTCTGATTCTGTTATCTCTCTGTTTTGATGATTGGAGTGAAACTGCATGTGGTTTTTTTTGTTCAAGGTATATAAATTAGGGATTTTGTGTTTTCCTAATATGCGGTTGATGAGTATGATCGAAGTGCACATTTTCAATGCCATTGCCATGATTGAATTGGAAAATGTTCATTGGTGGCATTATACTGTTTATTATTATTATTATTATTATGAAGAGTGTGATCTGCGTCTGAGTCTTGGAAGTAGAGTTGATTATGGGAAGTGATCAAATGCATTGATGGGAGAAAATTGAATTCCATGTTTCTTCTGGTAGGGCCTGTTCGAAGCATTGTAGAATGTTGATTTGTATGATTGGGCCTTTGATTACGGGTTAATTTCTTGTAGAGAAAATATGACTATAAAAGAAAGAAATTGATGATTGAAATAGAGAGGATGAACTTGGTACGGTCGTGAGAATGAGGGGCGTAGAGAATTTGGAAAAGAAAAGAGAAAAATTGAAGATGACAGGGTTGGAACCCTCAAGTTTAGCATTTTTTAAAACAAATTCTAAAAATGGAAAATTCACAATACTACAATAATATACATATAAAATTAAATGTAATGTTGATGCATCCTTTTATAGGGTGACAGGAGAAGGGAGTGGTGGGGTGGTATTTTGGGACAACAAAGGTCACGTGGTGCTTGCTGCGGTGACTTACTACAGCAAGGTTGGGACTGCAACTGTAGTAGAATCCATAGTGTTATGAGATGCAATGAAGGCTGCACTTGAGAATGGTTTTGATCAGGTAGTGTTTGAAGATGATGCTCAATCAGTCTTGGGCGCTGCTTAGAAAGGAGACTTGGGTCCGGTTGAGGTGCACGCTATCTTACAAGATATCAGAGTTTGGAGCTGCATGTTTTATCACTGTAATTTTTCCTTTGTTTCTCATGTTGCTAATAGGGTGGCACATGAGTTGGGCGGTGCTTGGTAGACAACTTAGGGAGGATTTCGATGTGCTTATGGCCTACCAGGTCACATTGCTAGGGCAGTTGAGTTGAACTGTCTTTGATTTCATTTAATAAAATATCTTGTTTGCCAGGAAAAAAGAATGCATATAAAATTAAAATAAAGAAAGTTCAGTGGGGGCAACTACCCCAAGTGGGCTATATGTGGCTCGGCCACTGAGAGTTCTTGTTGAGGCTGTCACTATTCAAAATTTGGCACTTCTGGAAGATGTACAGTTCTGGTTGAGGCAAAGAGGTGACTTTGCTGTTACTTTTCCAGGAAGAATGGTGATAGAGCAACCCATGAGCTCACTAGGTTGCTCTTAGATTGAAGCAAGATGTTCTCTTTTCTAATTGCTTTCCTCCTGTCATAGTGAGTCAGTAAAGATTGTATTGACAGTATTGTTGACTTGTTTTAGGTTATGAAATGTGTTCTTTTCAAGTTGCATCTTCGAGAATATCATTGTCCCAATGGCATATCTTGGGGTAAACTATAATAGGTCAAAATGCGTACGCATCCTGATGACTGTATTTTGATTCCCCTCATGGTGTGATGCTGTGCTTTATTCTGATTTCCTTCTCTTTGTAGATGGTGCTGTGATGCCTTCATGGTTCGACATACATGAGATACCTGTGACAACTGTAAGTTTTGCTTCTCCTCTTCCTTTTACCAGCTTAATATCTCCGTACTGGTTTCCTTCTCTTCTGAATCTGTTTTTAGGCATCTACCATCAAGTCTTCAACTGGATTGGCCTTTAATTTTGTCTCATTAAGGTATCAAATAGAAGAATTATAATAAACTTCAAATAACAGTTTGAAAACAAAATGATTTTGTTTTGGAATTTCTTTCTCGGTACTTGTATGAAGTGGACTGTCTGTTTCACAAGTTTTATTTAAATTTTGTTCACGTCGAAAGCAATTGATTTTCCACAATATCACCTGGTTCTTTTTGAATGATAAGTGGTTCTGTAGGGTTGGCCAGTGGCACTTCAAAAAATTTTGCATTGGTCTATAGACGTTTCAATAAGCTTATTCAATAAATTCTTGTATTGTTCTTCGTCTTTTGGCCTCTTGTTAAAAATGATTTTGTGGAAAATCACTTAATAAAGGATAGTTGAATTTCTTAGAAGAAATCACCAATGAGTTCAAATCACGCTTTCCTTTTATGTCATTGCAAAGTTTCCTGTTTAATGTAGACACAACACTATGAGACTCAGTAGGGTATTTCTTGCAATTGGTGTTATGGTGGACTTAGATCAAGGGAAACTTGTGGATTTAGGGTTTTAATAAGAAGAAGAAAAAATGTTGTGGGATTTTTACATGAAAAAGGTTGGAATTGGCTTCATTTTTGTTACTTCACAAATCCCAATTCTCTGTGTTTGAATATCTGAAATTCTCTAAAGGTGTGACAAATAGTGTTATCATGCCCACAGTGCAAAATGTATCTCATTTAAGTTGTTAGTCCTCTGACACCAAGGTCCACTGTTTGATGATCTTAGACACTTTTTTTGTGGTGGTGATACCGTGGCATTTATCATTTGATGATTTACAACATGTGGATACATTAATTTTACTAACACTAATTTTTGTGTCATCTAACTTTATATATGTTACTAAATTCATGAGAACCAAGCCTTTATATCTCCAGTTTCCTGTTAGATGTCTTGATCCCAAGTTTATGGATTTTCTAGGACTATTGGTCTTGTTAATGCTCAACATGTCTCAATACTTTTTCATTATTGAAATTATTCTGCGAGTATGCCATGTGGTTATAAAAAATCGGAACGTGGATTGGCTCTGATATTGTACCAGATGGTGAAGTTGATCCTGATGCATTTTAAACTTAAATTCTCTGTCAATATTTATCAGGATTCTCCAAAAGATGAGAGCAGTCTGCTTAAAGCAGTTCAAAACGTGCATACAATGATAGACAAGGAGCTAGCTGCTGGCACAAATCCTAACAACGTATTTGTATGTGGATTTAGTCAAGGAGGTCTCTCTCTCTCTCTCTCTCTCTCTCTCTCTCTCTCTGTGTCTATATATATATATATATATATATTCTCTCTCTCTCTCTTTCTCTCCCTTCATTTTCCCCTCCTGGTAATGTATAAATTTATTGGCTTTTGTAGGTGCCTTGACCTTAGCAAGTGTTTTGTTGTACCCTAGAACTCTAGGAGGAGGTGCAGTCTTCAGCGGATGGGTTCCTTTTAATGATTCCATATTAGAACGAATTTCACCAGATGCAAAGAGGGTATTTCTCGTCCAATATAGTGTTTACTCTTTGTTTTCTGTTTTTTCGTGTCTTTTTTTCTTTACTTAAGCTGTGAAAACTGAAGTATCCATTATTAAGATGGGTAGATGGATTTTCAACCAATAGCATGCTTGTATGGTGACATACAAACTAAGTACTTAGATATGAACAACTTTATCAGTACCAATAATAAAGAAAAAAAGTTTATTTGCCCTGTTCCGGGAGTAAGGTGGGCCTTGGATGGGCATTGATGGGTATTTAAGACCATTTCCTATTGAAAAACTTCGCGAAGAACTCCAATATCATTATACAAAACTATTCTTTGGACATAATTCAATGTCTCATGTTGGCAAGATTCCCCAAATAAGACTATAAGACTTAAGAGGTTCTGCATCTCATTTTCAGTTGCGACTTGGTGAATTTTCTTTATATTCAATGCCTTGTAGTCAAAGGAAGTGATTTCTTTTAGAATTGGCCATTTATCATGTATTTAAATGTTTATTGCTCTCATCATGATCCTGTTTCCTCGTTGTATGTATCCTGCAATTTCTAATGTTGTTTCGCTGCGGTACACACATATGCTTGATCTTTTGTAATTCATCTGGGCATTGAGTCCTTTAACATGCACATGCACAAGCGTGCATGCACTCATTCGCGATTATTGCAACAGCCAGGTCACTCTCAATATTAAAACTGAACAACTGCAACGTTAACTTGTAAAAGCATGGCATTTTTTTTTTTTTTTGTTCTTAGAAGGTTGAACTGTGTTTTTGCATCTCAAATGTTTTGAGCTTTGAACATTTTGTGCAGACACCTATCTTGTGGTCTCATGGTATGGATGACAAAACAGTATTGTTTGAAGCTGGACAAGCAGGTCCACCTTTCCTTGAACAAGCTGGCATGAGCTGTGAGTTCAAGGTATATATGTTACCCTTTGTCAAACCTCATGATTCGTATACTGCCACTGCAAATTTTGATTGATGATGATTTTTAGGCTTATCCTGGTCTTGGCCATTCAATAAACAACGAGGAGCTGCGTAACCTGGAATCATGGATCAAGACGCGACTGGGGAGTTCTTCCTGAAGGGAGTGCAATGCAACTGCCATGTGGTTATTGTCATAGTTCCTGTGTTTCGATTACTGTTTAGTCGTTATGCATGAAAAAAAAATTATGTTGGTGTTCCTTTGTCATTAAATATATTATATGCTGCATTTTTATGGTCCGCATATTTTGATTTTGTTTACTTTTGTCTACTTTCTTTTGCATTTCTCTTGGACGTTGTTTGGTTAGAGGATTTATGGAGGGAAAGGAAAAGCATAGTAAAAACAATTCCCCTTGTATGTTCCCTCGTATTTGAATTAGATTAGAAACTGAAATTTTCTCAATATTGCTACTTATACCGTATTTTTAGGTGCATCATTTCATTACAGTAACTTCGAAATTTTGTCACTTGTAATGTTGACATGAGTCTGGATCCTCTGCAATGGTAGGTCTTGTTCTTGCTGTGCTGTTGAGTATTTTTAACACGTTTAAATCTTATTTAAACACATTTGTTCTATATTTCAATGCAATTTCAACATATAAAACAAATGTGTTACAAACACAATTTTTAAAGTGCGTTGAAATTAAAAATAATGACTTGAAAAAGTGATTTTCATTACACTTATATCCATTTTCAATACGTTGTAGATTTTCACGCATTTGTTTTAGTTTTCAATAGATGCTCTCTGGAACAAATGTGTGAAAAATACAAGGCGGATATAGGAAAGTTACTGCAAAAGAGGATTTACTGTAGTACCATTACAAGTGGAATACCGGTAGTGGTGATAATTATTTACCCAAGTCAGGCTAATCTGTGAGAGAGAGAGACTGGTCGTGGATTGGCACTGCTTCCATCACATCACACTCTGTACTGTTCATCAAATTTACAAACTCAGGTAAGAGGATCCTCTCGTAAAAACTGTTCAACCAGTCCCCTCACTAATTCTGTGCACCTGAAAAGGTTACTGCGCGAACGCTCTCCGAGATTCGGTTACATAACTTCAATCCCTCGATAAAAACTCAGCAACCATTCTCACTTCAATCCAAACCCCTCTGTGTGCACCAAGCTCACTCAGAAAAGTCTTGTCTCTCTCATCAACTATGAGGAAGTTGTATGGCAAAGACTGTGTCCATCGATTACCACGTCTTACCTCCAACCAGCTAGCCTTATTTCCGGCCACCATATTGACACTCACAGCGGCTCTCTCACTGGAAGATAGAGAAGTATTGGCTTATCTAATCTCTTGCTCATCTGATAACAATCAGAGGAACACTCGGAAGACCAGTGGTGGTGGAGAGCACCCGCCATGCTTCAACTGCAACTGTTTCAGCTGCTATATGAGTTACTGGGTAAGGTGGGACTCGTCACCAAACCGTCAATTAATACATGAAATCATTGATGCAGTTGAAATTGAGTTGGTGCAGAGCAAGAAAGACAAGAATAAGAAGAAAAGAGAGAGAGGCTGTAATGGGTTGGCGGATGAGTTGAAGCAGTCCAAGTCGACTTCCGTTGAGGACGAGTTTGCTCTGCCAGAATCAGTGGATAAGACTGCTGGTGGTAGTGGCGGCAAGGGAGATGAAAAGTTAGAGAAGGTGTCAGTAAGGAAGTTTGTGAGTCTTATCAGAGAGAGGATTTGGAGTGTTTGGACCTGATGATTTCGAAGGGAAAATATTAAGGCTCCCATACATTTTTTCTATTAGCCTTTTAACGTAGATTTGGTAGTTTTGGTTATGATAAGTTACCTTGATGTGCTAGCTTGTGTTCAACTTATTCTATACAAACTCCTCCCGATTATGTAATTTCTCGATTATATATTGGATGGAACTCCGCTGGAACTTCAAGTTTACACAAGCACAAGAATCATATGTATTAAACAAATATACAAGTTATTTTTTGTGAGGTGAGTGTTTTGTTTTTATTTTTATTTTTATCCTTACAAGAAACACACATTAGTACATTGCTCCTATGAAAACTTGAACCTTGAGTCTTTATTTTGCAAGGCAAGAGAGAACTACTAGGCTACAGCAGACACCGTCTGCGTCTTTGATAGTAGGCGTGATAAACATTAGTGTATTGGAACCAGCACAGCACATCCATTGTTTTCAATACTTCGAACTACGCTTGCATTTCACACAATATTATCACCTCCCAATTTACTAAATTGTTGTGGGAAAGCAATGGAGTACATTTCTCTGAGCAATCCGGAAGAGCCGGATTGTGGTTTTATTGACACTACTTTTACGCATCTATAATGCCAGTCTTATGACGATAAAAATACCAAAAGGGTGAAGAAATTGTAAAACAAAGAAGAAGAGGAACTAGAGTCGAGAAGGGATTCCACCGGCAACAACCAGAGTTTCTCCAGTTATATAAGAAGCATCATCAGATGCTAAAAAGGCAGTAGCAGCAGCCATGTCTTCTGTGGTTCCGAGCCTGTTAAGTAACGTTTTCTCCTCGATGGCCTTCCTCTGAAGAAAAATCAAGACCCACATCAAGCCAATGACAAAGTCCAATGATCTTCTATTCAAATGAGAAAGACAGACAAAAGTTTCAAGGCTAAAATATACTTACAACAGCAGCATTTTTTGTGATGAAGTCAGCGAAGTGTGTGGGTACAAAACCAGGAGCAACACAGTTTACGCGTGTATCTGGGGCCATTTCAGCTGCAAGGGCCTGAAAGAAGATCAAAAGAGAATATTGTGAAAGAAACCATAAAAAACCCAATTTTTTTTGTTGAAACAAGTGTGTCAGAACCATTTAAGTACCTTAGTAAGCCCAAGAAGGGCTGTTTTGGTTACTCCATACATAGCCATGGAAGCCTGTGGTTGGTAGCCACCAATAGAGGAGATAAAAATAATCGATGAACCCTTCTGCAAGTGAGGAGCTGCATCCTGGAAAGTTTGTCAGCCATTGAAATTGGAGTCAAGAAACAATAATAAGTAGATATGACGGTGGAATATATGGTCTGAAATAGTAGAAAGATAGTTATCCCTCTATCCTGTGCAGACCACCTACATAATAGTCAGGGAAAATCAACTAAGCCTACGTGATGCTAAGTGCCAACCATTTATCTGAGAAAATTACACCATGTACTGCATAAGACCCTGCTATGACAATGTGCCTAGAGGCCCCCCAACAGAATTTATGCACCGTGGAAGAGACTTACCTGTAGAAGAAGTATAGAAGTTTTCACATTAATTTCCCATAGCTTGTCAAGGACAGATTCTTTAGTTTCCAGAATGCCATTAACGGAAGGATTGGCAGCAGCATTGGACACAATCACGTCTATTCTTCCATATTTCTGTGATAAAGGTTTCATGTAACAGATGCTTCAATAAAAAGGAAATCCACCACTTTCAGAGGAAAATAAATTGTTATTAATAAAAATCCAGACTGACAACCATTGAAGCCATAGGAAAATAAACATGACAAAGACAGATATACAAGCCAATATTTGCTTCTCCTCATAGATCACTCTATACCAAAAAGAGCATCAACTGCAGTTATTCAAATATTTCTATCATCTAAGATATATCTCTATGGTATGGAACTGAAAAACAGAAATTTAAGAATCAGAAATCCTTTTAAATCATTTACATACAACTTTCTAGCTTACCTAAAAGCAACTGATAACTTTACCAAAATTCTAAGAAAAAAGCACTAATAGGCACTGACAAATATTAGGTAAAATAAAGTTTAGAAAACCAACTGAGCTGCGTCTCAGGCTCTCAGCATAAAAAGGGGAAAACTTTAAGGAAAGAACAATGAATGAATAGTCAGATTTTAGAATAAATTAATTTTATGACAGGAACAAAAGAAGAGCAAAATCCAATAATAAAATAAACAAATGAAGAATCTTATTTTCCTGCACAAAATTAGTTGATAACTAGTTACTTTCTTCTTCCTTCTTCCATTTTCTTATTTGGTTCAGGAAGAATCTTTTTCTTTGCAAAATGGTTGCAATAAAACAAAGGCGCAACATTTTGAAAAAATCAAAAAGCCATGAAGAATCTTATTCTATTGCACAAGTTTGTTTATGAGTTGTTTTCCCCTCTTTTTTTATAGTTTTAGAAAATTCCTTTTGTCAGCAAAATGATGCAGTTAAAACTAAGACCCAAGGTTAGACAGAAAGTCCATGCCATTGCTAGCGGAACTCACATTGGCCTGAAAGGGGTCATGGTAAACATGGCTGGTTGTAGAAGCACTACAAGAAAAAGGATGTACAAGCCCAATTGATAAGAATTTTTTTCCAGAGTAAATTAATTATCACAAAAGCACAGCATAAATAAAATGTTATCACAATACAAAGAATTGGAACTACAATCCATCACATCATCTCCCACTTGATTTGCTAAAAGTAGCTGTTTACTAAACATCATCATCATCCTTGCCTTAAAAGTAGCTGTTTACTAAACATGAAAGATTAATTTCTGTAAGAAATAAGCCCCAACTCGTGGGCAGAAAATTGAAACAAAACAAACAATACCTAATTACACAGTAGATGTTCACGATGAGGATTAGAACATGAAACCTTGATTAGAGTGCTCAACGACTCTTTTATGTCCTAGGTTTAGGCTTGGAGCTCATATTAACATGATTTTGACCAATTAGGATCACATGCACCAAACAGCACATCACAGTCAGTTGTCCTGAGGAAGTTTTACCCACTTCATTGGGTGGAATGATTGCCATTATTAGGTGGCAAACTCAATTAGTGTTTGACCTCCTAGAGTATGATTATATTATCATCATCATCCAATTAATGTTTGACCTCCTTGAGTATGATTACTTTATCATCATCATCATCCTATACTTAATTCCATATGAATGGGGTCGGCCACATGAATTCTCTCTCTCCAATCTTTTCTATTACATGTCATTTCACCTACTATATTTAAATTTTTAAAGTCATTGTTAATAACCTCATCCAATGTTATGATTATTTGATGTTAGTGCTTAAACTTCCTTCCATAAAACAATAAGCGATCTTGAAAGTGAAGCTATAACAGAAGTGTCCTTAATCTCAGGCAGTCCATAAAAAGATGATAAATAACATTTTTGCTTTCTAAATGAAAATCTAAAACAGCATATCCATTAATCGAAAAAGAAGAGAAATTAAATTATTTTTATAACCTGAACAGTTTTGTCTATGAGATTCTTCCTTTGTTGTGCATTTGAAACGTGACAAACCACTCCCAACACTTCAATTCCTTTAGCTTTAAGCGTCTGGACTGCCTCATCTACATTATTCTGCAAAGCCATCAAATGAAACACAAATTATCGCATTTCCAAGTTCCAGTTGAAGAAATTCATGTGAATTTAAATATAAAGGCACCCCACCAACCATATACAAACATACATAATTACACACATGAATATATACGTACACACACATTACTGAGTTCGAATTGGAGCAAAATTCAAGAAACCCAGAAGAATCGACATGTAATTTCTTCTAAAGAGGAGGACAAAATCGAAAATTAAGGGACACCCAGAAAACCTGTTTGCGAGACGAGATCACAACAGAGGCACCTTCCAGGCCGAGCCTCTCAGCGATGCTGAAACCGATGCCCTGAGTCGAAGCCGTCACAATCGCTACCTTCCCCTCAAATCGTTTCCCTATTTTCTCCATGTTTCTATCGATTGCAATTCAGACGAAGAACCAGCCGCAACTAATATACAGCCTAGCACCAGTACGGACAACCTTAGCAATTGCTATAATTGATCACTCCATTTAATAGTTTAGTACACGTATATTCATAATTCAGAAAAATAAAAATAAAAATAAAAATAATTAAGGGTCTTAAAAAGTTTGGAATTGCTATCATTATTCAAACCTTGACTCCGTCTACTAGTTTAGTCGACGTAATCAAAATTAAATAGAATTAAAGGACTAAAAAAAATGTGTCTTACAGTTTGGAATTGCATCATCGGATTTGTCAAGCTTGACTCATTTCCTACACGCGTTCGTAACAAAGCTATTTAGGTGGACCCCTTGAACTGAGTTTCTTATACTTATAAATATAATTAATTTGAAGTGTTCGGTTAAAAAAATGGTTAACTGTAAAAAAATAAAAATAAAAATTCATAATATACAAAATATGTAATTACAACACCTCTCTATTATTTTAAAAAGTTTCTTACTGTTTTGACAACTCATAATTTTGAAGATAAAATTACTAAATTAATCTTACTTTATCATTAGTAAAAAAAAATTAAAAATTACACTTAAAGTCATAATATAACAGTATAAGAATTATATAAATCAGTGTCCCAATATTCAAAACAAAATTGGAATGTCCGTGCTTAATTACCATTTATCAAATTCAACCATTGTCCTTTCAATACATTCAAAGAATATCTATATATATAAATCTATAGTTAGTAAAAATTAATTAAAATTTTAATTTTGAAAACATTTTTTATTAAATAAATAAAATTATCTCAATTGAATCGGGCAGAGAGGGAATTTCTCAAGCACGGACTTGCCTCTTTATTCATTTTTTACACATACGATTTCATTTTTTTACAGTGTCTTGATGGTTCTGCTCCATTTGTGCTTCTAACATGTGACAAGCGCACGCGTCAATAATCACTTAATAATTAATATCACAATGACAGCCAAAGCATAACAATTTCATAATTCTCGATTGCTATAGTTATAAAATAAAAATAAAAGGTGAAAGAGCAAGAAAAACTCGATTATTAAAAATATATTCAAGTCTGAACATTGACATAGAAACCAATTGCGTACTCATTACTAATAGCTTGGTCATGGGATAGCCCAACTGTCCTGGCTTTCTCAAGCCGCACTACCACTCATTTTTCTGTGTAGTGTGTTTTTCAGTACACTTCACTCTCTTAAGCATCAATATGAATAAACAAACCAACTGCAAGCATTCCACCTTCTAAACTACATTGAACTGTAACACTTTTTAATCATAAGGATTTCTGAAATTCTTTAGTAGCTCTGGGATGTCATAGCCAAGCATGTCATCTACTGTTTGAATCATTTTAGGCTTCAATTTCTCAAATTTATCTATACTGTAACCATTCAACACCTCCCGAAAGTGCTCCACATCTGGAAAATCACCAGCTGGTAGATGGAACTCCCTCTGGACCTGTTTCGCAAATTTAGCATTAAAAATAATGCAAGCAATCTTAACAAACTTGTGAGAGAGAGAGGGAGGGGTGTTACCTTTGCAAATACATTTTCAAGATTATCAATGAGCCGTTGTTGAGTTTTTGCTTTGCCCATCATAGTGGGCATCTCCTTTTTAAGCTGGCTAATTATGTAGGCATGAATCTTAGCAGCTCTAGCACGTTTAACGAATTCATTGATCTGCAATATCAAAATTCTATCAAGCTCCAATTCAATCAGCATGAAATAATAATCTAAAACAGCACATGCTAATAAGCAGCAAGCATACTCGACGATCACAAGCCTTCTTTGGAATGTCCATCAAATCCATGAGGAGATCATCTTGTTCCTTCTCAAATAGATCTTTTCCTATGGGACCAACAGCTGCTTCGTTGACTGGCTTGTCATTGAATGAGCTGCGAAAGCCAAGAAGAAAAATGTTAGCACACTCATCTGAAAATTCAACACCTGAGGTGAATAACATCAAAAAAGAGCACAAACACCAAATGTGTGCCAACTGTCAGAGACTCATGGTAAACATTATATATAATGCCATCAACATTATTCTGCAACTCCAAATGTGTGTAGAAGCAGAATCATAGAGATTAAATGAACATTAGATGGAACAACCAATCTAAACCAAACAATTCCTGTAGCAAATTGATGCTCCAATTTAATTTTTTTGCACCAGTCTACTTCCAGCCCCCTCAGTCGATGATGATCACTCTACATAATGGGCTTTTAATGTTTTATCACATGCTTTAAGAGGCCATTAAATGCAGTTACATACAAGAAAGCAAATACATGAAAAATGATCAAAAATGAAATAGCAAACACACTTGATCCTCATCTTTCCCTGCATACAAAAGACAACCAATATAAAAGTAAAATATACTCTTGCCGCCAACCAATAGTAGATATAGCCCATAATACAAAATAAGTTGGTGAAAGTGAAACATAAAGTATATAAAAAACCTACCCAATGTAAACACGCACAACCTCTGGTGTGTTTAAAACTTTACCAAGTGACCACATTAATGCGCCATATACTCTCATCAGCTGTAATACGAAATCAATAAGTAAGCAGATTGAAAAGTTCCAATCAAATGATAAATATGGAAAGGGAAAATTATATATAATTGATTGGCTAAAAAAGTTGCGCACTTGCTGGGTGTCAACTTGGTCTGCCTTGTTTAGGACTACACGTATTTTATCATCATGACCACGCAAGGATGAAATAATACGCTTGAACTCATCACTTATATCAAGTTTATGGGGATCAAAGAGTAGGAGAATAAGATCACACTTTGCTGCAAACCATGATATAACACCCGTAAAATCATAACTTCTTTGAGTTCGTTGTTTCTCTCCAGATAGAACTCCAGGAGTGTCCACAAATGTAATATGTTCTAGTAACTGCAAAGATATGGAAGAGGGATTACTTTTTGTTAGGTGTGAAAATTTTATTTTTAAGAAAAAGAAGCTTCTAATGCAGGTTCAAACTTACGGGATGTGGCATTTGGGAACACTCAAATTTTGACAAAAATGCTCCTCCAAAAGTTGTAAGACCATTAAATGGCATTTCTGCATGAACAGCAATAGTGTTGCCAGGTATACTCCTTTCATCATCTCCAGACTGCGTACAGAACACAATATGCCATTGATTTCAAATGAAACTGAAAAATGTATAACTAAACAAATTTTTAACATTGTAAAGGATACCAAATTTTCATGGACTAACAACTTTAGCAATATACGGCCAGGCAACAAACTGCATGCAGTGAATACAAGGATGCACCTACTTACACAATTAATATGCATAACCAAAGTGGCGTCTATATGCAAACATTGTCTAAGGTGTTCTTAATGTTACAAGATTGTATAGTATTGTAGTTTAGAATATTGTTTTAATAAAAAAAATTCCATCTTCTCATGTATCTGTGTGAATATGCAGGTTCCACAAACCATTTGAAACAAGAAGAATATAATGATGAAAACATCCAATTTCCAATATAAGCTTGAATAATAAGGAATTCAAAACAAAGATTAAAAGTGGATCACCATCATCATCCTTACCTTAATCCCATATGAATAGGGTTGGTCATTCTATCTATCCAACTTTTTCCATTACATGCCATTTCACCTACTATATTTTAACTTTTTTTAAATCACTTTTAATAACCTCATCCCATGTTATTTTTTGTTGTCCTCTCCATCTCTTACCTTCTATTAAAAGTGGATATTTTTAATAAATATGATAATAACCTATCCCCTGTTATTAAAAGTGGATTATTAATAAATATGATAAACATTTTTATTATCAATTGTGTGTCAGAAGTAATCTAGAGAGAGTGAGGCTGACCCCAAAGGGCCGTGGTGAGATGTACTACCTATTTCAAATATAGGTTATCATTTTAGGGGAAAAAATAAAACAAAAAATGAACCGTGATAAAAAATTACCATAACAACAACAAACCGATCAGTTGTTGGCTCTGGTCCAATGTGAGCTCCTGTTCCACCAAATAGAAATTGTAATACAGAGAACAATAATGTTAAAAAATAAATTAATTAATTAACTATCTAACTAACCTGGGTAATCACATTTAAGCAAATGTTTAATGAATGTAGTTTTTCCAGTCGAGTATTGACCCAAAAGCATGACCATGGGTTTAGCATCAAAATCACTACTCGTCTACAGAAAGGACAAATCGTACATCAAATCATAACAATACATAACAGACCAATACATATAAATATGTAAAATATACATAAGAGATCAAAGCAAAATAAAACACCTCGAGGATAAAAATACAAAAATAAAACCAATTTGTAATCCACTCACCAAGGAGGGAGATGCAAAATCATTAAAACGATAAGCAAGTTCCAATGGTTTTAGCTTTTCAACATAGAGTCTCTTCAAACCATCAACAATTGATGTTACCGCATTGTGATATGTCTGAGAAAAAAATTACTGGAGTGAGTACGTCATACAAGAAAATAAAATGATTTTAATTTATATAACCCCTTAAATGTATATAACTGCAAGAAAAGAACTCAATGAAACAGATAAGTAGCTTGGACCTTTAAATATGTGACAAAGAAATACTACTAAGATTTCCACCATCCACAAAAAAAGCAAATAATGAAGAAAATTTTACCTTTTTGGTGGATTTTGAAGTAAACTTGTTAACTGATGGTGGCGGTTGCAACGGAGTATTTCCTAAATTATTTCAATAAATCAACTTAATCAAACATATAGGCAAATGTCACTTATCCATTGAAATATGAGAATTTTACTAACCATTTGCTTTAGATTCACCATTGATTGCTAAACGGCTAGTTTTCTGGGAAGAAAAAGCATTCACCAATAACCAACACAATCAACAATTTTATATTAACATATCCAAAAAGAGTGGAGAAAAAAACAGATTACTTACAACCAGTAAGGCATCCAAACCTTCCATCAATGGAGGTTTTAAAGGCTCCATATCAACTGTAACACAATAAAATTACATCCACTATAAGTAAAACAACAAAAATAACAATTCTTTAGAGTACTTTAAAGCATGAAACCCTAACCCACAAAGAGAAGAACTTCATCCAAAAAAATTATAAACAATGCTAATCTGAGACCCAACACAAGCTTCAAATCCATTATCTAGAGCCATAGTTTTTGCTCTAACACCTTTGACATTGCTTAATGTATATAGAGTTATATATTATGCAAGAATCAAGAATATGATGACAAAGCGAAACTTGGCTTAATAACCTAGTAAGTACACTTGACTTTTGATGTATCTGACATAATCAATATCCAAAAAAAAAAAAATCCTATCTCACATCATTTCAATTTGAAGGCTTCATATATGTTGATAAAACTTACATAGTATGTTTGTTCTTATTCCAAACCTTTATGTGTCTGTAAATTTCATTTAAATTCTATTAACTGTTTGAGGGAGTGTGACATTTATCATATTCCGAGGTTTATTCTCTGCACATTCCTCAACATAGGGAACTTGTATCTAAAAACCAGTGCCTTAAGCTTCATGCTTGAGGTTATGATGCCTCACGTGAGAGTGACACTTGAGAAATGCTGCTCAAAGGCTAAACAGCTTATTAATTGAAAATACCACCCTATATCCAATCCTAATGCTGCTCAAAGGCTAAAACACACATGAGAAAGAGTAAAGCTAAAACAAATTATTTTACTTGCCTGTAGTTTTAAGGACATCTGGGGTTAGTTCATGTCCTGCTTGTGCCAAACAGATCAACTGTCATCGCAAGAAGACAACCAAAATGAATTATTGCCAATCTTTTCACAAAGTTTTTTCTTGAAGAGGAACTTTTATTAAAGATGCAAGAAATAGACTGCAAAGAAAAACCTGCATTGCTGCAATAAACTCTTTGAAACCTAAATATCCTTGTCGTCTGGAATCAGCAATGGCCCACACCTTTAAAATCACAAAACATATGGATAAATAAAAGAAAACCAGAAAAGAAAGTGCAAACAAATTATAGGGCAGAGGTTTGACTGGAACTTTGGCCTTGGATAAATCGGAATGAAAAAATAAGATTGATGTAGCCAACCCAAAGTAGTTGAGAAAAAGGCTTAGTTGAATTGAGTTAAGTTGAGCAATACAAAATTGTTGAACAAAATAAATCCATCATGAGATCAATTAAACAAGAAAATAAAACGCAAAAGGTACTAGCCAATTAAATTATAATATATTCCAGGGAAAAGAATTAGATTAGCATAGGTAAATGGTCTAACAAACCATACTAGTTCTGTAATTAGAGAAACACATTGTTTATCTTGTTAACAATATAAAAATAAAAAATACATAAAAAAACTCCAAAATGACAATTATAAATTCTCAATTTAACAAAACAGTAATGAAGACAATTATCATGACCATTATCATAATAACATATATCTACCTACAAACAATCTATATTCCAATAAACTGTAACACCTGCATGATCCATGACAATAAACTGTAAAACACTACACCTCCAAAATGGATAAATTGGCACCTAAGGGGGAAAACATTCAATGAAGGATATAATTATATCCTTAATTTCTGAAATTTTGAATTGAATTTCATTCAACAAATCAAGTTCAATTAAGGATATAATTCTATAATTTCTGAAAATTTGAATTGAACTTCATTCAACAAATCAAGTCACAACATGCCCCTACTCCCAAGGCTTAAACTCTCAACCTCCCCTTTGGGAGGAGATATCATACCATCCAGGCTAGAGGCCCGGTGGTACAAATCAAATCTAATAGTAACCTAAAATTTAAGCCAAATTTATTGTAACTAAAATAAGCATTTACAAACAAAACACTCCTATTATGCACATGTATTATTAAGCGCTATAAAATAAAAATAAAAAAAAAACAAACCATGACAAATTGATTTGAACATGATAAAAGCTAATTAAATAAACATTTACAAAACAATCCTTCTACTTATGCACATATATTATTCAGGCTCTATGAAAAGAGAGAGAGAGAGAGAGAGAGAAATTGATTTACAGAACATGATACTTTATCGGGAAAAAATGACACAACCACATCAAAGTAAATCGAACATAATCTAAACTTGACTAAAAAAAAAAAAACAGATTGTTCACCAGCTTTAGTTCAGGTCGGGACAGATTCGACATGGCGAAGAACTTTGTGGCATCATTTCCGGTGATGCGTCCATCGCCATCTAGAGAGAGAAAATCATAGAGAGAAAACTTTGATTAAACAGAATAAAAAAATTAGTTCATCTAAGAACAAGAGGAAAAAATGGAGAAAACAAACCTGAATCGGCGATGTTGAACCACTCTTGATAGATTTTCTGGTGTTCCTTCGAACAAGAACTGATCGGACCAGTTGCGATCTCCATCTATCTAGCCAAAAAAAACTCAGATGATATGATCGATAAGATTTTGGAACTTTCGAGTTTAAAACCTCTCGAGAGAGGGAATTTATTAGGAAACAAACAGGTAGTATTGGGGTTTATATTAGCGCTTGCGAGAGTGATATTGCCACGATTATATACATCACACATACAAGGCAACCAAGACAAAAACGATGTCGTATAATGGAATCAGTTTGATCAATTATGCCTTGGCAATCGGAAGTACATACTTGTTGCTATTGATTGTGAAGTGGATCCCACTGAATAACATTATATGGCATATCCTGCGTACATCTTAACGGAGCCTTATCACATCACAACCGAACGAAAAAGCAGATTTATACAGAAATCCTCCTTTTTAGCAATTTTCAAACTTCGAAAATTTGAATTAAAGCGCCATTTACAAATTCAGCATATGGACCCCAATTTCGATTTCGGTTGTTTTTTCCTTTTCTTTTCTTTTTTTTTCAATAACAATTTAAATGCATGTGTACAACTCCAAACAAATGTATCAAAAATTAATATGAAAAAATTTATCTGAAGGTTCACCTTCACTCCAAGCAGAGAGTCGATTTTGAGTCCTAAAATTTGTTTATATCACTTTAATTCTTAGTAATTTCATTTTATTGAGCTTATTATGATTTAATGGGGCCAATATTCGCATAACACATTTTATAGTGTTACTTTGTTATGATCACGCGGACATGTGCAAGTACAATTAAAGAATATTGAAAAATGATTTGACTCCATACTACAAATTGTTCATAAGTCAAAATCATGAAGGGGGATTTTTTTTTTTTTTTTTTTTGTGTATATATATATGTGTGTGTGAATATAATTACTTCATTGGCCATGTTTAACCTTTTTCTGAAATTAGGTTCCCTAAACTAAATTTTCTCTTGTAGAAGTACATGTGTAGTGTCATGTATTATTAGCGCAACACACTACATTATAATGTAACATCATGAAATATCGGTTTCTTGTATATAACTTCGTTATTTTTTTATGCTTATCGTATTTTCAAATTTAATCGGTTAAAGCAAGCACAATTGCGCAGTCTAACAAAGGGTGTGCAATCAACAAAAAAAGGTACACGGTTATGGCTCCTAAATTTTGAAATCTGGATGTCACAAACAGCAGTAATAGTAATCACTAGCTAGGATTAGGAACTTGTACATAGGAAGTCCAAAGAACAAAGTTTTCAAATCTTGATGACACAGAGAAATATCAACTACCAAGTTACCAACACCATCATTCCATAATTTTGTGACTGCAAGACCAACATCATCATCAGTCTTGCCTTTGTCTCCCAAAAGAATGAGGATATCCCAATATCAAACTTACCCAATTCAATCTAGTATATGCTCATTTATTCATGATGAGGGAAAATAAATAACAAAATCATGGTAAAGGGAGCCAGGAATAATGTCTTTTTGATGTGTTGGTTAGGATGCACCGCCGAGCTTATCATGCAAAATTGCACAGTTATTCAACCCCTGGTATGTGCTCCCTGTGAAGAGTTTCTGAAGATATTTCATTTTTTTTTTCTTCATAACAATAAGAATCAAATCCTTAACCAAAAGATCTATTCATACATAGTACTGAAGGAAACAATGTATATAATTTATACAAAATAAATATTTTAATTGGACAATAGTGTCAATACAATGGAAAGCACAAAATGCGCTATATATGAATTTTCAACTTCCAAGTCAGGCCCAACAGAAGCCTAAACAGATCCCCAAGCAACAGTCACTTCCTTCTTGAAAACGGGCAGCAACGTATCTGCGTAATGATATGAGAACAAACAAAATAGATGGAAGAACAGATCAAAGGAATGAAAACAAAAAAATGTTCTGCTGTGCCTCACCTGGTTGGTGAGACAGTGGAAGAAAATACAATTTTGAAACAAGCTGGTAGCCACTATAAGTTTTCAAATTATGTACTTATCCCGAAAAAATAAAATTCAAATTATATCTTCATTTGCTGTCATCACTACTCAGCTCAGCAATCATTTGAGTACAGAGCTATATTTACTTTCAATCTCATGTCACTGTTAAGCAAAAATGGTCATTGTGATCACAGCAAGTAAAATGATCTCCGGAAAACAGAAAAAGAAAAGACTAAGTAAACATATAGTAGTTGTATACCTTTAGTCCAGTATATTTTTTCTGATTGTTCGAATGGTTGCTGGGTTGCGGGGGCACTGGGGGTAACCTGGTAGCTGCAATTTGCTTCTCTTCTTTTACTTTGTTGAAAATGACAGTAAAGCCAACTCCTGATGCAGGGTCTATGTCATCCCATGCTCCAAACTTGGGCAACACTACTGATCTGTAAGACTGTCACCACAACAAAACTTATGAAATCAGAATGTATAAGTTACAGTTGCAAATATGAATGCAATCAGAAATGCACAACTAAGTAATACAAGAAGTTCAAAGTTGCTCAATTGGGTTGTAATATTTCAGAACCAACTCTTATTTTTTTGTGCGAGTGTTTCATGCCTGTGTAGCCTTCTTATACAAGCTCTCCTCTAACTTCAACTAAATTGACTTAGCAGATCAATGGGTTTTAATCAGTAAAGAAAAATACAGTACTAAAAGCACATTCTGTGTATGCTTAACAGAAACTATGCTCTTCGAATTTCATTTGGTCAGTCTATTTAATTTGTAAACTCAAAGACAATTCTAGTATGGCTCATGAAATAAAAGATGTAAAAATATACTTCTAAAATTGCTTTCTGAACAGTCTTTTCAAAATGTTGAAGAATCCAAACTGGAAAAATGAAAATAAACCATACTAGTATCTTATACTATCCATTTTTGCAGTGCTAACATAAGAAGGCATCTATTTCTTCATAAAGAAATAGAGATTCATAAACAACGAAAGACCCTATCCTAGCGAAGAAGTTGTATCGTACCTTCTGCATGTATCTATTCCAGCTTGCTAGTGTTCCCTATATTGACCCTATGGTATGTCAAAATTAGGAATCTAGAAACAATTTAACTTACAACATCAGCAGCCTCAGTTATACTCTTCTCTTGCTCAGATCTCCTACGATTGTGGTTTGGCTGCACCAGTGAATGACCAAAAATCTTGTTATCAATTTCAGATTCTGAAGCAATACACTTATGACTTCCACTGTTTACGTGAACAGAAGTGTTCCTCTGATGGTCATTGTTTTGCTGGTGTCCCTCAATGTGGTGTTTTTCTGCTAACATCAATTTTTCTGAATCAACATGGATAGGATTTGTTGGAGCTTGAACTGCACTAGAAACATTTTCACTTCCGGCTTCCCCTGCGCCAAACATGAAGGCCTCTGGATTCTCCTCGGGATCATTAGGGTTCATCATTTTCACACCACTGGCTTTCTCTTTGCGCGCATTCTCAAAGTAGGCAGTGTAAGGTACATTACCGCTGTCCCAATTGCCAAACTTTGGAACATGGGATTGTTGCTGCAGCAAAGGCATTTAGATCAATGTCTCTACCCAAATCTTTTGCTCAAAGTAAATGAAATTAGTTGACAAGACATCATGTACAACAAGAATTGATATCAGGGGTATGAACAATTTCAAAATTATTTATGGAAGGTGATATTTAAGGAGGACTAGACCACGTTGACCAATGGAAGGGACCAGATATTCTTAGTAATCCGGAAGTGAGGATAAATAAGACAAGGAGAAAGCTAAGACACATTTCACGGTGCACTTAAGAATTTCATCCTGGTTAATAGTAAAGCTGCAGGGGGTCAAAAATGTTATCTGAGTGCATTCATTTGAGGAATGGGGACTAGTCGATTCAAATGGCAAGAACAGATTGTGTAGGAGAATCCACGTTTTCTAGACTTTGTTCCCATTAATTTTTCTCTTTTAAATGTATTACGTAATAGTATAAAAAAATGGAAGCTGGCAAATATAAATAGATAGATGATCTAACAAGGTTAAGAAAATAATATAACCAAGTTGATTCTGAAGCAAAAAAACAAATCCAAAAAATGCAAAAGGTAGGAAATTCAACTTTAAAAATCAAACTCTATCCAATGTAACTAAATGCATCTAGTAATCAGACCAAAATATTTAGTGCTGAACTGACAAATGCAGTAACAAGCTTTAAATCAAACGGCCCACGTTGGATTGATTTAGCTCCTGAACCATCCCAATGGAGGAGATATGCAGTGACAAGTGTCCTAATGTCATTAATATCTATACGAGAAATGCCGCAAAAACCAATTGGTTTTTGTAGTGACTGCAATAGAAGCACTCTTGTGAGCTTTCAAAAATAATAAAAGCTATTTCCTAAATATTCATTAATTGTATAGTCGGGTAAAAGAAGTCCTCAATTATATTATTTTCCACATCTATCCTCATATAATTTCACCATATTTATATACACACAAGTAGAGACATGTGTACATACATATCATAAGCTCTGGATTGCAAGGTAACAGAACAATTTGCAGAGTAATAAAAAATATTGAAGTTACAGATACAGAAATGCAGATATGAATCAGCTAAACAATATGAAAACTTAAAAGCAAATGTACCCTAAAGATAAAGCAAATATATATATATATATATATGAAAACACAGAAAATAAAACACTAAAAATCAAAACCCATCCTACAAAACATCAAAGATAAAATTGTAGGAACTAAGAAGAACACTTACAGCCATTAATCCGGTGGATTGGGCTGGTTGTTTCTGATTTCCAAAACAAACGCTTAAATTCCCAATAGGGAAGAAAGAAAAATCAAAGAAAGGCTGAGATTGGTCTGGACCATTTTGAAGTGGTTTTTAAGACCCGGAGATTCTTACGAACGTGGGTGATACAGACAACAGTTCGATACTTCGATGGTTACAATGTTTGACCACTAATGATGTGATTATTGTCCCGGATGATATATTATCCACTATTAGTCGGTCGTTTTGTCGAGCCGTCTGCAACTTCTGCCTTGTGCATCGATTCCTAGTCAAATGTGGGAAAATACTCGAATTCACCTTCCTATGTACGTTAAATTAATTCAATATTCAAAAAGCTTTTGGTTAAATTTCTTTTTTATTTATACATTTAAGCGCAGCTCCATTGGTGATGGCTTTAGCGAATTTGGCCCAAATTTTAGAGACAGCTTGCTCCAATGGGCTGTCGAAAAAGTGGGCCACAGATTTTTGATCGCCAACCAGGCCGCCAAAAAGGGCAAAGCTCACTTTTTGTAGTCCATTTTTGTTTTTTTTTTTTTTTTTTTTTTTTTAATTCAAACCCAGAACACTGTTTCTAAAGGTATATTTGGCTGAAATAAAAGTTAAAATTCCGATTTTTGACTTATTTTGGTTTTTTTTTTTTTTTTTTAAAATAATTGAACCAAAAAGCTGTTAAGGCACTGTTTGACTGACATAAATAGTGTCTTAAAAGCTTTTTTTAGGTAAAAAAACCTTTAAAAAAATAGAGAAAAGTGTTTTTTTAAAAAAAAAAATTTACTTTTCAAAATATTCCTTCCGGCATATAACCGTTTTAGGCACTGTTTGGTTGACCCAAACAGTGCCTTAACGGCTATATTGGCACAAAAACCTATTTTTTTAATTTATTTTTTTAAAAAAATAATTGTACATATGTATATTTATTTATTTATAAAAAACCTTTCATTTTTCCTCTATAAATACATCAACCCCTACTATTATTCATCCCATTTCCAACCCATCTTTTCTAATTTTCAACCTACAACTACAACCATGAAGTCATTTTCTTAATCTTTTAATTATATTTTTTACTCAAGTTCAATTCTATGAATCATCCACCACCATATTACAAGTACAACTTACAATTCAACTAATCAAATGATAATTTTGATCCCTTCTTATTTGTTGGAGAAAAATCTCAATTTGTTGAAAAAGAATCTCAATTTTCGTCTCATCAACCTTCTCAAGTTTCTAACATTCCTACTGAAGTGCCACAATCCATTGACACCCAACCTCCCAAAAATCAAAGGGCTATTCAGCCTCCAAATTGGTCCACGGTTGAAGATGAGGCTTTATGTTATGCGTGGATGGTCATTAGCATTGATGCGGTCATTGATTCAGACCAACAAAAGGCAGCGTTATGGATCTGAATTCAAGAAAGTTTTGAGCAATACGTTAGTGGTGCTGGTACACCTAAAATAAATCATATCGCCTGCTTGAATCGTTGGTCCTGCATGCAACAAATGATTACCAAATTTTCTGAATGCATGGCCCAGATCGAAAGGAATTACCCCAGTGGGCAAGACAATGAGTACAAGGTAAGTTATTTATTATTTTAAATTTAATTGATAGATATTTTAAAGATTTGTCTTATAATAATTATTGATTTTTATTTTTTTAGATGATAGCAGCCAAAGAGTTGTTCGCTCGTCAAAATAACACTAAATTTAAGTTTGGCAGTTGTTGGAACATTTTGAAGAGCAATAATAAATGGCATTTACATTGTCAAAAAAAATTTGACATAAAAAAAATCAAAAATCAAAAATCAAAACCGAAGAAGAGGAGTGGAATCCACATTGATGATAGTGAGCTTATTGGTCACTCAAACCCATCTACTCCATCAAGTAATACAGCAACGATACCAAGTTCAGTTGAAGGATCAGCGCATATAGGCGAAAATGATCCGACGGATGTTGAAGAATGTCAGCGACCACAAGGACGAAAAGTAGCGAAACAGAGGCAAAATAAGGATAAAAGACAACCTAAAAGTCAAAATGATTTTATTAGCAAATTCGATCATGCAACATCCCTTTACCAAAGATAATCTGAAACTCTTGAAGCCACTCAAATAGCACAAGAGGCACGCAAAATAGATAAAAATAAAAAATAAAAAATAAAAAATAAAAAAACCAACCAGATAACTCGACCTTCAAAGCAAACTAAGAGAGATTAAAAACAAACAAAGAACTGAAGATATGCTAATCATGCAAAAAAATCCAGAATCGATGCCAACACAAGCCGAAAAAACATGGCTAATTGAACGCCAAAATGAAATTTTAGCATCTATGCACGCACGCGGTAACTCAAGCTTTCCATAGAATTATCTCAAGTATTCCATATGATTTGTTCTGTTTTTTCTAATTGTTATGTTTTTAATTCATGTCGTATTGTATTATTTTTTTATTTTTATTGTATTGTTTAAATTTTTTGTATAATATAGCCGTTTTAAAAATACAGCTATTAGAAAAAAGTTAAAAAATAATTTTTTTTAAAAATTTAAAAAATATTAAAATATTAAATATTTTTGAAGAGCAAAAATACACTATTGGAATACATTCGATAGCTAAAATATGAAGACTCAAATGCTAACGTGGTTATGGAAAATACTGACGTGACTATTGAAAAATGCCGATGTGGCAAATTCGAAGAGTCCATTGGAGATGCTCTAAGTCTTCGAGAATATCCGTGTTTCCAGGGTGGAAAGGTTTGCGGGTCATTTATAATTTGCTTTATTAAAAAAAAAAAAAAATCAATTCTAGTGTTTTTTTTTTTGTTTTTCAAATGTATATACAGTTCCATACTTTAAAAAAAAAAAAATGGGAAAATACAGCTAACTTAAACCCCAAAGGATTGACTCGGTTAGAAATTGGCATTGTGTGCCTCATGAAGCATAACTTCGAATTCGATCACTAGTAGACACATATGTAAATGTATTAATTCTATTTATGTTATGTTTGGCTGCGCCTTGAATTTGGAATTGGAAAAAATTTAGAGCATCTCCAACCGTTGTGTTTATTTTTTTGTGTAAATCTAATGTGTCATGATGAATTTATACAAAAAATTTGTATTATTTAATTTTAGTTCCAACGGTTGTTTTATACTTTTGTGTAAAAATATATCTTCCACTGACAATCAACCATGTGTCATGTCAGGACCCCACGTAACTTTTACAAACTTACCTAATATATGGTTGATTCTTTACTGGAACGAGAAAGAATGATGAGAAAGGAAATATGTTGATCTGACAGAGTAAAAAGGTTGTGTATTTTACACAAAATACACAACCTATTACACATTGGTGATGTGGCAATGTATATTAACAGATTGCTGGAAATGGAAAAATTTTACACATCATAGGTGGCAGTGTATATTTTACACAAAAAGTTATTTTAACAGACCGCTGGAAATGCTCTTAATATACTAAATCGTTGTTTTGGATTTGGGATTAGAAAAAATTTAGTACAAATTATAAACTAAGTTTCCTCCATTTTCCAAATCAAGGCACCTATTTGGTACTCCTAACCATAACATTAATTTTTTTATTTATGTGTCAATCAATAATTAAAGGAGACCATCGTACTGCTGAGAAATTATTAAATTGACTTGAATCATTTGACATTTAGAAGACTAATCCAATAAAAACTGATGTTGATATTTTTTTGTAATATATTAAAGAAGATACTTGTCTCTTACCTTCCATGGAATTGAAGAAAATCATTAATTGAGATTCCAATATTTGGTATTGGGGAGGTAAAAGTAGGGTTAGAAACAGGGTTGAGTCTTCTCTCTGAACAAATTAATCAGGATTGGAGATAGGGGATGGATATAGAATTCAAGAAGGGCTGACGAATACGAGGTATTGGTGACGAGGGTAGGCCTCCACGAGTCGGGTGACAATTGGGTTGTTATAGGTGATGTTCTGGAAGCATGGGATGGTGTCGTCGGTTTGGCGGAGGTTGATGGTGCTACTACCATTGTTGTGCGTGAAGGTGGTGGTCTTGGATTAAAGGCGGTCGGAGAGAGATGAGGTGTTTGGAGATGGTAAAAGAGAGAGACCTAGATGGTAGAAAGATAGAAATGAGAATGATCCATTGCACGGAATTAGAGTATGAAATTAAAATTAGAGAAAATTTTAATTTATTCTTTCTCATTGAATAGGAGGTAAGCTTTGTCTATATATTAATACACTTTTATTTCGAAAATTTGGATTAAATTGGTTTACCAATATCAATAGTGCGGGATTATTTAATAACCAGAATATCGGGCCTTTAGATAGACTGGGCCTTAAGTACTTTAGTAGTTTATGTAGTTTTTAGCCTCTAGATAGATTGGACCCCATGTACTCTTCGGCCTAAGTAGTTTACGGATTTTAGGTTTCATGGTTGTGATTTAGGGTTAGGGTTTTATTTTTATATATTTTTAAGATTAAAAGCATAACATAAGTTTTTCCAAAATTAAATTTATGAGAGCTAAGGTGGGATGATTTTTGCACTTTAGAGATAAAATAATGATAAAATAACTGTTACTTCTGTATTTTTTTTTTTTTTTTGATTTTGTATATATTTAGGATTTTAACATATTCAAGAGTGACTCGCCTCAATTTTTATAACATATAGATTCAAACACTTCACCATTGTATTATGATTGGATTATATGTTCTGTAAATAAAATAATGTCTCCTTTGAAAATATTACCATTGTATTTTATTTTATTTTGTATACATTTATTATTTTAACATATATTTAAGTGCGAAGATATTTTCATGACGACTTTCAATTTTAACATATATGCGAGCAATGTTACATTCTTCAATAAATACAAGATATGTAAGTGGAGACATGAGCAGAATGATGTCATATAGTGTGACTTATACCCTAACTCACACAATCTTACCAATATATTTAATTTTGAATAATGTATCACTTTTCATAATATATACTTATTATAAAATCCTGATTGTTTGTATAAGAATATTTGATCCATGGAAGGGATTCTAGAATTGGGTTCGTTTTCTGACCGTATCTAGTAACTAGTGACTTAAAAATCTATTATACTGCAATTGATGTTTATATCACAATTTCTTATTTAATCTCAATACATCGTTTAGATGACTAGGGATTTTAAATTAGTGATATTTTATGGCCTTTCAAACATAGAGTCCAAGCCCCAATAAAAACAAAGCGAAAAAGTCTCCCCTCTAATTAACAAACATGCCTCCAAAATACTACTAGTGTTAGCAAATACGTCCCCAAAATATATATTGTAATAAATTGAAGGGTAGATTGTACCCACACCCTATTTGAGTTGGAGAGATTACTCTCAGAAACATTACTCTTTCACCTTAATTTGAATGAGATTTAGTGATAATTAATGAATAATTCAGTAGATGAAGTAATAATAATAAATTGAAGGGTAAACGCCAAAATGAAAAACAAATAAAAGTCATCAGAATTTGTGTAGCAACAACCAAAAAATTGTTCAAGATTTGGTCCCTCTGTCTATATGTGTGTTTAATAAAATGATTAAAACTAATAAAAGCTCTGAGTGGCTTCACTTTAACAATGGTAACTCCTTTAATTTAAACCCCCATATGAGATGATCCATGTGTATGTTATGATGCTGCTTCATCTATATTCCTCAATCCTCCTGTCTGGGTATTCTTATTCTACCACCCCCTGTTGACCCATCACTACTACGTGTCAAAACACACACACATCAATCCTCACTCCTCAGCTACACCAATTACCCATTTCAAAGGGAAACTCACAATACAGTACGCAAATATTTCAAACAATAGGAGAGGCTTCTTCAAGCCTTAATCAGAGTTAACAAAATCAAACACACACACACACACACACACATATATATAAACACAACACAAACACACACAGTCACACTCACAGAATTACCATTAAGAAGGACCAACGAGTTTTAACGTAACAAATTGGAAATAGGCCGACACAAAAATTAAACCACAGAGAAAACAAAAAAGAGGCTAAACAAGAATTTGCATTAGAAAGTAAAGAGAGTGCCAGTGACCAAACTGCTAACCTATTCAACAATTTCAAAACAAAGGGGGAAAAAAGCAGAAAGTGAAAAAAAAAAAGAAAAAAAACTTAATCAACATAGCATAGCATTAAAATAGAACAGGAACAATAAATCATAAGAGTGAAACACAATTATATCACAAATAAAACTTGAAATAGAGCCGTCAAATTAAACCAGCACAAACCAATTCCCAATAATAGTTAAACAATCACCCAATTAAAGCATCAAGCTTGAAAATCGAAGCAAAATCAAGATCATAAAACATCATTAAAGCTTCTCTACAATAAGTAACAAGAAATACAATCCTTAATACATAACCCGAGACTAATATTAAAGAACAATTCATGAGAAAACCTAGAACAGAATCAGACATTACAAACACAAAAGGCCTGGGACAGAGTTAAAACAGGGTAGACACCACTTGCCATTCACCCATTCCTGATGAACCCTCAACCGACTCATTGGGTAAACGATCTGATCCCATGTGGTCTCAAAATTGACCAAATAATCCAACCCAACTTTGCCAGCAATCCTTCCGACCCACCAACCATCGTTGTCAAACGCATCGATCTTGTCGTACAATCCAAAGGATGTCGCCGGAATTTGAGGTGGACGAGGCCGGACGTCGCCGGCGGTGACAATCTCTCTCAAGGGTCCGGACCTATCATCTTTCAACAGGGTCTTGTATTGCACAATGTAATCCTTCCCGAGAACCTCTGCGATCACTGTCGCAGCGTAGTACGAACCAAGAAACCCTTCCTCTTTACTCGCAACTTCGACTCGATCACCTCTGCGGAACCCCATTTTTTCCAATGGTACTCTGAAAATACTAGAAGATGCGAATTACAGGAAATGTGTATATAGAGAGAGAGAAAGGGGGCGGAGTTGGGTTTTGGAGAGAAAACCCTAGAGAGAGAAGGGAGTGAGAGGATGAGATTTTTTTTTGAAAGATAGATTCTTGAAGAGCAAGGAAAGCTTACAAAGAGGACATGTGTAAGTGTGGTTTATATATAGTTCGGAATAGGAAACTAGCTTTTGGGGGGGGCGGTGGGGCCGTTGTGATGATTGCCCATATCAGCCTTATGATTTTACCCAAAGCAATAAAGAATCGGCACAAAATCAATGTGAACTGCTGGCTTTATTGTAATTTCAGGCACATGATGTGATCTCACTCTCTGGCTTGGATCATCTCTATTACAAAGCATAAATCTCATTATATACTTAAAATATTTCAATTTTGATAAGAAAACAAATCTAATCGCAACACTAAACATAAAAGTTAATTCATGGACCATCAAAATGAGCCCTATCACCAAATTTTCATAAATTGAATTAAGGAAAGAGTAGTAATTTAAAAAAGGTTAAGTGCAAAAAAAAAAAATTCTGATATATAAGCTTTGTGCTGAACAAGTTTTAATTTTTTGAAAAAGTGCATGCAAGCCTACAAAATTCAAAAAAGGTGCATAATCGGTCTCTCTGACAACTTTTTACAAAAAGTAAAACTTAAAATTTCATTTTACCCTTTTATTTTCCATTTTGCCCCTCACCATTTGTGCATAAAAACCATCAGCATTTGTGCAAAAAAGCCCCCCACCCCTAAACCCATTTCGTCTCTCTTTCTCTCCATGCATGTCCGCTCTCTCTCCCTCTCTCTCTCCATGCATGTCTCATAAATTTTCTTCATTTACTCCCAAACATGCCATCATCTTCAAGCTCAATAATCTTAGTATCCATTTATAGGATTAAACCAGAGATACAATTTTATATAATATATTTATGTTTGGTTGTTTTTGCAGTGAGTGTTCTGCTGATTCTGTAGGCAATAGATAATTATTTATTACTGGGGCTTAGTACCTTTCGTCCAGTGATGGTCTACTTGTGAGCACCACTTACTTCTCTTTCCCTTTCTCTTGGTTTCTAGCTAACCAGAGACACCCTCTTCAATTTTTCATCTATTTGTTTGGAGCTATGGTGGTTAGTTAAAGATTTAGTTGATTCAATCGAGAGTAGTTTTCTATTCATCTATTTGTTTGGAGCTATGGTGGTTAGTTAAAGATTTAGTTGATTCAATCAAGAGTAGTTTTCTAAGAATCAAGAAGTCAAGTCAAAGCTTTGAATTTCTTGATACATTTGTTCTTTTTTTTTTTTTTTTTTTTTTCTTCCTAAAAATCGTTGTGTCTTAGGCTTGTGGGATCTTATTAAGTGGTGGGGTTTTCCATGATTCTATAGATGTTTATGTAGAGAGAGAAAAAGGTGAAGTTTAGCTTGGTAAGTTATGGCTAGTAGTGGGTTACAAAACCAGGATGGATTGTCAGAAAACCTAAAGAAGCAGCTTGCCAAAGGATCCTTATAATTTTAATTTTTATCATACACAATTTGTCTATGAATTATTCGGTCTTCCGGTGTTCAACATGTGGACGGGAAAGCCTCTGTCAAAGGATCAGGAGTAGAATTATACTCTGCAAAAAGCAAAGAACAGAGTGATCAAATTGATCAATTAATCCAAACCCATGTAATGATCTCTCTCATACTAAAATGGGTCTATCTAATTTTTCAATTTCATAGATGTAATTGCGAACCAAACACCCCTCTTCTCCTCCTTCAACAAAACCTAACAGAAGGCAAGCAACATTTGGAACCGTGGCATACCGGCAAGCATCAACGGAGCAAGGTAATGGCCACATAAGGCGTCGGCAACAACAAAGCGACGCGATCTAGATGGCAACAAAGACGATGGCGATGGAAACCACAACTGGTCCATCTCAAGCCAGTAAACAAAAGGCCAAGGCCTTTCCCACAGTGAAGCGACGGCTTCCGGTGGAAAAAAATTAACGGTGGGTTTGGTGTAGTAGATCAAAGTTTTTTTGGGTTAGACCTAGTTGGTGTGGTGGCTTCTGGTGGAGAAAATTTTATGGTGAGTGTGAATCTTTCTTTGCCCACTTCAAGGTTTTCTCAAGTTTCAACAATGAAAAGATTGGTTTGGCCCCAAATCCGTTAGCTGAAGGGTGTGGTGATGAAGGAAATGGAGAATAATGAAATGGGTCTGAAGTTTAGAGAGACGAAGAGGAGAGAGAGTAAAGAGAGAGAGAATAAAACTATAATATAATAAAAATATAAAATTGATACTAATATAAAAATTAAAACTGATAATATAATAAAAAAATATAATAAAATCTGATAATATAATATAATAAAAAAATATAATAAAATCTGATAATATAATAAAACTGATAAGTATAATATATATATATATATATATATACATATACACACACACACAATGGCTTCTTGCGGGTATTATCGTCATTTTACTTGGTTTGTTTATAATTATTAATTTATTCAACTGAAGTGAGGGTAATATCGTCATTTTACGTCTCCAAGGGCCTATTCGCACCAAATTGATAGTATAGGGGGATTTTTTACCACACAGGGACCGATATGCACTATATCGATAGTAGAGGGGAGTTTTTTGCACTTAACCTATTCAAAAATTAAATTCAACAAAATTTAATTTATTACAAAGAGTAATGAATACATGATAATATGAGACATTTCACCACATTGACATAAATTAAATTCGATAACTATAATTACCTATAATTACTCGTCTTTAAATCATTATTTAGATAGAAGAAGAAGTTTAAATTGTCAATTAGATTTAAATGAATTTAGCATAATTGTGTCTTACTACTTCTTAGTGACTCTGTACCCAATTAAGGTACATAGGGATAAAGGCTTATTGGTGTAATACCCCATATTTTATTAAAGAGCTTAGTTTATTTAAATTCATTTATGTGTAGATTTCTTTACCTATTATTGTACATGCTACATTATTATATTAAGTTCATTTAATTGTACATGTGAATTAATTGTGTATGTTAAAGTAGTAAATTTATTCATTTAAATGTGCATGTATTCTTATTTTATATTTTTATTGGTAAGGTTTATATTAAGCAATATTAGTTAATTAAAGTGTTATATTTATATTGTAAAGTATGATTATGATTGTAATGTATTCTTATAAAAATAATAAAATAATAATAATAATAATAATAATAAGAATATAATAATAATAACAATAATAATAATAATTATTATTATTATTATATTAGTATTAACCAAAGTCATGTCATATGTGTGATTATGATGAGTTCATTTATGTTATAAGGAAGACTTAGTGGCATGCCTTAAAGTAATAATAATTATAATAATAAATTAGTAATAATAAGACTAACTAAATATTACTAAATCAATGTAATGATGAAAAAATTAAATCTTAGGATAGGATTTCATTCCCATAGTTGAACCTTAGGACATTTTGCTTGACTTGGCTTGCTTGACTTAATGTGATATATGTAGGAAGATGGGAAGGTGAAAAGTTAATGGAAAATTTGACATTATAATATTTATATTATATAAGTTAGTTATATATATATATGTTGCTACCTTTGAGTAGTTCACATACGTAGAAGTAAGAAATAATATTGTGGGCTATTCTGTAAGTGTGGAAAAGAAAAGAGAGAAAGAAAGGAGCCTGGACCGGTGTAGGTATTTTTTTACCCGACTATGCGCAACCGACGGATTTATTTTAAATCCAAAAGACAAGTTATTATCTACTTTTCCCCTTTGAGTCCATAAATTATTCATTACATTTATTCGGCTATTTTTTTAGGCTAGAAACCATGCTAGGACAATGATAAATTAAATATTTAATTTATTAAAATAATGTGATATTAAATATTTAAGGGTTAAATAATTTATTATTGGCCTAGGTAATTAATTGAATCTTAAGAATTGTTATTTAAGGCTTTAGAAATTTTTCTAGAATTTTTGGGCAATTTTCGGAATTTTTTTGTAATTTCCGGCGATCTTCCGGCGAGTTTTCCGGTCGCCGGCAATGGGGGAGATGGCCGGAGTAATCCGGTGTGATACGGCGCACTATAGTTACTGTGCACATGGATATCCGACCGTTAGATGAGTAACTAATCAGCAGATTGATTCGGTGTAGTGCAATACGCCATAGGATGGTGTGCGCGCGAACCAGGACCCTTGGATTAGAAGAACTAAGATAGAATTATCCAGTGTAGCGCGCCCACAACAAAGTCCATGCAACCACCGAATCAGGAGCAGCCGCGTCAGCAAGAAGCATTAGAGGGCGCCTGGGAGCGCGTGCACGCGCGTGGCAGGTTCTAGACCCGCGTGATGGCGCGTGTAGGCGCGTGCGCGTGTGAGAATGAGTTGGCTGCGCGTGGGGAAGCTTAGGGCGGCGCGTGGGGGCGCGTGAAGGGCCCTTTAAGTTGCTAGAAATTACCAGACTACCCCTAGGGCCATTTTTGTGAATTTCAGAACCTTAAACTTTGATTTTTAGGACCTCTGTTGGTATTTACGGGTTTGACGGGCCACGAAATTATTATTTTATTACCCGTTAATTATTCTTATGGCCGATTAATCTTTTCTAAGTATTTATTGGCTCGTTTACAGTATGGATATGAATGTGATTTATTTAATGACATTGTTAAATATAAATAGTGTTATTATCTTATTAAATGGTATCAAACATCACTGTTAAATTAAAAAATGCCATGGTTTTAGTCATATAAATTATCCATGATATCTTATGGGATGTTTATACTGTTAAATGATATATAAACCATGATTATTATGCTGTGTGCATTTCAGGAAATAAATGGACTGTTTAATTATGTTGCATTTATATTATATGGATGTATTGCCATATAGAACCATGTGAGCTGGCTAATAAGTTTAGACTCATTTATACCTTATGCATTCGTTGCGATAGACAGATGTGTGGCTGTCGGGGTATGTGGTTTTATATTATTAGCATGTGTTGCCTAATTGACATACTCAGTATATTAGTATTATTATTGGCATGTGTTGCCTAATTGATATGCTTAGTAACTCATTAGTACATTGAGATGCGTCACTACTGTGTAGTCTTTACAGTCTGTGTTGTCAGTACCGTGCACCGTGTATAATAGCTGATTTCCCAGGTAGGGAAAGGAGACACTTAACCACCTAGTGTGAGTCTAAGTGATCCCCGTCTATTCTGGTTGAGGTCATATTATACATTGGGTAGTTCCATTTGGATGTATACAGATATAGTACTTATCCGATTCATAATGGTTAATTTATTTGATTCTCTGATTTGGGTCATAGTAGAGAGGACTTGCTCGTGGGGTTGACCCACTATTGTTGTTATTTCAGGATACGATCAGTACCCGTTCCAAGGTTAAGGTTATCAGTGTGGGACCACCATCCGAACTCATCTACTCTTACGATCCAGTTCAGGGTAGAAGTTTTATGTATTACTTCAGTTTCAGTTTTTATTTACTTTTGACGTTGAACTCTCATGTTTATATTTAGGGATCCTTGACATAGGATTTCCAAGTTATAACGGAGTACTGTATTAAATAAAGGATGGATGGATGTTTTATTATTTAGTATTCCTTTTCTGTCTAAATTCTTTTATTATTATCATTTTGTATTCCATGCTTGTATATTGCCAATTGTTTTTGATATTCTCCGTTTTTCGTGTATAAGCCTGATCAACTTATGCGTGAAAAATGTGGGGGTGTTACAATTGGAGTCAAAGTTCATATTTGACATGGATCATATCATATTGCATGTACAAGGAGATTTATCTCTCAAACTCGAATACAAGTTATCACATTTCATGATTAGTCCAAATTTTTACTGTTGAAATAAACCATTATTCTTTTATTAAATTGTTATTTATTATCGTCTCTATCCTAAAAAAGATGTCCTGTTTAAAAAATCGTGACTCACATTTCCCAAATAGGTATGAGACAGAGGAAGTATATATAATTATATTATATATATGTGAAGATAAAATAAAATAAATTGTGAATAAGGAGAAAAAAATGGATCGGTAAAGTAATTATATTTTCATTAGGTATAGTTGTCATACAACATAGCCAATACGAAACAAACTACATATTTTTGCTCCACGCTTTTATTTAATTTTCAAAAGCCACTTCCACCAAGTTCATTGGGAGAATGCATCTATATATCCTCCTTAATGTATTTGTACCATCCATCAAAGTCTGCACATAATAAAAATAAGAATCCATTAAAATCACTATAACTTAAAAATATATAGATATATATTGAGGATCAATTAATAAATTAAGAAATGCAAAATGATGCAAAAATAAGTAACGGGCCATTGAAACCATATGATATAAAATATGAGAGAGAGAGAGAGAGAGAGAGAGGGAAAGATATTACTTTTTGCAGTCCACGCTGGGATCTATTGCTATGCTGATATTGATTTTGCAGAGTTGGGGAAGTTGCTTGACTCGGTCACGATTGACAGGAAAAGACCTTGCAGTTTGCTTAAAACACTCGCACAGAGCCCTGCGTTCGGGTATCGAAGCCTCAGCTATCTTGTCCAGGCCTTGTGCCGCCTCGCAACAGTCAGTGCTAGGCACAGCAGCACCAGCACCAGCACCAGTCAAATACGACTCACACGGGATCATCTTCGTTATCGCATCGCCGCACTCAATTCCGTTCACACTCACAGGGCTAGCAATCACAACCAAAACCGCCAATCCAAACACGCACAAAGAGCAACCCATTGTCAATATTAAATCGAGAGAGAGAGAGAGAGAATTTGAGTTTTTGGTATGCAGGGTTTTAGGTTGCAAGTGAATTGCTTGAACTATATGTAATCCTCCTATTTTATAATGCATGGCTAAGCGAGGGTAGTTTGGGTAGTACGAGAAATAAAAAAAATGATGATGTCATTACTTGAGTTGCATGTTTAGCCACATTAAAGTCGATCGTGGGCCGGTCAGCTTTTCATTTGCAATTTTGGCCTTTTTTGTTGTTATTTAAGCACCTGTTTTGACATTATCTTAACAAACTTGAGTGTGGAAACAAATTTTTTATTGATTAACAACTTATCTGTATTTAATTTTAGGGTTGCTAGGCTGCAATAAATAGCTTTACCTGTATTTAATAAAAAATTAAATTATCGAATCCTAACTAGTAACCAGTAACTACAAACTACTGTCAAAACTATTAATTACTACTTAATGCATTATTGCTGTAATATTATTTGTTCTTAGCTGCATCCATATTTTATTTTATTTTATATATATTATTTGTTCTTAGCAGCATCCATATTTTATTTTATTTTATATTTTTTTTGGCACAGCAAAAAAAATTCAAAAATGAAGAATTTAGTAGCTTCTAACATATATTTAACATTATTAAAAGAAAAAATATGAATTAACATAATATATTCCAAAATATAAACCACAAAGGTTATAAATCTATCTGTAGGATAACATGTACATCTCAACACTGGAATATTGGGCTGAGATAATATAAGTTAAAACCCAACACACTATTTCAATTGTAATAAACAATTTGCACTTTTAGATATTTATTAAAAGAAAAATGACAAGTATTAATGAATTAAAAAATAAAATTTTCTTAAAAATTTTGATGTTTACAAATATGGAAAAGGAAAATGTAATTTGCATATTTGTTAAAAAAAAAAAAAAAACCGTGAAATCCGTCCGTCCCATCCAAAATATTTAGGCTGAGTTTTGGAGATAACCCATTTTGAGTATAATTCGGGCTGGCCCAACTCAACCCAATTTTGGGTTAAGGTTGGGTTGGGACTGAGCTGGGTTGGGCCAGCCCAACTTGCAACCCTAATATAGACTAACAAGCACTGCATAATTGTGTGTGTATATATATATATATATATATATATTCACTATTTTACAAAGCATAAAGAAAAAATGCTTCTGTTTCCAACACTCATGAAATGTTTGAATAAGAACAGTCGTTACATGCATAAAATTAGGTTAAAATTATCACTATGCAAATGAATAAGCACAATTGCAAACAGTTAAATATTTTTTAAGTTATTTTTTTCTTATGCATGTGATGGAGGCATGCAAAGAGGAAAGAATAATTAAAAAACCATTGGACATTAATTCATCAACTGAGGTATTCTGTTCTCGTTGATCCGGTAATTCATTTTAGTACTCAACCAATGCCTTTATACATTTACTAGAGGATTTACTTAAAATAAATAATATTGAGCATTTCTACGGCCTCTTCAATTGACAAGGTGTTGCATTGACCATAAGGCACAAAAAACCAAAGCTTATAGGATTTTTCACGACATTAGCTATTTAGGGATATTGTGATAGAGAATGAGAAGTGGAGTTCGCTGACACGACACTATACTCCAATTGTATGTTACATACTTTTGTTTCCACTTTATCTAGATATTGTCTATTCAATCTTGCACGTCGGATGCCCCAACACAATGTTAGATTTGCTTCGACTCAATTTTCAATTTTTCAACCCTTCGTGTGCGAGTAAATATAGGGTGCATCAGTTATACTAAGTCATTAATATACCTACATAATTAAAATGCACTATTCAAATTTGTTGGGAGTAATTTTTATAAATATATGAGAACAACCAACTTTAATTGTCAATTGATTGAATAACGTGGTATGCCTAGTATGCATCGAACCTACACCACCTTTTAAGTTTTATATCAACCGAGGCCCAAGGCAAAAACATTGAATAGGACCTTTATGAGGCTCGGTCCATTATAATAAACCACCCAAAATAGTATGACCGGCCCAGCCATATCGATGTACTGGACAGTTTGGACCTTTGGAGTGGAATAACGAATAAAATGTGAAAAAGATGCGCCGGGTGAAAGTGAAATAGAGTGTTATTTATTTTATTTTGAAATGAGTGTTTTATAAATATTCATGTCATTCATGTTTGGAATATATAATAAAAAAATATTAAAATGCATTTTATGAAAATATTAGGATGCATTTTTATTTATAAAAAAATATATATATATGACTGTACAATTGAAAGTGATCCTTATCCAATATTCGTTGAGCCAAATATTCGTCGAGCCAAACTGCCACCAGGCATCAGGAAAGTCAAAACAAACAACAAAACAAACGCTCTCTTATACGATATTTTTGTATAAAAGGACTATTTTGAAGAAATTATCACATTATCCTAAAAATCTATTTATGCCAAGTCCTTTTCCCCTTCTTCAATTTCTTTTTATTATTTATTTATTATTTTTTTTTCTGGCTACAATTTCCCCTTCTCCTTTACACGACATAAAAATGTTTGTCCTGGCATTGAATATTCTCTTCCCTAGCAAAGTTTGATCTTCCATTCTTTCTCTCAGCTCCGTTTCAGTCTTATTAGATAGAGAGGGAAGCATACACACACAGTAGTCACACACACACAGAATATGGCGACTCTCTCTTCTACTGTCTCTGCAATCTCAGTGTCATCAAATTCCTCCCTGAAACCGAGAAAGTGTAAAAACTTAGCTTCCTTCAACTCTCAAAACCCTCTCCTTTTAAATCTTCTCTCTTCTAGTCAGGCCTCTGGTTCATCTCATCAATTGATTACAAGGTAATGTTAAAATTTCATCAATCGACCTTTTCTCAAAGTTTGTGGTTTCGATGTCTATAAGTTTTACATATTTAGGAATATTTTTTTTTTTTTGGGAGTTTTAATGCTACAAAATTTCCCTAATATTTTTCAATTCTCTGCTTGGTTGGTTAGAAATGGTATAGCTATGGAAGAAAACAGAAGAAAAGAATTTAAGTTTGTTAGCGTTAGATATTTCGTTATTAGGGTATACTGACCGAGTCACCCGAGGAAACAAATATCTGAGAGACACAACATATAACTCGTAACATTGCGTGAATGATCAACATCTTGTTGTTGGTGGCTGGCTGCTGAGAAACTTGCTAGCAATGGTGTTTTGATTAATCAAGCTGACACACGCACACACAATTGTCTGTTTATGTCACTAACAATATAGTGATCATCAATTTCTTGAGTTGGTCATGACCGATCGAGTCTGTCAATGTGTTAGATCCAATCTAGGTTTAAAAGAGAATGATCTATGCAAGCACACATTCAACAATCTGTTGTTGGAAACTTGGAATTGTGGGCAAGCATTGGTCATTGAATATTTTAAAAACCTTAATAGTTTGCCCAGTGTAAATGATTGGAAGATTTGGTAGGTTGTTAGAGAGGAGAGTTGGAATCTTGTGCACCTAGCTTATCCTGTCATCATAAAGTGTTGTGATGGGTTTAGCATCGTAAACTCAAGTGTCCATTTAGGAGGTCCCATGGGTGTTCCAAATTTTTGTTCCTTATTGTAATTTTTATACGTGTTTTCTATAATTATACTTCACTTCACATTTTGTCCATTTTTAAAAATAATTAAGGGGTTCCCATTAGATTGCTGGGTATTAGAACAGTGATTTTAGATTAATGGCTGATTTTCTTTGCCTTTTGAGTTTTTGCTCCATCTAGTTAATTTTACATTTTTGCCGAAATGTGTTCAGGAAGTTGTACAGAGTCCAGGCATCAGTCTTGCAAGATAGCGAGGAGAAAGTAGTTGTGGAGGAATCCTTCCAACCAAGGACTATTCCTGATGCTGAAGGGAAGGAAAAGCATGGGGAATCATCTGAGGGTTCATCTTCTAGTGAGTTGGAGAGATGGGTTATTAAGTTTGAACAATCTATAAATATCTTTCTCACGGTAAATACTCTCTTCTTTTGTTCTCTTTATCTATCAAATTCGATCAAGCTCTGGTGTCGCAGCTGTTGCTACAGTATATTGGAGACCTATGGTTGCTGATCTTACCCAATGTTAATTACTACATTTTTTTTTTCCCTTGTGGTACTTTAAATAATACATGGACTATTTAGTTACAGATTTGTGGTAAAGTAGGAAGATATGACTCAAAATTGAACCTATGATTTGATTTTTTTTTCTTCTGAGATCCCTTATTGTGATGGAAATCGCCAAGTCTGACGTTTGGGTGTATTTATCCGAGTTGATCTTGTGACAAATTAATACATTCCTTGTTATTTTGTTGGAAAGATATACAATGTTTCAGTTCTTAACCTCTTAAATTGTTTCCACATTGTGCTAATCTTAATTTTTAAATTGATTGACAGATTAAAAAATGATATATAGTTTCTATTGTTTTTCCCTTTCTTAGTGCTGAGGAGCCTCGCATACAATTTGTTGTTTACAATTTCAATCTTTTGTATAACAAGTGGATAGTATAAACTATAGATGATTTTTACCCACATTTGGTACCATCCAGTGCCTAGCCCACCTTGCCAATTTGGCATCCATTATCTTGAGAAGTTCAGAATTTGATGTGTCTGCTTATTTCTTTGACTATGCTTGGCTGCTTGCTTACCGGAAGTTGACACTCATTGCTGATCATAACTTTGTTAATCATTCCAGGATTCAGTGATAAAGATACTTGATGCTCTGTACCGGGACCGAAACTATCCAAGGTTTTATGTATTGGAAACTATCGCAAGAGTTCCTTATTTTGGTGAGTATTAGTTTCTTTCCTTTTTATTTTTCTTTTATTCTCTTCAAGGGGCTCTATACCCTATCTAAAGAAACTTTCTTCCAAATAGTTAAGTTCTTAGTCTTGAAACATTCATTGACACCTTAATTTTTGGCATCTGCACGTGTTGCTGCGGATATCTCTGCAAGTATAGTCTTCGTTCTGCATGCAGCATGCCTACATGTGCATTTGAACAGTTGAGCTTAGGTTATATTTTATTGAAGACTGAATCATCTGTAATGAAAAAAATAAAAAATAATAAGGCCCTTGTAAATTATAAGCATAGTATTTATAGTTAATTCATTTAAGGGCTCGGTTACCAATTTCCTCTATTATGCATTGATAAGGAACTGCAGTGTTATATCAAAATTTACTGAGTTGGTTTTTTATTCTAGCCGGTTCTTGAAAAGCTTTCTTGCTCATATGTATGTTGAACATTACGGTATTGTGATAATTATATCTTAGCTGGGATTTATGCTACGATTTGTTGTTGTGACAGCTTTTATTTCTGTACTGCACTTGTATGAGAGCTTTGGTTGGTGGAGAAAAGCAGACTATCTGAAAGTACACTTTGCTGAGAGCTGGAATGAAATGCACCATCTGCTTATAATGGAGGTAATGCTCTTGCTTCAAGTATCTTTGAGACTTTGATGTTTATGCAATCGTCTTATAAAAGAAGATACCATGAAGATGGTAAGATTCGCTTTGGAAAGGGCCCATGGTGACTTATTGTATGCAAATTTGTTTAGTCTAAACTCCACCCTAGACTTATGCCTCCATTTCTATGTTTTCTCGATTTATGGTACATTTTTTTTTTTTTTTTCTTAGTTGGTACTCACACACCCATGCCTACCCTGAGGCTTGAACCCTGGACCTCCCTTTGAGGAGTAGGAGCTTGGTACCGCTGGGCCACTGCCAGTTGGTGATTTATGGTACATTTTGTGGTTGAAGGTTTTTTTATGTTAAAAGATGGAAAAGCTAATATGGTTAAGGAAGTAGATACTAACGTGAGAATGATGCACAGAAGTTTGTTAACTTCACAATTCTCTTTTAGACTACTTTTTATCATGATGCAGGCTTCATATTACGGTGAACATCATTTGCACTGCTTATGCTTTCTAATTCTTGATGTTAACTGAGAATTCCCCCTTCACCTCTATTTTGCAGGAATTGGGTGGAGATGCTTGGTGGTTCGACCGTTTTCTTGCTCAACATATTGCAGTATTTTATTATTTTATGATAGTCTTTATGTATGCTTTAAGCCCACGAATGGCATGTAAGTATGAATACCCGGTAATTGCAGTATTTTATTATTTTATTAGTCTTTGTGTATGCTTTAAGCCCTCCGACTGGCATGTAAGTATGATGAGAATCTGATTCCTACTGCGTGTTAAGTCCTTGCCATTTTTCTCTCATATCCCGCTTGGAAATCCCTGCCTAATTTTTGTGAAGAAGCAATGTATTGACCTGTCTGAGATTTATATCATCTATGTTATCCGCTCTTGGATAAGTGAAATTGACTCCACAATTAACGTTCCATATCTTAGACCCAAGTTATTAGGCCTAAAAATCCTAACAACGTTCACACACTCACACTCGTTTCCCTCCAACCTCCACCTACCCAGTGGATGTGTTTTACTTGTTTTGCATTTCTTTTCTTCATTAAAACTATTGGTTAGCCATTATAAATTGAGAAAGAAGCAAATGCTCGTCATTTGCCCCTCGTCCTCCTCCTCCTACTCCTTCGTTTGCACGTGGGGCCCTCTAATTGAAAAATGGCATTAGATAGCAGATTGGAAGGGACCTATGCTGGCATTCTTCCTTGGATACCGATGTTTTTATTTGGTTTCTTTCCTGGTGCAGATCATTTTTCAGAGTGTGTGGAGCACCATGCATATGAAACTTATGACAAATTTATCAAGGCCCAAGGAGGTATGTGTAAGAATTCTAAGTGTCAGCGATGTTAGTTCAATACAATTGGTTCATGTATAAGATAGAAGTCGAGACATCCTCATTAGATTATTATTATTATTATTTTGCTTGTTAGTATTCTGTACAAATGATGAAAGTGAAAGGGAGATTATAGTACTCTGATCTTCTCAACAATCCATCAATTTTAAAAATCTTGGCATGCTGAAGAATCAAATATGTGATGCTTACCATATAATTAGCTGCAAACTGGGAATTTCCTATATTTTCTAATTCAAGTTCCATTTTCTGACATGGCCTGCCAATAAAATGATAATATGTGTCTTCCGTTTCTTTATAGAGGAATTGAAAAAACAGCCTGCACCTGAAGTTGCAGTGAAATATTACACTGGAGGTGACTTGTACTTGTTTGGTAAGTTTGACTTTTACTACCAGTTCTTTATCTCTCATATTGCAGCCTAGGTTTAATGATTTTTGAGCTTTTGTTCCCAGATGAATTTCAAACTGCAAGAGTTCCTAATTCCCGGAGGCCAAAAATAGGTAAGAACCAAACTTTGAGTTTGCCTTTTGGTTCGTGATTCAGATATGTGGAAACAAAGATGACAGTTGCTTATAGTAAACTATACTTTTATTTATATAACATGCGAAATGGTACTTAGAAAATATGTGCTGTTATTTAGTTGGGTTATGAAGGTTCTGTCAAGTGAATGAAACCTTGCAATAAAACTTATAAAATATAAATGGTGATATGAAAACACCATAAGGGTCCGTCAAAGGTTTCAACTTGACCAATTCGTTATCTGTTAAGAATGTGATCAAATAGTTGCTGGACCAGTTGCTGGTCTTGGGCATGCTGATTCTTTCTAATGTCTATGAATGTATTGTGTCTAAATCAGTTGGTTTCATGAGAAGTCAATTGTTTTCTGATTTTCTACTTGTAGCAAGCAATAGCCATAATCCCTTGCCAAAAAAAAAAAAAGAAAAAGAAAAAAAAGAAAAACAATCGATCATTAGCCATAATCAAATACTTTGTAAAACTAATGTCCTACAGAGCTTGTAACTGTTGTATCTGTTTATGTTTATGTCACCTTTTGATACTTGTGGCTGCGACTGTTTTTCGTTTTCCTTTTCTTTTATGGGGTGTTTATTGTGCTAATTAGTATTTGAGCATATTTTCTTTTCTCATTTAAGCTTAGTGTTCAAATTTAATTGAGAATTTGGCTATGGAAATTCTCTTTCATATCTCAATTTCATAAAAATGATAGGTGTAAATATGCAGTATTTACTTCAAGTTACTGCTTTTGTGGAATAAATCCTCTGGAAACAACTAATATATTTTCTCAATCGCTGCAGCTATGGGAAATTAAACCTTCTTATTACCTTGTATTCTTTTAACCACCACAACAGCATACTAAATAAGTTGTGTCAACTTTTTTTTTTTTTCCTGAATAAGTTGTGTTTACTTCTTTTCAACTGTTTTTTGATTTTAGAGAATTTGTACGACGTGTTTATGAACATCAGAGATGATGAAGCAGAACATTGTAAGACGATGAAGGCGTGCCAAACTCATGTGGATCTTTGCTCCCCTCACTCGAATCCAGAGTATTCATTTGAAGATGAATCTGGCTGCATCCCGCCTATAAAAAAATCAGTCACATCTCCTCAAGCAAAGGAAAAGTGATACTGATGAAAGAAGTGTGAGAATCGATACCAATGAATACAGTGTATAGAAATTATAGATCCAATGTAAGTTTTCCGTTTTCAACTTTACCCTTTCTGTATATATGTTGCAATGATTGTATTTGTAGTTTCTAAAGGGCTTTGAGCTTGACCCTAGTTTATATATTATGTTTGACATGGGAGACCCAATTTTTTGAGATTCTCATGCATAAAAAAATACTGTAGTATATATTTGGACTAGGGAATAAAAATGCCTGTGTATTTTTAAAAGTTTTCAACGGATAGCTTCAGATTTTTGGCTACACTACATTGATACAGACTGCAGCCTAACAATCATTGAAATATGTTTCTTCTGTGTTATGTTTATTTTTTTGATTCGTCCCAATCAGTTGTTGATCAATACAAAGTATAGGAGTCATATTTCTAAAGGTAGCAAAAAGTTCAAACATCTCTCATGAAATCCTGAACACAGTCTTGTACAATTAGGAATTGCTGGCCATTTTCCTGTTATGGAATTTTACTGTGGGATGAATGATCAATTCAATTCAAGTAAGGCACCTTGAGAAAGAAGTTGCTGTTGAACCTTTCTAGTCTCTTTTTATGGGAGGTGCGTATGAGTTTGTATTTAATTACTTTTGTGGTGATTGTTTTTGATCATTCAAAGGTTGATTTAGGAAACCCCTCTCTGAGCTAGCTCGCTCACTCTCACTCTCTCAGTAGCCTTTCAAAGTAGAAGTCTAGGTTCAAGTCTCATTAGGGGCAATGTGGGTGTGTGAAATACACACACACACACTAGGAATTGCTGGCCAATGTCCTGTTATGGAATTTTACAGTGAGATGAAATGATCAATTCAATTCAAGTAAGCCAACTAGAGAAAGAAGTTGCTGTTGAAACTTTCTAGTTTCTTTTCATGGGAGGTGCATATGAGTTTGTATTTATTTACTTTTGTGGTGATTGTTTTTGAACATTCAAAGGCTGATTTAGAAAACTCTTATCTGAGTTAGCTCGTTCTCACTCACTCAGTAGTCTTTCAAAGTAGGAAGTTGAGAGTTCAAATTTCCTTAGGGGGCAACTTGAGTGTAAAAAAAAATGAGAAATATATTGAGCTTACAATGGTGGATGGATGATTTTTATGTTTGAAAAATAAGTAATAATGTATAATTATTGATTTAAAATTATTGCCTTTTTTGGACTGAGCTTTCTATTTAATTGTTGAGGAATTGTAGTTAATGTTTCTAAAATTGTATTTATTGATTTATTTAATGACGACTCAACCGTCCTCTAAGGTTGAAAATGAACAAAGTGGCAAGAAGTGGCCAAAAACGCAGAAACAAAAGTAAACTATGGGAAAGCAAACAGCTGTGTTCGTGGCACTGTGTCGACCACTTGACATATCATATGTTTACGTGATGTCTCACAAGTCTTCTTCACACACTGGTACAAAACTTGGAATTCAGCCTACACTAGTACTGCAAGTATCTAGATATTATATGTGTACAATTAAGTTCAAAGCATCTAAGCATTAAAATATTTTTTATTACTCTTGTTCCATGAATAATGTGTAGTTTTTTCATATTTTAGAGGGATTTGTGTAATTAATCTTAGAGGTTGATTTTCAAGATCTGCTAAACGATAACTATAAACATTAATAGCCTTATTTGCAAATTTTCAACGGGGTTAATTTTATTACAAAAAGGTGTTGTTCAAATTTTTTATAATTTAAGGAATTGTGTGCAGTTAATCTTAATTTCTATTAACATAATTTATATTTAACATTTATAAATTATAGTGTGATAATTAAATTACGCCCAATATTAAACTCAGTGATCGAGTGATAAGGGTAAATGGTCGATGAAAATCAATGCCTATGTGGTTGACTTATATATACAATTATTAGGGCAATCTTCCAATAGACGCATAATAATTTTTCATAAAAAAGAAAAAGTGAGATTAAGATGGTTTTTCCTCCATTTCATCAAAAGATGTCTTTTCATATATATCTTTATGAGGTGGGTCTATATAAATTTTAATTATTTTTGTAATTTTTACTTTTCGTCTGGTGGAGAGATGAGAAAATGGATGGAAGAAAGGGGGAGGGACGAGATCATGAAGAATCCCTGAGTAAGGAAAGATGTCTCCTTAATTTTTAAGAAAAGATGTCTCCTTAATTTTTTTATATGATTTTTTTTTCTTTTTTGAAAGAAGAAAAATAAAGTTTTTATATATTTTTTACCAATATACACTCATGGTATAAAATAATAAAATGTAGATATTCATTTGAATTTTTTTGAAAAGGTTAAAATTAAAATTTTTATATGTATAAATAGTTAATCATTTTTCTCTCTTCTCCATCCCTCAAACATAGCATCAAGGTGGCCTCCGGGGTAAATTAGGAATGTTAAAAAAAATTGTACATTATATTTTGAATTGTGACAATTATTTTGGAAAAAAAAAAATAATAATAAAAAGGTAGGCACAATTTTTGTAGGAAATATTTACTATGAAAAATATAGATATTTGTATTATTAAAGTTGTTATACGTGTGTATATAAATTTTGCATATGTGAGTGAAAGAAGAACCTAGACGCAGTTAAACGTGGCTCTCAAAGTAATAGACCCGTATGAGAAGAAAACGCCATACGTATGTATCATACGGCAAAACGAATCAGAGGAAACACCCGCCTAACGTGGGCCGTTTCTACCCTCACAAACAAACACACATTCTCTCTCATTTCAAACAACCACTCGGTCTGTTCAATAACGCAGTGCCATTCTTTCTTATTTCGTACGGAAGCTGCCCCAGCAATAAACTTTAAACACACACCTCTCTGCTCAATTACCACCACCACCACCAACCACAATTACATAATTTGTAATACAGAGAGAGAAATTGTATTGTTTAGAGAGAGAAAGAGATGGGAGAGAGCTCAATGGGGGCACTGGTGCCCGCCGTCAAGTCTGAACCAACATTGTCCGATGCTATTGGCGAGCAGGCGACACCGCCAATTCCACTTCCGCCGCCGCCGGAGACGGCGGTTGTAGCGCCGGAGCTGGACAAGGACTTTTTGTGTCCCATATGCATGCAGATCATTAAAGACGCGTTTCTCACAGCTTGTGGCCATAGCTTCTGTTACATGTGCATTGCAACTCACCTTCAGAGCAAGAACGATTGTCCTTGTTGTGGACACTACCTCACCACCAACCATCTCTTCCCTAATTTTCTCCTCAATAAGGTCAATCACTGCTTAATTTTCTTTTATCCTACACTCAATTTTCTTTTATATATATGTCTGCTTTTCTAGATTATTTTGTACGGTCAATTTTAGGTATAAATATTCCAATTACACAGATTATTATTTTTTTATTAACATCCTAGTTTATGAATAATTTTGGGTTATGGCATAGAAAGGAATTGAAATTGTTGAATATTTTCCTCTATGGCTAATGTCATCTGGAAATTGGAAAAAGAAAAATATATATACATTTGCAATCTTTTTATTTCGTCTGTTTCCTCATAAATTAAATAGAGGTCAATTGAAAATTTTCAAGTTCCATCATGTAATGTTTGGTTGAGCTAAATTTGGAGAATTAGATTTTGCTTTTAGAGTTTCTTTTAAATCAGCCCAACTCAACTCCAAACAGTATTGCTCCAATAATTTGAGGTCAGTTTCATTTATCCTGTTTTCAACATTTTAATGTAAAGCCGTAAATGCATTAAATCAGTTATTAGTATGTCTTTCCTATGTTAATTTTGTTTTACTCCATTCTTCCTTAATGATGGAGTTATTGGTTTTTTTACACATAGTCAAACCAATTTAGTAGATTTTCTTCCTTTTTTTTTTTATTTTTTTTTTAAAAAAAAAAAAAATCATTGGGTGCTTGTTTCACAATCTCACAGATGTACTTAATTTCTTGTGATACTGAATTACATTCTTTTTTTGAATATGCAATTTGTTAGTAATATGGTTGGTCTAATATCTATTTCAAAATTTTCACCTTTTAATTATAGAGTTACACATCAATCGATATGCCAAAGACACTAGTCTACTTAATCCATTCTGCTTTAATTCTATAAGCACTCTCATCTTTAATATCTCCCTCTCTGTGAATAATAAGGCCTAGATAATGAAACTGTTCACTTTTTGGTATCTCTTGATCTTCAATCTTTTCTATGTATCCCCTTGTACTCCTAGTTTGTTAAAATTGCATTCCATAATCCATATATTTAGTTTTGTCATAATTAGAAATTCACTTGTTTTTCTAGTAATTGTTTGTCTTGTAGGTACAACTTTATCATATATATCTTTTATTATGTCAATATATCTATTTGGGAGTCTTCCCTCCTGCACCCACGCCCCCACCCCCCCCCCCCCCCCCCCCCGGGGAAAACCAAAATCCACCATATATTGTTTGTAGGGACTCTATCATAGGTTTTTTGAAAATATATAAAATTGATATGGTCCTTGTTCTCTACATCTTTTCTTAATCTCCTCAGTAGGTAAATACTTTCCATTTTTGATCTCCCCAATAAAAATCTAAATTGATTATTCAAGATTGTCGCTTTAAATCTTAGTCACTGGTTAATCACTCTCTTTTCAAAATATTGTAATATGACTCATTAATTTGATACATTGATAATTTATACATACTTAAACACCTCCCCTTTTTTATATATAGGTACTATGTGATTTTTCATCACTTATGAGGCATGTTCTTAGTCGTTTTGATCTATTAAATCACTTGTTAATCAAGATTTGTTATCATTACCCAAATACATCCAAGCCTTAATAAGAATGCACGTGTTATTAAATGCATTTTATCGCTTGCATAACTTGATCCCTATGAAAATATTTATTCTCCCTAAAGTTACAATATTCATATAAAACTAAGCTTTCTATATGATTGTTGTTGAATAGCTTAAACTACTTTTCCTTCTTGCTCAAATTCATCATCTTATCCTTCACCAAGATCCTTAAATCCTCACTCTTGATACACCTATTATCTTAAAAAAAAAATAGTTTCTCTCTCTATTAACTTAGACATGCGGCAAATCTTCTCGAAAGAGGGGTGCCTTCAGAAACTCGGAAACAGGTGGTGTATGTCTGTCATCAATTCGTGTCGTAAAGTGTTGGATTAAGTCCTGCAACGAGTGCAACCTATGTGTTTAGTTGTCATCGTTATTTGGGACCCTGGACAGACTGTCGGTGATAAGCTGGAGGAGGGTGAGGATAAGTTTTTCGTATACCAGCAAAAGGAATGATCCGTTAGGTTCAGGATTTATCTCTGAAAATGGATTAGATCAGACTAATATCAATCTGTTTTCTTCCATTTATTCCAAGGCAAGGATTCAACAACAATTCCTTAACCAAAATCAAGGAACTATTTATACGTTGTTGAATAAAAATAAAGAATTCTAATCTTTGATAATGTTATCATCATCCAATTGTTCTCGGATGGGTCCATTCAACTATGTAAAATACCACACTGTGATAAATGAATCAATTAAAAAAGATCCCCTAATTCCAGTTACGAATTTGTTGGGTCATTTAGGTACAACCCTTCACATTTCTTATTTTTGTTCATTTTGCCATTTAGTAAACTCATAATCAGCACTTGATAACTGACTATTTGCAACTTGGCAATTTGAAACAGACTTTTCAAGTACATAGATATTATTTAATGGATGTGTTTGAGCAAGATACAACTTATTTGAACTTAATTAAATGGACAATTATGAAAATAAATCTTCCTGTGAAATTCCGTGTATTCTATAGTTTCTTACCACGTCAATTTTTAATTCTTTTTGTGCTTGGTGCTTATTCCTAGTGAGTTCTATAGAATTGCAAGCCATTAACAATTTTCACACTTACCTATATATTCTAAAACCCTTGTTAGTAATAGTTCTTTGCCTGACGTGATGTTGGGATTCCTAAAGTGCCACTAATCTCTTTCTAATAATATATAACTTTTAAAAATTCTTACTTGGATGCACATACGGGCAAATACAAACCAGATACATGCTCATTTCTCTGCATCATAACTGCTTCCATTATTGAAACTAATATCGTCACTTTCCATACATTGCATTCATTCATATGCCTTACTCGTTTCTTGCTGTTATAATCACGCTCTTACTAAGCCCTGTAGAAGAAAATTAAAGTTAATCATTTAACATTATAATTTAAAAATAGAGGCGTCTAGTTCCAGTTCACGCCATTCATGAAAATGCAATAGGATTTCCAAAATGAAAAAAAAAAAAAGCAACAAAAAGAAGGAGGGAATCAACATACCGACACTTAAATCCAAATGCTGGACAGTAGTCATTAACATTTTCTGTTTTTGCCACACCATATAGCCATGAAATTAGTACGAAAACAGTGAATTTTTTAAACGATCTCTAGACAATGGTTTATTAAGTTTCTTTGGTTGACATTAATGTCTAAATTTTTTATATCACCTGCCTGCACAATTTGAAATTGAGTACAAACATTTTATTTCTATTTTGAGAATCTAGAGATACACCACATGTTATTCAACTTTTAAGAAGTGAAACTTCTTTAAGATAATTCTGAAGAAATGAAAGTTACACTTCGGAGTGCCCTCTCTTGATATATATATATATATATATATTTAAGGTTACCGTCTCTTATGTTTGAACGTTATTTGCATATCTTGGAATTATTTACCTTAAATCAAGCTTCGTGTTAACCTCTCTTGTCCAATTTTGTAGTTTTTGATGAAGACTTCCGCTAGTCAAATAGCGAAAAATGCAACACCTTTTGAACAGCTTCGCCAGGCACTACACAAGGTCAGTTGTTTTATTTAATTGGACAATTTTGAATTAATACTCGTAGTTATTGATTATACATTTTGTTGGATAGGACTTATTGAAGTACTTCTTGTCTCCCTATAATGGAATAGCTTTAGCAGATGTTGAGATTGTTTCAGTTTCGTATATTTATTCATTCATTTTCTAATTTGTAGAGTTATCTTGTGTGAAAGAGAAATATTTAATGTTTGAGAAGATAAATATATACCCAGGCTAGTAATCGAGGCTTATGATTAAATGCTTGCATGAAGGTATTACAAGGTCTTGGCCTGGCTTTGGGCCTATCTAATATGATTATAATGGTCTCTTCTCATCTGTGAATGTAGCGAAGTATTATCGAACCACATTAAAAATCGGGCCTCTTATTTGTGGCATTGGGGCTGATATGAGGTATTCATCTCATACCTTAGTTTGCCTCATCGTGCACTTTGAGTTGGCTTAATTGTTTATTAAAGAATAAGATCTCATCAAAGAATCAGGGCTTAGTATGAATATGCATCTGTATTTATTTATGTTTACGTTTACGTATCCTTGTATATATTCAAACTATAACTTCATTTGATAGATATATATTGATAGTCTAGGAGGTTCTATTTATCCTGAGGCTTTAGAACCACTAGCTGGCTGAGGTTTATGGGGACTCTTGGAAACTATTTGTTGGATTTGTAAGTCAGTAATATATTACGGTGAAGGTTGATGCTTGTTTTTGCTTCTCTTGATATATATATTTTTAAATAGCTGTAAAAGATTTAAACTAGCCTGTTAATTTTTTTTTTTTTTTTTTGGGGCTTCGTTTTACTTATTGGAATACAATACTTGATAGTTACTAGTTCAGACATTTGCAGTGTAACCTCTTTGAATATTTTAGTAAAGGAAAAATTAAACCAGTCATCTCAAATTCATACACAACAAATGGTAAACAGTGACAACAATTGATGTTTAGTCACTCCTAGTTAAATTTTGATATTAATATGCAAACATTGGTTTAAATTTCTTTCATTTTGTTATATAAGACATCTCATCTTCATTATTGGGAGATTCTTGTAAGGATTAGATAAGATATTTGTTGCTTGGTAATTCTTCATTTTGTCCATGGTCATGTATCATTTGCCAGGCAAGGAAATAAAATTAATTCCTTTACTTATAGTTTGACTATAATCATCTATATTGCTTCAGGGCATAAGTTGTTGCCTCATAGACCATAGATGACTTCAAAGAAAGATCATGCAGGATCCTGTATATGTTAATAGATATTCCCTGCTTAATGAATTTCTTTTCCAGCTGGGACCAATATTGAGATAGTCATCTTCAATCATGTCCAAATCCAAATTCACTTGTGGATCTATTCACTTGAATGTATCTTTTACTATCCATCTCGTTATCTGTAATTACTTTCATTTGTTAACATATTTTTGTGGTGATTCTTAGACAGGATCACAAGGTGTCAGTTAAGGAGCTAGATAGACTCTTGTCTCTCCTTGTGAATAAGAAGAGAAAATTGGAGCAAGAAGAAGCTGAAGTTAATACACAGATTCTGCTAGACTTTTTGCATTGCCTAAGGAAGCAAAAGCTTGAAGAGCTTAAAGAGGTACTTGAATTTATAGTTTATGGTCTACTCATATTTTGATTTCCTAATCAAATGTATGAAATGTTATTCTACAATTTGGATGGATACTATATCTGCTCGCAAAAGTTTCCATGGGCTGTACAAAGGATGAGGATGCATTGTCCAAAAGGACATTACTTAGTTGTGGTCCTGCTACAACAAGAACCTGAAGAGAAAGAACACGAGACAGCCCTAACATTTGGTATTTAACAAAGCAACAAAGTGGCTGCTCTGAAGCTCGAACTTGCACCAATGGCGCTGATGTTCAAGCATTAAATTGTTGAGCCATACAACAGCCCTCAGGAGCATAGTCCAAAATATCACACCTAGATGGATTTTTGTCAACACCCACTGTACTGCAGTAATATATGGAGTGATTTATCGCTGAATGGCATCAAAACTTAGGTCAACAGATTTTTGAAAACAAAAAGTATTAAGTATCTAAAAGCTATCTCAATCTGGACAAGACTAAGTAATTGAAAAGATTGTCTGAATAAGACTACAAATAAGTTTATAGTGAACATTTTGATATTAACTGACTGGATAAAGCAAGTTTTCTAACGTCTATGTATAGGACTTTTCTTATTGAAGCAATTTATATATACATGTATATATATATATATATATATATATATATATATATATTTGTTTTATGCTTCCTTCTGTGGTGCCCTTGATCAATCATTCATAGAATACTTCTGGCTTGTTTTATAATTGGTCTAATAGGGGCTATACTGACTATGGATATGTGATTATGGAATTCATGTACAAAAGTGTGCATCTAAGCTGGCAGTTTTAATAAAATATCTGGTGGGCAAGACCCATTGAGTGGCATGTCTCATCTTCTCGTATGCATCACGATGTGGCATGTGTTTTGTTTAGCTTTCAGGTGACTGCATTGTGCCTCAGGGTTACTTTTCTAATCGCAGTAGTCTCCTGCTTCCTTTGTAGATACAAATTGATCTCCAGTACATTAAGGAGGACATTAATGCTGTGGAAAGACATAGAGTAGAATTGTGTCGAGCAAGAGAGAGATATTCAGTAAAGCTGAGGATGCTTGTTGATAATCCTTTTGCAACAAAAGCATGGCCTTCATTAATTGATAAACGTAGCAGTGGCATCAATTCTTGTGTCCCCAGTGTACAAGGTCAATGTCGGATGGATTCAGGGAATCCGCAGATCATGAAAGCTGATGCACAGGTTCTTGAGAGCTCTCAAATACTCCAAAAAAATGATGCTTACAGTTTGTCGGACTCACAACATCTTACTCAATCAGGAGTGACACTAGCAAGAAAAAGACAAGTTCATGCACAGGTCAGCACCCTTGCAACTTTTCATTTCTCTAGGCTGGGAAATGAAATAATTTTTGCTCAGTTGCTTAACAATTATGCATGAATAAATATAAGAGATGTTTTGGGTTGTCCATTCAGTGGATCAAATTATTATCAACCAGCAGGCAACAGCCTACTACTATTGATAGTCCGCATCCAGAGCAGAGATCATGCCATTATATAAATACCTAATAATTTTCTGATCCAAAAGTAAACCCGGTCCTTTTGATGACAAGAACTAGAACCTCGATGTGAGTTATGGTGATGATATGCTTTCGTTTGTCTAATCTCTGTATGTGCTCTTCAGAAAATTTTATCTGAAGCTTAAAACATCGATTATTTATTAGGTTGAGGCTGTCCTGGTGAATTTGTCTAAAATGATATGTAGCTTGTATTGAAATTTCATTTTATTTGCAGTTTAATTTTGTATAATAATTTCTCTTCCAACAGTTCAATGACCTACAGGAGTGTTACTTGCAAAAGCGAAGACATTGGGTTAGACAATCACATAAACAGGAAGAAAGGAACACAAGAGAAGGTTATCATGCAGGACTTGAGGATTTCCAATCTGTATTGTCTACCTTTACACGATACAGGTTTATTATTTTATTTGTGAACAAATTTTAGTTTCTGTTTAGGAAGCCTTTTGGATTTGTCTCCATTACTTCGTGTGTGTGTGTGCGTGTGTTGCTCAACAGAATTGCATACTTACACATCTTCTGTATTGTTGTTCAAATAGTCGTTTGAGGGTCATTGCTGAACTTAGGCATGGGGATCTTTTTCACCCAGCCAATATTGTATCAAGGTCAGTTAAGTTTGTTATGTGTAATACAATTTAATTCAAGTCTTAATTTATATGTAATATCTTTATCTCTCTCTCTCTCTCTCTCTCTCTCTCGCAGTTCTATGTAATAATCAAATCTGTCATGCGTTAAAATTCCTTTCTTTTGTTGCAGTATAGAATTTGACAGAGATGATGAACTGTTTGCCACAGCTGGAGTATCACGACGGATCAAGATTTTTGAATATTCATCGGTAGGTTTTGAACAAGATAATTGAGTTGGAGCATTGGTGTTTGTTATTATTTAATTTATCTAAACTTGTAGAAATGGTTCTATGGAGAATTTTGAACGTGACACTTGACGACTCCTGTCTCTATAAAGAGTTTATAATTTGTCTATTTATCTGTATTGGGGCTCACTATTGTTGTTGTGGCCCTTTATTATGGTCAACACAAATTTTCATAGCTGGGTTTGAAAAATCTTAATGGTTGTAATACTCCGTATTTGTTTTCTTTTGGAGTATTAAGTTTGATAGTTTGTGGCGTATCTTGGTTGAAAAGTACATAATTACCATTCTTGAGGTTTTGGTTAGTTTTGCTGGATCTCAAATTCAAGTTGTGATCATCATTCAGTATAATCTTTTACTTGTTCTACTTAGGATATTTTCATTTTTGTGGCCATATTGTTCAAGTGACCTCTCGATCACCATAATATTTTTTATTTTCTAATTATATGCTGCTTGAGCTAGAATCTCTTTGTTGAGGCTACTTCATATTTTAAAACAATAGGTGCCAATATGTACATACTTGTATCTTTGCCTCACTAGCTAATAATTGCCATTTGATTGCTTTCCAGGTGGTGAATGAACCCGCAGATGTGCAATGCCCTATCGTGGAAATGTCCACAAGATCCAAGCTTAGCTGCCTGAGCTGGAACAGGTACAAGAAAAACCATATAGCAAGCAGTGATTACGAGGGGATGGTAACTGTCTGGGATGTGAGTACTCGTCAGGTAATATCTCTTCTTTGGAGTTCTCTATTTTTTCCCCTTTTAATCTTAAGGATAAATTACCCCGATCTCCCCTGAGGTTGGGCAATTGCAACCACAAATTAAACTTTGGTCAACATTATGGTCAACCTCCCCTGAGCCCGAGGTTTGGCCAAAATTGTAGTTAGGCCCTAACTCTTAAATCTCCATAAGTGGCATTAAATTTTTTCACGTTGAGTGACAAGATTTCCCTTAGGTGGAGTGAATTACACATTTACCCTTCAAATGCTTTTAAATGCAAAATTTAACCCATATATATATTTTTTAATTATATATACTATATAATATATAAAAAATGCGCAAACCCCAACCCCAACTGACACGACTCCTCTTGGCCCCTCCACCCAAAGAGAGTCCTGTCAACTAGTGATTTTTTTTTTCTCCCCAACAGAATTACCATTGAATGAAAATTTCCAGCTTTGGTTGATACCAAATTTACCACCATAGATTTACTTACACCCAAACAAAAATTGCAATTTTTTTCACAGAAAACAGGTTTGATACAAAGGCTAGACAAACATTTACTTCATATATATATATATATATATATATATATAGATGTATCATGTATGTGCTTAGAAAAGTCCATTGGTCTTATGATGGAGTCACAGTTGGTTCCATTGTCCCTAATCTTCATTTTATGTCTTTATGCTATGTTTGGGAGCACAGAATCGGTGGCTTGGGTTTGGAATTGGAGGAAATTTACTTTGAACTAAATTTGTTCCAATTCCAAATTCAAGGCGCCGATTTGGTGCTCCCAAACGCAACATTAGTGTCTTTGTGCCATGCTGGAGTGCTTTATTTGTGCATACATGTATGTTCACAAATATATTGCATATACATGAACACATATATATATGTATATTTGAGTTTTGTGTTTCTTTGGTTATTGGGTCCATACAATCATGGTTGTCCAAATTAAGGCCTTGGGTTTGTCTGGAACACGATGGTGCAAATTGGGAATTATTGCAGTAAATTTGATGGATTAAATTGCAGTGGGTGAGAGAAAATCAGGAGGTTTCATGGGATGATAAAAGCTGAATTTTGGATCCAAGAGGAGACAAAAAATGGTGGCAATCGGGGCGGTGTTGTGGGTTCGAGAGACGATAAAGAATGGGGAATGGGTGAGAGGGTAGAGAAAAATGATTGATGGGTAAAATTTGAGAATTTTCTAATAGGGTTTGTTAAATGTTAAGATCATTACCCAAGGCTCTAATACCAGAGTTAGTGCAAGGCCCAAAACAGATCGAGAGATGGTGAATAGATCTTGTTCAGTTTTAACTAAGATTTTTAAACTCTAATAATTTTATTTAAAATGTGGCAATATGGATGGATCAGTTAAAAATATAGAGAGCAAAACTAAATAACACACATGAACTCACAATTTTTATGCGGAAAACCTCAACAGAATAAAAACCATGAGACCTAGTCCAGGGCCAGACCAAATCCACTATGAGAAAGAAGTCACACTAGGTTAATAGTTCCCAAACCCTAGAACCTCAGTTACCTGTTGACACAGACTGATCCAGCAAACTCTCCACTCGATTCTGTAGACACACAATCCGCTCCTGACACGGTTCATTTCTCTAACAATTGATTTGATCGTCATCCAATCCTTTGATGTGTATGTGTTGTGGTTGACCAATCTTCAAGTATTCAGTTAAGCTTCTTGCTTCAAAACTCGATCACACAACAATATAGGATATTCTACGAAGAACCTCACTTGTGATTCAAAAATAAGGCTCTCATATCTTTCTCATAATTGCGTAGTTGTGTCTTTTATGTTACTTACGTTTAGAGAACCCTAAAACACCTTTCTAGTGTTGGAGTGATCAGAAATTGATTAGGAATGTTTTATGAGTTCTGAAAAGTTTAGGAACCTTTTCGGACTTGTAAACATGTTTTTAACCAACTTTGGGTGTCCATTTGATCGCTAGATGTATCGGTTGACACCTACTCGGTTTTCCTCGATCGATTGAGCCACTCCAGAGTAACTTCGATTGATCAACATCGACCTTTTCTGCTGAACTAGACTGTTCATAGCCTGAATTCAGGAACTTTGTTGAGTGGTCAAATGGACTCGAAATTAGGCATGTAATATATTTGTTGAGTGGTCACTTTGTTGAGGTGTCCATTTGATCTCTAGATGTATCGGTTGACACCTACTCGGTTTTCCTCGATCGATCGAGTCACTCCGGAGTAACTTCGATTGATCAACATCGACCTTTTCTACTGAACTTTACTGTACGTAGCCTGAATTCAGGCACTTTGTTGAGTGGTCAAATGGACTCAAAATTGGGCATGTAATATATAGTTGGAAAGCTTATCGAGTCTAGTATCTTAATATGTAAGGCTTAGCATGAAATTCAAAGTATTTATACTTAATATATCTTTAAAGACACAAAAGTCAGTTTTCACAACATGAAATTCTTACCTAAAGTAACTTTTAAATTGGCTTCCAAGTTTCAACTTAAACTGAAAATCTAAGTTCTCTCACCAACATTAAGCTTTCCAAATTCATTCCTAATGAAATAATATTCAACATTAAATTTATAATTATTTTGAAACTAATTAGTTTTAAATTAACTCCAATTAATTCAATTTTTCTAATTTATTCACTGCGAATCCTATGGCCTCCTAGGCCACTTACCTTCTTTATATTGTGTGATTGATGAAGGTTGAAGCAAGATGTTGATGCATCGACTCAGTTTTCAATCTACAACCATAGCTTCAATGTGATGCAAACCTTCCACTGAAGTGACTCAACATATAGATCATGACACAAATTTTGCTCATGGAGCATGCCCACACATGACACTATTTCCTAACAGGGTTAGTTTTGTAATTTGTCTTATTACAATCACATCAACACTTCAGATGAGGGTAATTTTGTCAATTCCCATTTGCCGTTTAGGGTTGTTAGGGTTTCTAACTCATGCAAGGTGTCAAAAGTAATTTTGCAAAAGTTTAATCTGTGGATGTAAAGGCCAAAGCTCAAGGGAGGTTAGACTAATATACCCTAATTTTAGTGGGGCTTACACAACCACGCACCTCCACGTACTCTCTTGACCTATGCTAACCATGTTTTTCTTTTCAGAGTGTAATGGAGTATGAAGAGCATGAAAAACGAGCATGGAGCGTTGATTTTTCGCGCGCCGAACCTTCGATGCTTGTGTCTGGCAGTGATGACTGTAAGGTATTTAGGAACACTGGAAAACTTTATTCTGTTAAATGACAGTATATTTTAACTATTATTTCTTATTCCAATATATTTTAACTATAATATACAGCATAGGAATCATGTAAAAAAGAATCAACTGGTGTAGCTTTTTTCTCATGCAGCTCCTTAGGTCTTAATTCAGAACAGGTTGATGAGTCCAAACAGGTCTTTTTCTCTTGCAGCTCCTTGGGTGGTTTGAGGGAGTCAGAAAATGGTTGATATGATATGTTTGGTTCCTGTGTGATAATTTTAGGTTCATTGTCAAAGCACTGAAAGTTTTGTGATGTTCCTTGCCTTCCATTAAATCTTCTTCTGTTTTTCCATTGGCGGGCCTCTTTTCAGGTTCTCATGGACACTAGGACTTATTTTAGACTAATTTCTGTATATTTTTGCGCCATATCCATCAGGTCAAAGTTTGGTGCACAAATCAGGAGGCAAGTGTTCTTAATATTGACATGAAAGCAAATATATGTTCTGTCAAGTATAATCCCGGGTCTAGCCTTTATGTGGCGGTATGTCCTTTTCGATTCTCGCACTCGCCGAGCTGTGGCACGTGATCTATAATCTAGCCAGATAAGACCATTAAAAAGATATGATATGTGTTTTGCAGGTGGGTTCCGCAGATCGTCACATTCATTATTATGACCTGAGAAACACAAGCCAACCCCTGCATATTTTCGGTGGGCATAGGAAAGCTGTTTCATATGTAAAATTTCTGTCCAACAATGAGCTTGCTTCTGCATCTACTGACAGCACATTGCGCTTGTGGGATGTTAAAGAAAATTTGGCAGTAAGTTGCAATGCTTATGATGATTCAGTTTTTGAGGTGCAGTTCTATTGTTTACATCTGAATGATCTTTTTCGTCTACAGTATGACATATCATGTTTACAAGTAAGGTAGTGTGACATATCATGATTTTGCTGTAGTTGACCAATTATGTTTTTTAAAGCCTTTAGGATTACTAAATTTGAGAATGGTGAAACTAGAAATAACAACCATTAAACTGTGTACAATTTACTGGAGTTTCCTTTCTCATTTCCAAAAGCTTTTACGGGAAGAATACTCTGTGGCATTGAGTGGGTGTGGGAATGAGAACAATTCTCTGAAGTGGAGTGCAAGATCATTTGCACTAGAATGCATATGTAGCTATGAAAGGCAAATCAGTTTGACTTACAGAGCATTCACTTTGAAGATCTCAATTATTAATTATAACATCGATTTGATTATGAAAATGCCTTGGCAATTAGCATCAACTTGGACTGGCTTTGTGTACAACTTTTGTTTTTCTAAATTTATGAATCCTAAAGTGGCTTTCTAAGCTTAAAAATTTTACTCGGTCCTTTTCTTTTCTTTTCTTTTCTTTTTTTTTCCTCAGCTCCGCACATTTAGAGGCCACGCCAATGAGAAGAATTTTGTGGGTCTCACGGTAAACAGTGAATACATTGCTTGTGGCAGCGAAACAAATGAAGTATTCGTCTACCACAAGGTCGGTCACTATATTTCACAGGGCTGTCATTTTAGGCATCTAAATTTGTAAGTTGTTATTTCGGCGTCTAATTAAATTTTGGGGTTCACTTGCAGGCTATCTCGAAGCCAGCAGCTAGGCATAGATTAAGTTCTTCAGATACGGATGTTGGTGATGAAGATGCAGCAGGAATTTACTTCATTAGTGCTGTGTGTTGGAAAAGTGATAGCCCCATAATGTTAACAGCAAACAGTCAAGGAACAATTAAAGTGCTTGCACTTGCTGCCTGACTGAACAATTAAAGATTAAAAATATAATATTAATGCAAGGTCTTGTCTTTTTGTTTCATCTTTTAAAGATTATGGTTGCATAATTGCATTTTATCTTGCTTCAATAATTTCAATTTGTTCTGTTGAAATTAATTTTGACCGGTTGTTGTTGCCTCCTCGGCTCATTCTTATTTAAATATTTAATTGTTGTATCACGGTTTGGAGGGATTTCAGTTCTCTTAAACATTTGTAAGCTTAAACGGGATTTTTTTTTTTTTTTTTTTTTTTAATTAAGTCATTTGGTAAATAGTTTTGGAGAAAATCAACCGCCCAAAAAATTTGATTTTTTTTTTTAATATAATATGGTGCCATCAAAAGTAAATATTCATGAAGCCTAAACTTGGCCTCCCAAAATAATACCTTTCATTGGGCCCTCATTTAACTTTAAACCGAGTCGCAATAGCTAAATAATAAAAGCCCAATAGCAATTATAACCATTTATACATTGATTTTTTATTTTATTTTTTTTCTTTTCTCTGTTACATTTATACATGTATTGGCTTTAGGCTTTCGTTAAACATGTTTTCAATCATGGTCGCCGCCTTGCTTCTTTGCCGATGACTTTTTTTTGAAACCCAGTCTATCATCTCCATCTCACCGTTTCTTTTTAAAAGCCAGTCTATAATCTCCATCCCGTCGTTTGCTTTATGTAATTTAAGATTTTACATTATAAACAATTAGAGGTCTTTTAACATTATAAAAATATTATAAAAAGACTTGAGGAGGTCTTTTAACATTATAAAAAGACTTGAGCAGCCATATGATGATTTAGTGTGAAACTATTTTGATGGTGACTTTTAGGTTTAGCATTAAAAATTGTTAATAAACATAAACAAATAAATAAAAAATAAAGGTTTATAGAATTGTTTGACATACCAACTTAATATATATATATTTTTTTCGTAAGTCCAGCTTTACTCTTTTCTTTTCCCATTTGTTAGATTCGGGTAGACAAAGCCCTTTTTATGCAATTTTTTGCATCTTTGGTAACTCAATCGTCATTAAATTATGAGTTTCATTGTCCTGTGTTAACAACTTTGTAATTTTTATATATTAATACAAAACTGATTTAGTTTGACTGAAGATTAGGTAATCTGAAAAAGTTTAAATGCGATTTGAACTTTGCGACCTCAAAAAGTAAATACTAATTAGTCGCATTGACGATTTTTTTCTCTTTTTTATTTTTTAGAAAATGATTTCAAATTTTTACAAAAACCAGAAAATAAGATTAAAAAATAATAGTCCATAAAAAACACATATTAGAGTAAATTGTAAATGAATAATTTCTCATACAAATTGATAAGATGTTCTCTATTTCCAAGTTCTTGCTTCCTAATAAATTTTTATATACAACCAAATGAAGCCAAAATTGACAAATTGACCTTTGAATTTAAGAAAGAACTATTATTTAATTATCTAAAATTTACTATGACGTGTCTTCCGTTTCTTTATAGAGGAATTGAAAACACAGCCTGCACCTGAAGTTGCAGTGAAATATTACACTGGAGGTGACTTGTTCTTGTTTGGTAAGTTGACTTTTACTACCAGTTGTTCTTTATCTCTCATATTACTACGTGCCTAGGTTTAATGATTTTTGAGCTTTTTTTCCCAGATGAATTTCAAACTGCAAGAGTTCCTAATTCCCGGAGGCCAAAAATAGGTAAGAACCAAACTTTGAGTTTGCCTTTTGGTTGGTGATTCAGATATGTGGAAACAAAGATAACAGTTGCTTATAGTAAACTCTACTTTTATTTATATAACATGCGAAATGGTACTTAGAAAATATGTGCTGTTATTTAGTTGGGTTATGAAGGTTCTGTCAAGTGAATGAAACCTTGCAATAAAACTTATAAAATATAAATGGTGATATGAAAACACCATAAGTGTCCGTCAAAGGTTTCAACTTGACCAATTCGTTATCTGTTAAGAATGTGATCAAATAGTTGCTGGACCAGTTGCTGGTCTTGGGCATGCTGATTCTTTCTAATGTCTATCAATGTATTGTGTCTAAATCAGTTGGTTTCATGAGAAGTCAATTGTTTTCTGATTTTCTATTTGTAGCAAGCAATAGCCATAATCCCTTACCAAAAAAAAAAAAAAAAGAAAAACAATCGATCATTAGCCATAATCAAATACTTTGTAAAACTAATGTCCTACAGAGCTTGTAACTGTTGTATCTGTTTATGTTTATGTCACCTTTTGATACTTGTGGCTGCGACTGTTTTTCGTTTTCCTTTTCTTTTATGGGGTGTTTATTGTGCTAATTAGTATTTGAGCATATTTTCTTTTCTCATTTAAGCTTAGTGTTCAAATTTAATTGAGAATTTGGCTATGGAAATTCTCTTCCATATCTCAATTTCATAAAAATGATAGGTGTAAATATGCAGTATCTACTTCAAGTTACTGCTTTTGTGGAATAAATCCTCTGGAAACAACTAATATATTTTCTCAATCGCTGCAGCTATGGGAAATTAAACCTTCTTATTACCTTGTATTCTTTTAACCACCACAACAGCATACTAAATAAGTTGTGTCAACTTTTTTTTTTTTTCCTGAATAAGTTGTGTTTACTTCTTTTCAACTGTTTTTTGCTTTTAGAGAATTTGTACGACGTGTTTATGAACATCAGAGATGATGAAGCAGAACATTGTAAGATGATGAAGGCGTGCCAAACTCATGTGGATCTTTGCTCCCCTCACTCGAATCCAGAGTATTCATTTGAAGATGAATCTGGCTGCATCCCGCCTATAAAAAAATCAGTCACATCTCCTCAAGCAAAGGAAAAGTGATACTGATGAAAGAAGTGTGAGAATCGATACCAATGAATACAGTATATAGAAATTATAGATCCAATGTAAGTTTTCCGTTTTCAACTTTACCCTTTCTGTATATATGTTGCAATGATTGTATTTGTAGTTTCTAAAGGGCTTTGAGCTTGACCCTAGTTTATATATTATGTTTGACATGGGAGACCCAATTTTTTGAGATTCTCATGCATAAAAAAATACCGTAGTATATATTTGGACTAGGGAATAAAAATGCCTGTGTATTTTTAAAAGTTTTCAACGGATAGCTTCAGATTTTTGGCTACACTACATTGATACAGACTGCAGCCTAACAATCATTGAAATATGTTTCTTCTGTGTTATGTTTATTTTTTTGATTCGTCCCAATCAGTTGTTGATCAATACAAAGTATAGGAGTCATATTTCTAAGGGTTGCAAAAAGTTCAAACATCTCTCATGAAATCCTGAACGCAGTCTTGTACAATTAGGAATTGCTGGCCATTTTCCTGTTACGGAATTTTACTGTGAGATGAAATGATCAATTCAATTCAAGTAAGGCACCTTGAGAAAGAAGTTGCTGTTGAACCTTTCTAGTCTCATTTTATGGGAGGTGCGTATGAGTTTGTATTTATTTACTTTTGTGGTGATTGTTTTTGATCATTCAAAGGTTGATTTAGGAAACCCCTCTCTGAGCTAGCTCGCTCGCTCTCACTCTCTCAGTAGCCTTTCAAAGTAGAAGTCTAGGTTCAAGTCTCATTAGGGGCAATGTGGGTGTGTGAAATATATATACACACACACTAGGAATTGCTGGCCAATGTCCTGTTATGGAATTTTACAGTGAGATGAAATGATCAATTCAATTCAAGTAAGGCACCTAGAGAAAGAAGTTGCTGTTGAAACTTTCTAGTTTCTTTTCATGGGAGGTGCATATGAGTTTGTATTTGGCAGCTCTTATATGTGAGAGAAATTTTGAGATTTTCAAATTTTGAGAGGTCAAATGAAAGGCCATTGAAGTGTCTTTTTTTACCTATCTCTCAAATTATTAGTTTGAGAGCTCAAAATGAAAGAGCATTGGAGATGCTCTAATAGGGACTATATTTAACAAAAAGCACGAGTTTTTAAGTTATGTAGTGATCCAAAAGAGGAAGAAGGAGATGTGACGGTCCCACGACTGCAAGCAAAGTTTCTGAAAATGGACCAAAATTTGCTCCAATGGAACAAGGCTCCTGTTCCAGCTGGTTATAATGTGTGGCCCAAATTGGGTAACGTCAATTAAAAAAATTGATTGTTTTAAAAGTTACTCTCAGTTATTACACATTGTATTTGGAGTGTATATGTTATTATATATATAATGTATATTGTGTATATTTATATATTATATAGTGTATATTTGGGGGATTTTACTGAAATATCCTCCATATTCAAAAATCTCCAGAAATATCCTTCATTTTCCTCCAAAATATCCTTCATTTTCTAGGTCGTGGAAGAAGGAAAAGGTCTGAAGGGAAGTCGAATTGGAAGAAGGAGAATGTCGCGAGAAGAGGTTGTTACAGTTCTGGGACTTAGGTTTTCGGAAATGGAGTTGGAAAAAGGTCGCAAGAAGAAGTTATTATAATTATCTCGGACTTAGGTTTTCAAAAGTGGAATTGGAAGAAGGTCACAAGAAGAAGTTGTTACAGTTCTTGGACTTAGGTTTTCTTTACAAAGGTTACGTCCATCCCTTTTCCAAACAAACTTAGAGGTTTAATTTGATTTAATCCTATTAAATTTTGTTTCATTAGTTTTGTTTGATTATTTGTTAGTATGAAATTGTGTAACCATTTTCTGTGTCCATGACTGTCAGACGAGTCAATCCATTGTCCAAATGCTCTAAGACACAACTTTACAAAGAGGGTCATATACATAGTTCAAAGAGGAATGGTCAGCTAACAAAACATAATCATTCAGCACATGGTCGCTCGGTCTGACATACAAGGTCGGTCGTTCTGACCTACATGGTTCGGTCGTTCTGACCTAGAATGGCTCGGTCGTTCTGACCTTAGATGGTTCGGCCCTCAGCCGTTCAGAAAGGAAGGTTCGGCCTTCAGCCAATCAGAAGAAAGGTTCAACCTTCAGCTATTCGGAAAGGAAGGTTCGGCCTTCAGCAATTCAGAAAGGAAGGTTTGGCCTTCAGCCATTCGGAAAGGAACGTTCGGCCCTCGGCTGAAGGAAAGGTTCAACCCTCGGCTGAAGGAGTGGTTCAGCCCTCGGCTTATGGAAAGGTTCAGCTTTTAGTGAAGGAAAGGTTCAGCCCCTCAGCTGATAGAAAGGTTCATCCCTCAGCTGAAGGAAAGGTTCAGCCCCTCAGCTGATGGAAAGGTTCAGCCCTCGGCTGAAGGAAAGGTTCAGCCCCTCAACTGATGTAAAGGTTCTGCCCTCGGCTGAAGGAAAGGTTCAGCCCTTCTGAACCTGGGGTTTCGGTCGGCTGAACCCAAATACTCGTCAATAAAACATAACATAAATAATTGAAAGGCATCTGTCACGCCCCGAATTCCACGACTCGGGTCGCAAAAAAATAAAAATAAAAATAAATGAAAAATAATAATAATAATAGATAATTAAATAAATAATTAATTAATTAGATTCACTTGAGTAAATAAATAATTAATTGGAGAAAACCGATGTCATTCACCACATAAATAATAATAATAATCATAGTAATAATAATAATAGTTTCATAAAATAAATAATAGCATGATTAATTAACCATTTATATTAGACTATCCAAATGAACCCACATGTACACAACTTAAACAATGATTGTTCAATCCCACTATATAAGTCATGGTCACCATGGCCTCATTACAATCTATAAGGTGAGAAATAATGTTAAGGGATTACATGAGTAAAGATAAGAGAGGAAATTCCATAAGAACTTCAAAAGATAGATGGGTAAGTTCCTACGTCATTTCCCTCCTCCAAAAGAATATTACAAACATGTCATCAAATATAATATCCAAAATACACCATGTGTCAAAATACAAGTCCAAAAGTAAGCTACACAATGGATGTCACAATTATCACAAGTAGCTCAAAAATGTTGTCAAGATCCTAATCAAACTAGGGATAAGGAACCTCCTCTTGGGCAATGCCCTTTCCTGAAAAATATAAGAATCAACGGGGTGAGCAACGAATTGCTCCGTAGGAATGTCTCATGAATATAAACTAGGTTTCTCAAAATTCTACAAACATTGCATGGTCATACAATACAAGGAACATACTCCTTAACGTCTAGTCTCAAGGGGAACCTAAATAGGATCATCATAGTCTAACATAAATAATATTAATTCATTCATCAAGACAAGCATAAATAATATAGTGTAATGTACATAAATTCACAAGTTGCAATAACACATAAATGCTAACTTGAAAATAAAAGTCGAAATCAATTAATGAGATAACTCAGAACAAACCCACACTCTCGGTCACATAGCCATGCTATGAGCCTAAATAAAAATAGTTATTTTCGGATTACTAGTTCGCCAGAAACTAACCGGTTGGCTAATATAAAGTGGGGAAACTCATGTTTCACCCGCGAGCGCCGAGCTCTCGCATTCTCAAAGTAACAACCCCCGAGTATCTCCCAAAATCAACAAACAAGTCCACAAAATAATCCATATTCCATGATATGCCCAAATTGCACTTCACATGCGCACATAAATTATACTAATCACATAATCCATGTCCTATGGTCCAAATCACTATAATGTCATACTCTTTGATGCAATGTCAACGAATTGGGTATTTTAAAGTCATTTAAATTCATGTTATCAGTATATCAAATTTCAAGTGTGTAAAAGTTTAACATCATCATTGCTATATACATCTTCAAAATTAACCTTCACAAAATAACAAATACATGATAATTCCATGAATAAACACAACATATAAGGCACTTTAATTACAAGAAATTGTACACATTAAGATCTAGGACTTTAACTAACATCCATAATAACAACAATGGAACAAATAACATATTACACATGAAAATTGATATAAAAACTCAATAAAACATGATGGACATGCAATTAAATCAGTATATAAGCTCTCTAATTAAACCCACACACATAAGTGTATGCATAACTCACACAATGGTCATAAAATTCCAAAAACTCATAGGTTATAAGCACAATACCCCCCTGTAACGACCCACTCCACCATATGGTATGATATTGTCCGCTTTGGACCTGAGCCCGCACGGTTTTGCTCTTGGGCTTCACCCCAAAAGGCCTTATTATATCGTCAAATAATTAACAAAAATACAATTAAAACAAATAAATAAATACCGAGACTATCCTTTTAAAATTAGGGGTACATTATTGTGATGACCCTGTGAGCGAGTGTGCCGTGGGCGGGTGCGAGAGATACTGTCAGGCTACCACACTGGCGAGCTACGGGTACGGTGCACAGTCCCACATCGCCTGGGTAGAGGAAAGGTGAAGTGCTTATATGTAAGTGTGTCACCTCCAATTGGTATGAGGCCTTTTGGGGTAAAATTCAAGAGCAAAACCGTGAGGGCTCAGGCCCAAAGCGGACAATATCATACCATGTGGTGGAGTGGGTCATTACAAATGGTATCAGAGCCTAACCCAGCCGGAAGTGTGCCGACGGGGACGTCAGGCCTCCAAGGGGGGTGGATTGTGATGACCCTGTGGGCGGGTGTGCCGTGGGCGGGTGCGAGAGATACTGTCAGGCTACTACACTGGCGAGTTACGGGTGCGGTGCACAGTCTCACATCGCCTGGGTAGAGGAAATGTGAAGTGCTTATATGTAAGTGTGTCACCTCCAATTGGTATAAGGCCTTTTGGGGTAAAGTTCAAGAGCAAAACCGTGAGGGCTCAGGCCCAAAGCGGACAATATCATACCATGTGGTGGAGTGGGTCGTTACAAATGGTATCAGAGCCTAACCCAGCCGGAAGTGTGCCGACGGGGACGTCAGGCCTCCAAGGGGGGTGGATTGTGATGACTCTATAGGCGGGTGTGCCGTGGGAGGGTGCGAGAGATACTGCCAGGCTACCACACTGGCGAGCTACGGGTGCGGTGCACAGTCCCACATCGCCTGGGTAGAGGAAAGGTGAAGTGCTTATATGTAAGTGTGTCACCTCCAATTGGTATGAGGCCTTTTGGGGTAAAGCTCAAGAGTAAAACCGTGAGGGCTCAGGCCCAAAGCGGACAATATCATACCATGTGGTGGAGTAGGTCGTTACAACCCCTACCTCAAGCTAGGAGCAAACCCTAGCTACTCTAAAAGAAAAGTGTGCTCCAAATCCAAAATTGATTGAGGGGTTTTGTTCCTCTTGTAGTCCCCGTCAATTTTTCTTCTATGCAAGTTCAAAATCTCAAAGGTTAAAGGAGAAATGGTGGAGAAATGGTTGAAGTAAAATGAAAAATAAAAGAATGGGAGAGAGAAGAAAGTGTGTCGGTGAAGTAGGAGAGTGAGAGGATTTTTGGGCTTTTATTCCACTTTCTCTCTATATACAAACACATATGTACATATCACACACATTCCCATCCACACATATCTTATCCACTAGTCAACCTAGGCCCCACAACAAAACAAAATGCAATAAAATAAAATAAAAAAGATAAAAAGGAAGAAAATAAAAATAAAACTTGGTCATCACAGCATCAATAATTGATCAAAACATAACTCCATTGCCCATCCATCATAAAATAATTACATAGTCTCATTTTATACAATTGAAAAGAATTAAATACAAGGATGAGCTCTCCATGGCCAAAATTTACATAGCTTTCATATAAATAAAATGAAATAAATTCCTAGCTACATCATTGTCCATGGATGCACATCATTTTCCGGCTTGTCTCAGAATTCCTGAAAAATGTTAAATAATAGGGTGAGCGTAAAGCTCAGTAGGTGGTACCTAAGACACACCTCTTATAACCCCGTGAGTCCAAACAAATGAATAGAACAATAGAGAGCAGGGTCATGCTAGACCAGGGAAAATACAGTATTAATTCCAAATTCAAAACCAGCAAATGTCGTGTCATGAATGCAATACCATGCATGTCCCCATTTTCAAAAAACATCTATCACTTCACAAACTGTTAATATAACCCGTCCTTTGGTGACTCCGCGGCGACATAAGAGAAGGATTGGCTACTGTCCCTGACCCTTAGTACCCCCGCGGCGTCATTTAGGCCCAGCTAGCTCAACCACACTAAGGTGTTTCCCCTAGTTCCCTCTAGGTTACATTAACACACCGGCCCTTTGGTGACTCCGCGGCGACCGGGTTTTCTCAAAACCTTTTTATCAAAATTCACCCCAAAATCCCCTTTTCATTTGTTCCAAATCATTTTCTTCCATTCATGCCCCATAATATGCATGTATGTCTCATGCTTTCAATGCTATGGCAGTAAGGGATTTTATACTACCCAAATAAGCATGCTTCACAAGAATTCCAAGAAAATTTCACATACTTCAGCAAGTTTACAACATAATAAGCATAGAAGATCAACAATTAGACAAGGAAATTAACACATAAGCATGTTATTCATATAATTCAATTTAACACATATGATCTTAAACTCCATGTACAACAATCACATCATCCTCAAGGCTAATAACTCAAGATTAAACATGTTTTACAACAATAAATGAGGGATAACTCATAAAGGAGCAAGAAAAACATGGGTTAGGAACCCCTACCTCAAGATAGCAAACCCAACAAGGCCTCAGCAAGCCCTAGCTCCAAGCCCCGAACTCAAATCCCACCAAAAGTTTGTAATACCGGTACCAAAACGTAGCCTTTGCAATGATCTATAATTTGCTAACTCCGGCTTAAACCAAATCTTCTTTTAGCATGAAGAAATTCTAGAGAGAAGAAAGAGAGCAATATAGAGAGAGAAAATAGAGAGAGGAAGAACATGTCTGCCAAAGGAAAAGAAAAGAATGGGTAAAAAATGAAGCCATCCTTTTTGGTCTCTAGAACATTCTAGGTTGGTCCATAAGACTAAAATGACAAAGATACCCCTTAAAATTCTTTACAACCTCAATAATACCATAAAATATCACCCTCCACTTAATACCACTAATACAACATACATACATGTCACTTAAAATGAGAAAATCGGGAGATGTTCTAAGTCCAGAAATCGTCCCGACTTCTGAAAAATTTCAAGAATGAAACCGTCATTTCTAATTGACTTAAAATGACCAAAACGCCCTTCGGGGCCCATATGGCACGCACAACGAGGAAATGATTAAAATAATCCAGAAAAATCAAATAAATTCCAGAAAAAAATAAAATAAGGAAAATCGGTAGCATTACACTCTTCCTGCAGGTAAATAACATAACCTACTTATATTTTACAAATTACTTTATTATTTATGTCATTAATATAAATCATGACTAATTAAACACGCTGCAATTTAATTTAGCTTCTATATGTGATGAGGTGTAAAGTGCAATACCCTTGTTATCCCATCACCAACGATAAAAACAACTTTGGTTTTTGGGACACTGCCCTTGTACGCGAACGCTGAAAATGGGAGGTTTTGGATTGGGTCAGGTATTACAATAAATTTAAAAAGTTTTTTGAAGTTCCCATTTTTTTGTTGTATTTTATGATACTATTCCATTGCTTAAGTACATTAGGTTGAAAATATTTATACGGAATAGTTAATTCCTTTGAAGGCGAATGTGTCCCATTCTTCGTCGTCGTCATGGTTGGGAGGTAAAAAAGACAATGCTAGTTGTTCCAAAAGTGAGGTTGAGGTAATGATATATTACTTTATGGTTAACGACTAAGAATGAAATTGTGAATATGCAATTAATCAGTGACAACCAATTACAATTTTGTATGCAGCGTTGCGTTAAAAATATTTGTAACGAAATGGAAAAAGACAGAAAAATATTGAAGAGGAAGGTCAAGCAAATGGAGAGTTTGGTGATGAAAAAGTCTAAAAGGGCTGGAAGAAAAACAAGTGTTTCTAGAGCAGATGGAGGAGCATCTGTTGAGTAGAAAGATGGGCCACAGAATTCTGAACATGAATTTGAGAGGGAAACATTTTACTCCCCCGTTCACACAGGTGAGGAACAAGAATTTGGCGATAGAGATGATGCCCACTTTACTCCTACAGCAATGACTTACTATATGTGGATGAAAGGACAGAGTTGAATGATGCTGTGGGCATGGCTTTAGAGGAGAACCTAGGACTAGCAGAATCAACTCCCAGTTGTTCAGTCATTGAAATTTTCCCACAAAATGTACATGGTAAAGGGAAGGATGCAGTGGGACAAGTCAGAAGAGGTACGAGGAGCAATAACCCCGCAGCATATTACTACTCTCCATGGGTATATAGGGACAGTGAGACAATTCAATTGACTCCAAAACAGAAGAAATTATTGAGTTATGCTGCTGCGCAAGGTTGTGATGAAATGTAAGTGTAACCCACATTTCTGAATTTCCTAAGTCCGTACATTGTTGTTCATTGTATTTTTCCTCTGTAATTAGTTAGTAAGAACAATTATAGTACTACACATATACTAACTTGTTATTTCATAATTGCATTTGTTAGTGAAATTTTGGTTTCCATGTACAAAATGCATCTTTCTAGAACGGAGATACATAAGTTATTTTACCCAAATTGGATCTCGAACTTGGTGTGTGGATTTACACAACACATTTAAATTAATTTATATGTAGTTTTACGTTACCTTATCATATGATCAAGCTATTAGAATTTCATTTCTCAATTCAGGTGGTAAAATTTTGGGCAATAGTGTTGAACGAAGAGCAAAGAGGGAAATTGAAAAAGTACTATTTTGATAGTTGCGTTGTCCAGTTTCTGAAAGAACACAATGTCATGAAATATGCAACTTCAATTAAGCACAGGTGTGAAGGGAAAAATCCTCCTCTAATAAAAGTCATCCACGTGGCTGTATTTGAAGCTTTATTTTTACTGGTTAAGATAGCCCAATACTATTTAGGACCGGATAAAGATACCCACAGCCCAAAGTCGCTAAGGTTGAATCTCCGCCTATTAATATTGATATTCGAATTAATACATATCCGGCCCAAATCCATTGCATTCAGCCCAACTTCATTTAAAGAACAAGAGCAGTCCTGTTAGGCAAATGATTCAGCAAAGAAGGCAAGTTCTTTGCAAGGGAAGTCTGGCATGAAAAGAATTACAAAAAGGAAAGAACTCTATTTGTAAAGTAGGTTGTATATGGAAAGAATTGGAGGACAAGTAAAGAAAATCCTACTATAATTCTACCACCTTTTTGTGTATAAATAGAGGTTTAGACCTCCAATAAAGATATAGAGCATTATACGCTTTTTTCTGAGTATTATAATTGCTTGTTTTTTAGTGAGTTGTATTTTTCTTTTTATATATTTTAATAGAGAGAAATTTTGCACATACACTTTGGCACCGTCTGTGGGAATGTATAAGAATATATTCCCACTGTTGTTTCAAATTGTTTCTATTACTACGATCCGAAATGTCGAATGGAGAATCTGCAACGGCGACTGATCAGCAGATGGAATTAATGCAGAAGATGCGAGAAGAGTTCTTGCACCAATTTGAAACACTTCGTCAGGTGAACGAAGCCAGCGTAGCCCAAATTGCATTACTTCAACAGCAAAACGATACCTTTCAAACTATTATGCCTGAGTTGAAACCTCAGCCACCACCAGTTGATGTGGCCGCGCCTCCTCCCAACCAAAACGATCCTCAGGTTAACGAGCCTCAGGTCAATAGGGTGCGGCCTAATAAAGCTCGGCCCAACGAAGTTCAGCAAGAGCAGAGGACAAGGACCAAGGCGATTGCTTCGGACAATCTTCCTCGTCGCACGCAAGACGAACAGGCCGAGTCCAGCCGTAAGCTTACTGTGTGGTCTAATGGTGTTCCAAATGGTGCAGGAGTAAATGAGGTCTTTGATGAGAAGAGACTCCTGAGAGTTCAAACGCCTGCCGAGATGGCTAGGGAGCACAATAATTCTCTAGTGAAGACCGCATTCACTGACGATGTATACCTTATTGACAGACCTAAGAAATTCACTATGCCTTCCACTACCCAGTTTGATGGTATGGGAGATTCTTCTCGGTACCTAGATCACTACGCACAAAAGATGGCTCTTGACGATCACAACGATCCATGGATGTGCAAAGTTTTTCCTACCAGTCTAACCGGAGCTATGCTGGAGTGGTTCAGGAATAGGCCACACAAATCTATTCCAGACTATGAAAATCTGTGCACTATGTTCCTGGCACAGTATTGCGGAAATAAGAAGCAAAAGAAGAGTATTGCTAGCCTCTTCACTATAAGGCAAAAGAAAGGCAAAACATTACAGGATTTCTTGTCCAGATTTAACATGGAGGCTTCGGAAATAGCAGATTACCATCCTGCTACTGCAATAGAAACTTTCAAGCTTGCAATGATTCAAGGAACCAAGTTTCATACATCCCTGATTAAATATTCCCCTCCGAATATGCAGACTCTCAATGCTAGGGCACAGATCTACATCCAGCTTGAGGAGAATATAGCCCACCAAACGCAACATGTCACCCTCGTCACAGTGGAGAACAAGCCTCGGAAAAGAGTTTCAAATTCAAAAAGCCAAAAAAACCAGCATGCTTCAACACCAATAATTCAGGTACCCGAGAAAAGGCAAAGGACAGAGGAAAGATTCACACCTCTTCGCACAACATTGGCTTGGCTATTCCAAGAAAATAAGATGAAGTTTGCAGCCCCTCAGCCAATAAGCAACCTTTGGGCAGAGACACAAGAGCAAGTACTGCGCCTACCATAGAGATTACGGGCATACAACTAATGAATATAGATCCTTTAGGCAGCAGGTGGAAAACATGATAATGAGAGGTGAATTGACGGACTACCTCACAACAAAGGAGTACATGAAGCCCCGGGAGGTTAATCCACGGAAAGTTGAAGGTAATCAAGTGAAGGTCATCCATACAATACATGGAAGATCAGAGGATGATCAAGAGTCAAATGAGGTATATAGATCCCGACTGAGGACAGCTTATAAGCTAAGAAGGTTATCTTCAGTGAATACTATCACTTCGGGAAACATCAATATTGGGTTTGGCGATGGAGATCTATCCAGAGTTCAACTCCCCACGAGAATCCATTGGTCATCAGTCTTTTGGTGGCGAATTGCATGATTAAAAGGGTTTTTAAAGACCCAGGTAATAGTGCCAATATCATCACAAAGGCGGTCTTTGAGCAGTTAGAGATTTCGTCATCATCAATTCGGCCCACCTCCAGTCCCTTGATGGGGTTTGATGGCACAAAGGTAGACCCTCTTGGGGTAATTGACCTATCCGTGACCACAGCAAAGAGGACACTGAAGAAGAACTTTGTTCTAACGGAGATTCATCCTTTTTATAATCTTATTATGGGAAGAGGCTGGATCCACTGAATGAATGGGGTTCCATCTACCCTTCATCAAGTGATGTGATGCTTATCTCCGGACGGTAAAGAGGTTATTGATCTTAGGGGAGATCAAGTTGTTGCCAAAGAATACTATATGTTGACACAGAATGAAGCAAAGAAGGTAGCAAAATAGCCCCAACCAATCGCACCTCCTGAGAACCTGTCCAAATACTAATTACAGAGCCCCTCTGCCTAGGTACTTGAAAGCAGAGGATGAAGCCGAAACTATAAAGCCTGCTGAGGAGTCTTTGGAGGATGTTGAAGTAATCCTCGGCGATCCTCAAAAGGTCACCTATATAGGTTCTTCCCCCACAACCAAAGAAAAGAAAGCATTAATTGATGTCATTCGACGGAACACATATGCATTTGTTTGGGAACATTCAGACATGATGGGAATCAATCCTTTAGTCTCATGCCATAGCCTGAAGGTGGATCCAGCGTTCAAACCAGTCAAGTAGAGGCACAGAAGGTTCGCTCCTGAGCGCAACCGAATTATAGCTGAAGAAGTAAGTAAATTGCTTCAGGCGGGCTTCATCAGAGAGGTGCACTATCCACAATGGCTCTCTAACGTGGTGGTAGTTCAGAAGAAGAATGAAAAATGGAGGGTGTGCATAGATTTTACTAATCTGAATAGAGCTTGCCCAAATGACAGCTTTCCACTACCCAAAATTGATCAGATGGTCGACGTTACCACTGGTAATTCTGGGTATAACCAGATCCCTATGAATCCAGAAAATGAAGAGAAAATTGCCTTCATAACAGAGAAAGACACATACTATTACAGAGTTATGCCCTTCGGACTCAAGAATGATGGAGTCACTTACCAACCCCTTGTTAATAAGATCTTTGACGAGATATTTGGAAAGACGGTTGAAGCCTACATTGATGACATATTGGTTAAGAGTGTAAAGAAGAAGGATCATCCCAAGCACCTCCAAGAAGTCTTTGACACTTTGAGAAAGTATAACATGAAGCTGAACCCTTCAAAGTGTTCCTTTGCAGTTTTTTCAGGGCAGTTCCTCGGCCATATTATCAACGAGAGGGGAATAGAGGTAAGCCCAACCCAGGCTTGGGCCCTCATACAAAATCAAAAACCAAAAACCTGCAGGGAAGTATAGGTTTTTATCAGCCGAATCGCAGCTCTCAATCGATTTATCTCTCGATTGTCAGATAAGTGAAAACCATTCTTTAATGCAATAAGGTCCAAAAACAAAAACATATGGGGACCTCAACAGCAGGCTGCTCTGAATCAACTGAAGTGCTACATGGCTGAACCCCCAATTATGTCGGCTCCGAAGCCTGGTGAAACTCTTATCATATACTTAGCAATCTCCAACATAGCCACGAGTGTAGTGTTGATTAGAAAAGAAAGGAGGAATCAGTATCCAGTCTTCTACACCAGTAAGACAATGACAAATACAGAAACACGATACAGCAAAGCAGAAAAGATCATACTAGCATTGGTGTATTCAAAGAGAAAGCTTTGACACTACTTTGAGTCCCCCAGCATCAAAGCTCTTACCAACTACCCCATGCGAATCATTCTTTCCAAGCTAGACTTATCAAGAAGAATAACTAAATAGGCAATCAAACTCAGTTCCTTTGATATATCTTACGAACCAAAGGTGTCACACAAAGGACAAGCATTGGCTGACTTCCTCTTGGAGTATGAGGATAAGCCCGAGGAGCCAGGTCCTCCTGAGCCACAATGGGAGCTTCGGGTGGATGGTTCCTCGAACCTGATTAGTGCCGGGGCTTGAATCGTTATCATGACCCCCGAAGGCACCAAGCTACAGCAATCAGTCCGCCAGACTTTTCCTGCCACTAACAACGAGGGGGAGTACGAGGCCTTGCTCGCCGGGCTTCGGTTAACAAACCAGCTCCAGGTAACATGTCTAAAAGTTTTTAGTGATTCTCAACTTGTTGTAAATCATGTAATAGGCCAGTATCAGCCCAAGGAAGATAGAATGAAGGCCTACAAGGAGGCTGTGGAGAGTGCCACACGAGGGTTCGATTGAATCGAATTCCATCAAGTACCTCGTGAGGATAATTCCAAAGCAGATCAGTTGGCTGTTGCAGCTTCTTCTTCAGACGAAGATTTAGTCTGGATAGTACTAATTGACATCTTGGACGAACCAAGTATAAGCTCATCACAGCAAAATATTCTATCATCAATAATCAATTATATCAGAGGTCGTTCTCAGGCCCCTACCTGAAGTATTTAAGTCCTACCGAGGCCCTCATAATTCTGAAGCAAATCCATGACGGGGACTATGGCAATCACTCCGGTGGTAGGTCCTTAGCACATAAGGTCCTAACTCAAGGCTATTTTTGGCCATACCTGGCTCAGAATGCCGAAGAATACTCCCGAAGGTGCGACAAGTGCCAGCGATGGCCCGATGAAACACCAGCCTGCAGAAGACTTGCACGCGATGGCGAATCTATGGCCATTTGCACAATGGAGGATTGATATGGTAGGTCCTTTACCCAAAACAGTGGAGCAAAAGGAATATGTGTTGTTAGCCACGGATTACTTCACAAAATGGGTGGAGGCAGAGGCTTATTCAAGTGTGACCCACAAGCAAGTAAAGAGTTTTCTATTGAACAACATAATCTGCCGATTTGAAGTACCAAAAGTTATCATGATGGATAATGGTCCAAACTTGGACAACAGAAGCACCAGAAATTTTTTTACCGAGCATGGGATCAGGCAGAAGTTGGCCACAGTTAGCCATCCGTAGGGGAACGGGCAGGCTGAAATAACTAACCGAACCATTTTTAGCTGCCTAAAGAAAAAGTTGGAGAAGCTCAAGTTAAAGTGGTACGAGAATTTGCCTCAGGTATTGTGGGCATATCGTACCACCCTGTAAAGGCCAACGGGCGAAAGTCTCTTTACCATGGCCTACGGATCCGAAGCTGTCATCTCCACGGAGTCAGCAGTTCCTACTCTTCGGACCCATTTGGTGCTCGAAGGGAACAATGATCAGCAGCTTGAGCACAGCCTCGACCCCTTAGAAGAAAAAAGGGATGCTGCAGCAATTAGACTCGCTTCATACCAACAACAGTTGCGTAATAGTTACAACAAACGAGTCCGGTTCAGAAGTTTTATGGAAGGTGATTGGGTGCTGAAGCAAGAACAGCTCATGTTAAGAAGTTACAACCCAATTGGACTGGACCCTACAGAATCACAGACGTAGTAAGGAAATGAGCTTACCGGTTGGCTGAAGCTGATGGACGTTCAATTGCTCGTCCATGGAATGCAATTCACCTAAAAAGGTACTATCATTAGACAATATGGTTTATTCATTTTCTTTTACAAACAGTATACATCTGTTTTTCTATAAACATGGCAGTTTCTAAGCCCACATAATAAAGGTTTCTTGAGTACTACACATCTTTACTCCTTTTACTTTAGTAATATGGGATATTACTTGTTGCTACTTTCTTTTTCGTCATAGGGGGCAATACATACACCCTACTGTTGATATTACGACAAAAGAAAGATATTATCATAAACAAATGAAAGAAAGATATTCTTACAAACAAAGCAAAGCTATATTTTTTGCTTATTGATTGTACTTGCAAGTCTTTTTACATGGGAAACGTACTTTAGAGTGCATGTATATTGCAAACAAATGCTTATTGGACATTTAGGCTTTACTTAGCTCAGAACTCATATCGTATTGTTGTCCCACATCGAAAAATAATACCTCTGTACATTCATTTATATAAGGAAATATTATATTATTTTAGTGCATTGCAAAGAGGGCCCACTGGTAACAGTAACGGCCCAACCCAGATTGTGTTCAAAAACCTTGGTACCAGTGGGCATTCTTTGCAATAATTCTTTTTTCAAACACACCAGGTTGTTTGGCCCATCTTGAGTTCCATTCTTTGTCCCACATCGAATAGGAATACAAGTGGTGTATAGTTAATATAGAGTTAGCACACCACATTCGGTTGCCACGAAGAGAGTCTCTGTGGAAGAAAGTCTCCCAAACAAATGTATGGGGGACTTCCCAGTTACAGTTACTCTCTTTCTTGGCCTCATGTCATTTTTGAATCTTCGGCCAGCCTTACATACTTGGTAAGTTTTCTAGATCAGGCCTCGGACCTCAAGAGTCCGACGCAATACTGTTCCTTTTGGGCTCGTAGCCGAGGAAAACACATCGCATCGGACCTCAAGAGTCTGACGCAATACAGTTCCTCTCGAGCTTATAGCCGAGGAAAACATATCGCTTCAGACCTCAAGAGTTCGGCACCTTACAATTCCTCTCGGGCTCATAGCCGAGGAAAACACATCGCTTCGGACCTCAAGAGTCCGGCACAATACAGTTCTTCTCGGGCTCATAGCCGAGGAAAACACATTGCTTCGGACCTTAAGAATCCGACACCATATAGTTCCTTTCGAGCTCATAACTGAGGAACACATCGCTTTAGACCTCAAGAGTCCGGCACAATACAGTTCCTCTCGGGCTCATTGCCGAGGAACACAACGCTTCGGACCTCAAAAGTCCGGCACAATACAGTTCTTCTCAGGCTCATAGACGAGGAACACAACACTTCGGACCTCAAAAGTTCGGCACAATACAGTTCCTCTCAGGCTCATAGCTGAGGAACACAACACTTCGGACCTCAAGAGTCCAGCATAATACAGTTCCTCTCAGGCTCATTGCCGAGGAACACAACGCTTCGGGCCTCACGAGTCCGGCGCAGTAAAGTTCATCGCAGGCTCATAGCCAAGGAATACATCGCTTCGGACCTCAGGAGTCCGGCGCAATACAGCTCCTCCCAAGCTCGTGACCGAGGAACATATCACTTCGAACAATAGGAGTCCAATGCAATACAATTTCTCTCAGGCTCGTAGCCAGAGAGTATACTGTAATACCCCTAATTTTAAAAGGATAGTTCTGGTATTTTTAATTAAGTATTTTGTTGCATTTTTTTTATTTAATTGTATTATTTGTGTGATTTTTGACTTCATTGAATTTTTATTTCTTTAATTGGATAAATAGACTTAATTGTAATTATTTGAATTGATTGTATTAATTGTATTATTGGATTACTTGGTTTAATTGAATTATGTGATTTAATTGGTAAATTGTTTTTTATTGTGTTTATTTTCTTTAATTGTCTATTTATATTTTTCTATTTGGAATTCACGTGTGTATTTGGATTAACTTGTTTAACTGTTATAATGTAAAAACTTAGGGTTTTCTTTTGATTTACACGTTGTGGCCGACTGGGATTTATATTAGGGTACTGTCTCTAATATTACATGGACTAGGGTTTATTGGTCTACGCCTATAAATATAACATTATAGTGGTTTAGGGTTTTAGAATACTTAAACGTGAATCTGTAAAACAAGAAATAGGGAGAAACAGAGAGAGCCTGTGAGGGAAACAGAGCAATCTTGGTGAAGGTTTCGGCTGTGGATCAACGGACGGACCTAGGAGAAGGGAAGGTGGAACAATAGGAGGTTGAGTTGTCAGTGGATAGACGTCGTCGGAAAAGCTTAGAGAGACGGCGACAAGGTTTGGTTACCAAACTGTACAGGCAAGTTCTTTTTTTCCTCTCTCCCTTGGCCTGTGTTCTGTGCATACCTAGAGGATCTCTAGGATGTTAAATGAATATTAATTGAACCTTTCATGATTAATATATGTTAATTTGATCGTCTGTATGGGTTGAATTTTGTTTGAAACAATTCTTGCAACTGTGTTCTTCGTCGACTGTTTTAAGCATATAAATTGTTGTTATTTTAAAACGCTATATTAGTTCTTGCTGTGGTAAACTAAGGACTGGGGGTTGTCACTAGATATACATTAGACAGTTAGGACCAGTTTTAAGGACGAACAGAGGAGTAGGAAGGGCCGGAGATGAGGCAGAAGGTCGAAAACGGAGAAGGAAGCAAGCGGGGCTCTCAAAGGAGGAAAGAGCCGGCTCCCCCCTTTATAGAGCCGGCTCCAAGGGCTAGGGAGTCGGCTCCAAGTGGTGTAGAGCCGGCTCTATTTATTTGAGAGCAAGCTCCCTTGGTTAGGTTACGTTTTGTAATACCCCTAATTTTAAAAGGATAGTCCTGGCATTTATTTAATTATTTAATCCTTTATTTAATTGTTTAATTGCGTGTTATTTTATTTAATTGGTTATTTTAATTGTGTGTTTCTTCCATGGTTATATATATTTGAATTTGTTTTAATTAATTGATTAAAGTGTTTTATTTTCTTGTATTAAAATGTTTTATGATGTTTTATTTGACTTAATTGATAATTGGTTTTATTTAATAAAATTGGTTTAAATTATGTGACGTTTCCAATTTTCAGTATTTTTCATTTTTTCGGAAGTTGTGTCGCCGTAAAGGCATTTCCATCATTTCACGTTTTGTGTACGGGATTGTGGTTGGGTCCAATTACTTTTGTGCATTTTAAATTTATATGTTTATGTGGTGTTTATCTAGTGGTGCATGTATTGTAATATGTGGTGCAAATTGAGACTAATGAAAAATGGAAAAGAAAAGGAAATTCATGGGACCCACCACCACCAACTTTAAAGCCTTGAGACCACATTTTTGGTCTCTATCTTCTCTCTCCCTGCTGGTTTCCCTTCTTGCTCCATTTCCTATTCATTTTCTTTCTCTTTTATATTAAACTTTGTATCATGATTACTCTCTCAATTCTTGGAGTTTTTAAGTGCCGTTTGTGGCTAAACAGAGAGCACAACGAGCTCTACGCGTGAGTACCAACGATTTTAGCTTTGAGCCTCCCTAGGGAATTCGAAATTAGGGACCCATTTTAAGGGTTTTGCATTAACTTGAGGTAGGGGCTCTTAATCCATGATGTTCTTGTGCTTTAGTGAGTTAGCTCCTCTTAAATGGTTAATTAACATGCTTAATTTGGGTAGTTCCTAGACAATTGTCTAATTGTTATGTATTTTGTTAATTATGGGACTATGTGTATTAGATGATCCATGTGATGAACATGCTTGTGTGTTGACGTATGTATGCTCAAAATGCTAGATTATTAATGTATGTGAGCATGTGGTATATTCTTGTGAAATTCTTGTGAGCTATGTTTTGTAGACAAATTTGAACTAATTGTGAAATGATGAACATTGGCATGACATAAATGCATCTATGCATTTACATTGGGTAAGAAATGGGAAGAAAATTAATTTTGAAACGAAAAAAAAGGGGAGTTTTGGGAAAGTATGTTGACGAATTGTTTTGGGAAAACTCAGTCGCCGCGGGGGTACCAAAGGGCCGAAGTGTTAATATAGCCTAGAGGGGACTAGGGAGTCGCCCTAGCCTGGTTGAGCTAGCTGGACCCCATAATGATGCCGCGGGGGTACCAAGGATCAGGGACACTAGCCAATCCTCCTCTCGTGTCACTGCGGGGTCACCAAAGGGCAGGTTATATTAACAGTTTGAAAGTGATGTTTTGAGAAAAGAAAATGGGGAGTGACATCGGCATGCATTGCATCCCATAGCATGCTATTGTTTATAATAAGACTTGTTATTATGTTGTGTTATCCCAATATTGTATGATCCCCATTCCTATTGCCCTATTCTTTGGTTGGATTCACGGGGACACAAGAGACGTGTCTTAAGTGTCACCTACTGAGCATATTGCTCACCCCATCATATTTCACATTTTTTTCAGGTCATGGTAAAGAAATAGCGGAAGACTATCCACCCTTGCCTTAGCTTGGAGTAGAAAAATGTTTCATTTTTGTTACTTTTGTATT